CTGCATCAGACACAGAGTCATTAAGCCACGTTTCAGTGATCACAGTGACATGGGGGTCATAATTGAGAAGAATGAGTTCAAACCACTCTGCTTTATTAACTATACTTCGCGCATTCATGTTCAGGAGACAAAATTGTTTAGAAACTGGTAATGGTTCTCGTCATTCATCAACAGGAGCTGCATTGGCAATGGGAACCTTTACTCGTACATTTGAAGATTCATCCCAAGCAAAAAGGTCGTTGCCAATTCGTAGTTTATCGTTGACGAGAAATACTTTTAGTTTATTCGTTCTCTCGACGCTTGCACTATTCCAGAGCAGTCTTCTTTTGTTAAGCGTTTCCTGAGAATAATCGTTTTGGATGTAAATGTTGGTACCTTTAAGTTTTTTTGCATCGCGTAGGATTTCTGCCTTTTCTTTGTAGTCTTGGAGACACAGAATAATTGGCCGTTTTCCCACGCGTTTTTTTAGGCGATGAATTCTTTGAACAGAGGTGCAGGAGACTCCTAGTCGCCTTGCAAAAATATTTTCGACAACCTTGCCTCTCAAGTCCTGCTCGGACTCATCTGGTGCGTCTGCTACTCCAAAGATAACAAGATTTGAACGTCGACTCCGGTCCTCTAAATTAGCAAGCTTCGCATTTTGTAGTGTTATTGTCTCCTCTAGCTTGTTAACGGTCTTTTTAAGTGCATCCACCTCCAGTGACTTCACTTTTAACTCAAGCAATACCTTGTCTACTTCTGCAACTCTTGACAGCACTTCAGAAACTGATTTATCAGTACCGGATTGTTGGATTTTCAGGTCAGCTATTTCCTTGTGAATTATTGCTTGCCCGTTCATCAACGACTCAAACATTTCTTCAACCGTTGGCCCTGGATTTGTCTCGACGTCACCACATAGCAGCAGTTTACATACATCAAAACAGTCAACAGCAATTTCACAAAGCATTTGTGGGCGCGGCACAACTATCAGACACAGATCATCACTCCTAAAGCATGAAGGATAACTGACCTGTACGAAAAACCACGACATGGTCAGCCACATGTTCTTGTTGGCCTCGCCGCGCCCACTGAAGTTGTAGTTCTGAAGACAGTCCTTTATGGATGCGGTTGATGGTGACGTCACGAACCCGGATGAATCAAGGGGCGTTGTCAGCAGCGTATAGCTTGGAAACAGGCGATGACTGGCGGAACTGGATGCCGGGAGCACGGTTCCGCCGACGTTGGCCGAGGATACTGCGCCGAACAGACAGGGAAGTGCCTGTACGAAAAACCACGACATGGTCAGCCACATGTTCTTGTTGGCCTCGCCGCGCCCACTGAAGTTGTAGTTCTGAAGACAGTCCTTTATGGATGCGGTTGATGGTGACGTCACGAACCCGGATGAATCAAGGGGCGTTGTCAGCAGCGTATAGCTTGGAAACAGGCGATGACTGGCGGAACTGGATGCCGGGAGCACGGTTCCGCCGACGTTGGCCGAGGATACTGCGCCGAACAGACAGGGAAGTGCCTGTACGAAAAACCACGACATGGTCAGCCACATGTTCTTGTTGGCCTCGCCGCGCCCACTGAAGTTGTAGTTCCGAAGACAGTCCTTTATGGATGCGGTTGATGGTGACGTCACGAACCCGGATGAATCAAGGGGCGTTGTCAGCAGCGTATAGCTTGGAAACAGGCGATGACTGGCGGAACTGGATGCCGGGAGCACGGTTCCGCCGACGTTGGCCGAGGATACTGCGCCGAACAGACAGGGAAGTGCCTGTACGAAAAACCACGACATGGTCAGCCACATGTTCTTGTTGGCCTCGCCGCGCCCACTCATTTTATAAAAACTAGAAAGAATGAACGCGTCACGCTCTAAATACGCGGACTCTACACCTGAGATCGCTTTGCTGCAACGAGCGAAGAAACGTCCGCCTCAAACTCTTGCGCTTAGACTATCCTCAAGATTGTCCGCAAATGTTCCTCTGTTATCCTTGACCCAAGTGTTGACTCTTTCACCTTCAGCGACGAGAAGAGGAGCTTGCGCTGGTGGGTGCTTCCAAACATGTTGATGATCCTCGCTCCTTTCGTCCAGAAACTTGGAAAACTGTGGCACTCTCACGTCCTGAAACTTTTGCCTCAGTATGGTGCTAGCCTGCAGCTCTAGAAGTTCCAGCTGGAGCTGTGGATCGACGTCAACTGCCTGCACCGAAAAGGGCAACTAGAAAACTCGGAACTTCTCAGAGTGGCTGCTTATGCCTGGAAATCGCTCTTTAAATTCTTTTTGGAGACTACGGAGAAGCTCGGAAAAGATACCGCAAGATACCTGATTTATGTGCCCCAGCAACAATTCAGCATTGGAAAATGATTGAGCTTTTGCTGTCCTTTCTGCCGCTCCCAGAGCTGCAGCTTGCTTGAAATGCCCGAATGTCGTTACACATTGTGGTGCTAATTTTCTGCTTCCCCTGAAGTTTACCATTGAGGCAGTTCAGGTTCATTGTGTCAGTGAGGAATGCGAGGGAGAGAAGCCACTTTGCATCTGATGGCTCGGGGACGACCTTGTTCCTGCTCTCCAAGAAAGCATTCATCTCTTCCCGCAGATCAAAGAAAAGTTTAAGGAAGTTTCTGTGGCTTAACCATCGTACCTTGATGTGACACTCGCCATGCTCGCCGCCAGACGCCTCCAAAAAAGAGACGAACTGGCGGTGGGTGAGTGCTCTCAAATGAATGAAGTTGACTGCGCCAAATAAAATGTCCACGACGCTCTTCATTTGCAGCGACTCCCTGCATAGTGCCTCTCAATGAAGAATGCAGTGAATGGCTGCAAACTGCTTGGTGGTACCAAGTTCTGCGAGTTTCTTCTCCAGTTGTCCGACAAGGCCGCTCTTCCTCCATAGCATGATAGCGCACCGTTGGTTGCTAGGCAAACCGGCTTCTTTGAGGGTAATCCAGCAAAACAGTGTGGGCGGTCGTGGTCGTTCCTTTCATCGGCACGAGGTCCAAGAGTATTAGTCCATAATGGTTAAAACTTCTGTCTGCGCCTCTGACGAAAATGGTGCACTGAGCGTTGTCGGTGCTCTCGTTGACAGCGATCGAAAATGCGTCGAAGGTGTGGCAGAGGGTCTTCGATGATTTTTTTATGTCGTCACCGATCTTGTTAATCCTTTCAAGCGCAGTGTTTTGCGAAAGACTTATTTTCTCGAAACTTTTTGTCATGGTTGGGCATACAGTGTCAGAAACTTCTAGCAGGCACTTTTTGAGAAACGAGCCATCGGTAAACGGTTTTGAGGATTTGGCAATAAGCTCGGAGACAATGAAGCTCGCTCTTACTGTTTCGTCGCTTGTCTCTTTGGCTTTCTGAAATGGGTCGTGCTGCTTTTCCGGGGACATCGTAAGTTAAAAAACTGTGTCTTCGTAGAATTTTTTAGTGAGCGCATCTTGCTCTTTGCCATGGCATGACTTGAAGTGTTGGACTTTATACTTCCTGGGGACAAAAATGGCCTGCTGGCAAATCAAATGCAACACGTTGTCCCGCGATTCTGCAAAGAAGTAGGCGATTTCCCGTCGCTCTCGAACAGTCTTGCTTCTCGTCCTTGATTTTGCACTTCGTAGATGGCTTCGCCAACGACATTGCAACATCCACTGCAGAACTTTGTCGCTTCCGCGAGACAGAAAGACGTTGCAACGGAGCGTGACACCAGCGCCAATACGTCGAAATATTGGGCGGGCGGAAGAGGACCCAGAAATATTTTTGAACTAGTGTTTCGAGAGTATCTGAATCGTAACTCTTTGGTTGCAGTGACGTCGCTATGTCCGGTTGGCACATTGCGTGACTGACCTAGACAAGACGAGGGGGACAAGACCCCACAGATGGCTTTTGTTCCCCCTGTGGCTTAACTTTTTCTCCAAAGTTTATACAAAGATTCAAAGGTTGACACAGTTGGGCAAAGAGAGAGGGAGGGGCCACAGACGAACTTGGGGAGTGGGCCACTGACAAGAGCTACGCGGGGCGCGTGCTTGAGATCCCTGCCCTAGGAGATAGTTTCGGTTTTGTCGTAGATGCCCGAAGCCAAGCTTTCGGCCGTGATATTTATAAAACTACACATGTAATACAGAAAAAAAAAGTGAAAGCCGTTTACAAATCCCTGTAACGCCGAATTGGAGCGCAGCTCTTGAGGAGGAGGAGTGAAGGGTACTGAGGGGAGGGTAGACCCCTCCTCCTTCTCCTCCTCCTCCCCTCATTCTTTAATATGCTCCGGGGGGGGGGGGGGGTCACGTGACTTCGGGGAGGGGGTCACGTGACCTCGGGGAGGCATGACCTGGGGGTCACGTGACCTTGGGTGTCACGTGGGGGTCACCTCAAGGTCACTTGACCCCCAAGGTGACCCCCACGTGACCTCAGGGGGTCACGTCACCTGGGGGGTCACGTGACCTTGAGGGTCACATGACCTTGGGGAGGAGACCACGTGACCTTTAAAGGGTCATCTTGGGGTCACGTGACCTTGAGATGACCTTGGGAGGGGTCACGTGACTTTGAGATGACCTTGGGATGACCTTGGTTACGCCGACGGCGACGCCTGACGCCGCTCAAGCCGGGAACGGGCCCCTAAGAGCTGCGCTCTAAAAACGAAAAAAAACATGTCCTCGTAATTCAGAGACGCTGCTTTAGCTGAAAACAGTCATAATCCCAAATTCAAAGTTACCTATTGACCGGAGTTGCCCTTTAAGTATATTGTACTTAAGGTATTTCCCAAGACTGGTTACAACAGTGAGGACAATTCTACCTTGCTAGCTCCAAGGCGTTGACGTTTGGAAACAACCTGGTGGTGTACAGGGAAGAAATCAACGAGATGCCCCGCATGTCGTCTGTTCCCCTTGAGAGACGGCATAAAATGATGGCAAGGAAGCCGATCCTGTGACCTTGGGGTTGGTAGCTCCGCTATATTTGTGGTGAGGGCATCCGTCGGGTCGCAAATGCGCTCTCAAATCGTAACGGCGTCGCACTTGAAAACAAAGCCCACCTTATCGGCTGAGGACATCTGGTTCTGCTCGGAGTCTGGCAAACCGCTCGAGTCTGCTGAAGCCACAGTTGGAGTCTGCGGTCCTTGCCAGCAGACGGCAAAGAACGGGCGACTCGGGCGGAGGGACAACTGCAGAACTTTGCTCGGCGAATCCCCCTGATTGCCCTGCGAATAAAAGTCACCACATTTTGCAGTAACTTTTTTTTTTTCTTTTTTTTAAAGCCAGGGTACTTTTGTGGAGGGAGACTGAGCACCTTCCTGGAAGGTGCAGAATCAAACTCTGGGCACTGCCAGCATTACAACAACACCACCGGTGCATATTCCATTTGAAGAGCAATGTGGTCCGCACCGTTTTTGAGAAGAAGCGAAGCATTTGTGCGCGAACGCCCCTCACCTGACTAGGTGCCCGGATGCTGTCCAGGCAAGCGCAGCCCCGGCTCTGTGGAGTGTCCCCTGCGTAGCAAACGACGTGGTAGCCCGATTTCATTCTCGAGCGTCCGACCACCAAATATCCCGACGACTGGACTCGGTCTAATTCCTCTCTGGGTGAACTAAACAGTTTATCGCCATGACAAGCTTGCGACAGCCTACATCGAAAGTAATTTGTGTCTTTTGTAGGCCCGCTCCCGTTGTATCGGCAGCTTGATTTTCGGATAAAGAGTGGGCTGGCGTGCCAGCTACTATGGCCGACGGGATGCAAATGGCTCGGATGTCGTTTGCTTATCTCGCCTCCAGGACGAGCTTTCCACCTTCGATAACATTTCAGCCCCTCCTAAGCTTCGAGAGCGCACGTGCAACCGAAGCGCAGCAAATGGTGAGGAGTGCGTGCTGGACGCCGATTGTACGAAAGCGATGCCCTGCGAGTCTGTCGGGGACCATCCCTTCTTTGGAGACTAGTAAGCCCGTGCGTGGACTACCTTCCGTTTGTAGACGAGCTTGACTGCCCTCACCAGGCTTGTCAGGCTTCTCCTCTTGAAACCACTCGTGAGGTACCATCTCATTCTCGCTGGTGCTTGACCGGCTGCACCGCCGCTTGTTCTTGGTCGCTGGGGAGAACGATAATCCTTTAGTGGATCCACACGGCACTTCCCAACGACCAAAGCTCAAGAACCGTTCCAAATTACGTGGAACAAGCGCGAGAGTTGTCACCAGATTCGTTATATGGAGGTTTAAGGAAGTTTTGGTCTTGAGATGGTCCAGTATCTCGTCTGTAGATGGGCAGTCTAGCCAGGGCAGTTATGGCTGAACCGCCCCGTCAAAGCAGAGACACCACGCGCCAATGGACACAAAGGCAAAGGTCCGAAAGTGATTTGAATCACATTTTTCTTGGACTTTGCGTTTGTTGTCTCTGCTAAAGGAGTGCACCCGTGTTCCCGCTGAAAGGCATCAGCATTTTGGGTGTGATTTCGGTAGGTCGGATCAAAGAGATTTCCAGAAGCGTCTATGTCTAGGAACGTGGTGTTTTGCTTATGAGGGGCGGCATGATGCAACTACAGGTACAACTAAGAAAAGTGAATGTCAATTGGGAAGTTTTAATAGGGGAACAGCTAATATATAGCTGTTCTGACTAAAGAATAATAAAGCATGAATCGTGCCACAAAATCAAACTTCTTCAGTGGGGAGTCTAGATTACAGTGTGGATTCAAAATGAAGTGTGCTAACATTCCAGCGTTGTAAACCCTCCATATTTTCTACTTTTTTTCTCGAGTGTTTTTCTGACAGTTGATGCACAACAGTTGCAATCCTGATATGACGTATAGATTTTGTGAGCTCCTCCAGGTGGAGCTGTCGTGACTGCCTGCTGTGCATACGATTGTACCTAATGCTGGTGCTGTGTGGCACTGCTGCTTTGTGACACACGAACATCTCGCGTAAGCAGGCTCACCGGGCACAACGGGAAGGAAGACAAAGCTGGGGTCAAGCGCGCAGCGAGGCAGGAAGCCGAGAGCCGTGAAGAGCTGCACTAGCTGTGGCGACACCGGGCCAGGATTCTGGTCGACGTGTACCTTCACAAGGCGCTGATCCTCCTGGAAATACTTCAGGAAGCCCTTCACACTGTCCTTGTAGTCTTGCAGGCGTTTCTGCACCGTACCATTGATACGTCGGTTATTGCTGTAAGGATTCTAGAGCTGCTCCAGATCACGGTCTGCTCTCCTACAGAACGGTGGCTCGCAAACAACTGCATGAACTCTTGCAGGCCTGACGGTTGTAGGTACGTCTAAAACTGCTGTACATAATCGTCTGTCTACCTGACAAGTCTGGTTGCAACAGAACTTGTACTTTAGCATTCTCAAAGGAAAAAAGGCAAGACTTAAAACTGCTTACGTGTAAGAATGCAAAAGCATTCCTACAAGCAGCGCGCATCTTCCCTTTTCACACGGCGCTCCAGTGGTGACATCGCACCCCCCCACCGGCTTTTGTGACGAAGCATCTGCGTTGCTGTGCTTTTCTTTGTGTTTTATTTTCGAGGCACGTCCGCTTTGACCCTGAGTGGTGCGTGCTTGATGACATATGTTTATGGCCATCTTTTGTGCACAACGCCGATGCCACCTTTTCGCGTAATGGTAGATAAAGGGCCCGTTCACACACTTGCGACCTCTTAGAACGAGTGCCTTGGAACCTCTTAATGTCTCTCTTGATGGGAGCAGAAACCCAGAAACGACGAGAGGACACCCTGGCACCATCTATTGGGTAGCAGTGTAAACTTGGCAGTCCAGCATAGTATTTTCTATTTCTCTCACTCATTATCCTTTCTTTCTTGGCTCGAAAAATTTTGTCAACGTTATAAACGAGCCTTTCTCATAGGTATTACGCACATTTGACCTCGGAAATCTTGCATAACTGTCACTCTTGTGAAATGCAGTTCCAGGGTCACCAGATAGATGGTGCCAGTGTGTTCTCTCGTCCTAAAAAATTTTAAGAGGTTTCAACAGGTCTTGTCTCTCGGTTATTCTCGGTTGCAAGTGTGTGAACAACGGGCCTTGGTGCTTTCGCCTTAAAAATTGGTCATAGAGGTCAGTCTACAGTTATTGACTGAACTATAGGCTGTCAGTGAGGTAACAATCAAATGCACGTATGATTTATTGTTGCCATAAAAAGATGTAATGAATATGAGGACTTGCTAAATTGCTCTATAAACAAATAAATGGTTACAGCCTTTTTTTTTTTTTTTTTTTTTTTTTTTTTTTTGGTTAGTCGGTGCATGTGCAAGAGACTAGCCTTTGTCTTGGCGAAGTCCTTCTCATCTCCGAGAGCTCGTCTGGTTTCTTTTCCCGTGGCCGCCTTCAGGCTGGTTTCAGCAACGTCCAGGTCGAGCGCAAACAAACAAGGCCACTGAATGTAACGAAAGAAGAGCATTTTTTTTTTTATATGAGTTCTGTGTTGAAAAGAATGCAGGAGTTTGTAGAAATTTCTATTTCTACAACAACCTCATTATTTTGGCAGACTGAGTTACATCTTTTCATGCCTTTCGATATTTGGGGACGTGCAGTCTTTACTCCACGGCAATGCTAGACTAGACTACAGTACTACCATCCCTGTCCACATATCTGATTGTCTTTCTCCAGGCGGTAGATATGCATGATCCTGTTGACGCCTATAGGACATAGGACATTCCTAGGACGTAAGAACGTCCTAGGAATGCAATCAATAGTGCCTAAAGGTATGCAATCAATAGTGGCCAACTAGTCTGTTGCAGTTTGAAAAGAAAAGCAGGACAAGTACCTCCCACAACACCCTCCACTCCCTCCCCTTCAGCACAGCAAATGGTGGAGAGGAGAAAACCATCAATCATGCCGGGCAGAGTTTTGTGACGAGCTTCTGCTATTCTTAACCCACATAGTAAAGGAAGAAGAATCCTTTCTACCAGCCCTGCTACCTTCATTGCACTCTGCTCTTTGGCAAAGAGATGGGGACATGCAAAAGAAGCGAATTGGAAAGCACCTGTAGCTCAAAGCGCTCAAGCTCTTCCCTGCAGTCTTCCAGCTCTCGCTTGGCAGGCACCATGTAGCGAAGATTGGGCATGGGGTCCACAAAAAACGCCACGTCTGGCTTCATCTCGTGCTGAAGCTCGAGCTCTCTCTCCACCAGCTCCAGCAGGAGCCATAGCGTGAGCAGCTTGGGCTCGCTCTGCAATGCGTTTGAACGCCACATGAACCACTGGACAACTGCAAAAGCTGTCACTTCCTCGTGGGTGGCAGGACAGTTTAGAATCGCTACGCCAGTGTACAGTTAGCTGTATACCTCTTTGATAGAACTGAAATTTGCAAGTCATGCTTTCAGTACCAACGCAAAATTAACCGAACTAACTAGCAGGTCCTCGAGGATCGATACACTCGAGACGTCTGCATGGTGGCCTGCTGCAGGACGCTGCAGGAACACCGAACAAATACCATAAACGGTACATATAAAAATGCTTTTTTTTTCTTCTTTTTTCTCACATACCTTTAGGAGAAGTTCCACGCTTCGTGTGGTGTAGATCTCTGAGCAGTTCTGCGGATCAGCTTCTAGTTGTTTGGTGAAATGAGCCAGGATCAGTTTCTCCGCGCTGACGGTCTCAAAACCGAAACAGTGTGCCAGATCGTTGACGATCTGGCCTTTCCTGGAGCCTGGGCCTCCTGTGCATGCACCCACGAGAGGAAAAAGAAAAACCAAATATCAAAGAGATTTTTGGAGTTTTCAAAATTATAAAAGAAGAGGAATGGTTCTAGAGAAATGAAATTACTCGGTAGACGTCCCTTTGAAGCTCTTCACGAACGGACAAATAGCCCCAACCAGGATATAATGTTAACTTACCGAAGACGAAAATCAACCTCCGTTTGGTGAGATCATGGCAGGGCCTCACGGCGTCTCCGATGTTCAGGTTTGTTGGTTTATCATTCGATTTGTTTGTCCAGGAAAAATCTCTCTTCGCGGCGGCACAGCCCATCCAAGACCTAAACACACAACGCGCGCGCAATTTTTTTTTCTGCTCACGCCATCGATAATCGTAGATTCGTCGACGACACCCTATGAAACAAAACCGAAAGTATAATGCCGCGCGCGCGCAAACTGTCGTCTGCACAAATCGTTCTCGTCTGCTAACTTTGGTCGCTTGCTCGTGGTCCGAAGCGATGCGCGATCAACGTGGCATTGGCGGAATTTAATTTTTTCGCTTAACCGCAAGGACTGTACACGAATGTACCGGCGCTCAATTGATTCTCCAAATAGCTACGGGCCGCCGCTGTGTGTTGCTCTCGATTTCTATTTATTTTTAGCGCCGCTGCCAACGTCTTGAGGGGCAATCGATAAAGTGCAATTACAAGCGCACGCTTCAATTGAGCGCGATATTCGTAACATTAAGACGTAACCAAAAGCACCAGTTAAAAGGTATTAAAAAAAAAAAAACGCGACATAAACAAGTTGCACGCTTTCGAGGTAAAGTCAAATGAATCGATGATGTGACTGCAACTGCATCCGATTAACAATGCGGGTTATGAATGAATTCTTCAACGAGTATTTAAGTTTAATAATACGACACTTTGCGCCGAGATTATGGTATTTCTCTTTTTTTTTATATATATTTTCCGACTTGTTTTGCGAGAAAGATACCGACAACGAATATTGCAGTATCACTCATTCGGCAAGCAACACTGGAAGGCTGCCGCAAACAGCAGTGGGGCAGTCACGGGATTTGGGAAGCTGTCGTCCTGCAGTTTCAAACGGTTTCACCAAAAACCTTTCTGTCTCGGTGAGTCCTTCGTTCATACATTCGAGATCTCATGTTTCCTGCTGCCGTTTCATGCAACAAACCATTGCTTTGTGCCGGAGGCATCCGCTGTGAGGGCATTCCATAGGCGGGATGCGTAAAGAAACGAAACATTGTCAGGGTATTAAGGCAGATCTCGCTCCTGGGCTTTGTTATTCTTTTATTTATTTTAATGACTCGCGTCCCATACGCCCTAAAGAATTATAAGGGATAGTAATTATTTATTAACGATACGTTCTGAGACGGGCAGCGTTCGTTCCGAGAGGTGCAGCTAAGAGCGCTCGCTTCGCCAAACTTTTCCTGGGTTGTGTCGCCCCGTCTCAAATTTTTGATTGCAAAGAAAAACATTACACACAGCTGTCAGACGCCTTGAACCATGACTGAGTTCTGGCTCATCTCGGCTCCGGGCGAGAAAACCTGCCAACAGACTTATGACAAGCTGCTCAGCGTCACAAGCAACAAGCAGAACAACCTCTCGACCTGCTACAAGTTCCACCTTCCGGACTTGAAGGTGAGCTTCTGCTGAATCACCACTCCTCCCCCTAACCCCCCCTTCCCCCCTTGGCTCGCAGGTGGGCACGCTAGATCAGTTGGTTGGCCTCTCGGATGACTTGGGAAAGCTCGACACCTATGTCGAAAGGTTTGCCGCGTCCGCATTAGGGCTGAAGCTCAACAAAGTTTGCAGTCTTAACTTTTTACTCTTTTATTGATATGATCTTTGTTGCACGCTTTTTCATACCAGCATCACTCGAAAAGTGGCCAGCTATCTGGGGGACGTGCTTGATGACCAGAGGGACAAACTAGCTGACAACCTCCTTGCCAATGGCGGTAAGGATATCAGTGTGATGTCTCTGTTTTATTTTTTTCCCTGAGGGAAAGGTCATTGTCTTGAAAATGCCGCATACAAAAAAAAAAGAAAGAAAAAGTTGCAAAAACGAATCGTTTTCGGTCATGTGTATGCTTCCATACATTGAAGGCATTGGTTTTATTTGTGCGAATGTGTATTGCAATATGTAAATCATGCTCAGAGTTATCCACCTAATCGACGCAGATTAAGGTTTGCCATGCAGAAGACTCAACTTTTCTCGTAATATGTTCCCTGGTGTACTAGGATTGGTCTCTTTTTGCGCGTTTGTTCCGAATTCGAGGATTTGATTTTATGTAGCAAAAATTCCATAAGTCTAGGGTGCCAGGTTTGTGGAACTTTGCAAGAAACTCAAGGATGGGTATAATTACCATCGTGCCCAAGTTTTTTATGTGTCTAGGTTTGCATAAAATCTTTTAAATGTGTTGCCACATCTATTGGTCTGCTGGAGTGCAGCCCATCCAACGGCTTGGTGGCCTTAAACTGCCATCTGCTCACACTGCAGTGGGGCTGGAGGCCTACCTGACCCGGTTTCAGTGGGACATGGCCAAGTACCCCATCAAGCAGTCCCTCAAGAGTATCACTGAAATCATCAGCAAGGCGAGTGAATCCTCGCTTTGGTGTCCAGGCCGGCACCCTCCAAATGCCCTTGCGTTTATTAAAAGTCAAAATTGGCACCGACTGTTGTCTGCCAAGTCCCATAATGCATGAAGTGCAGTATTGAAAGAAGACATTAAATTTTTAAGAGCATCGTTGATTGATGTCAAAAAACCCGATGTCACACAACATGGTCATATGTTTCTATGTCACATGACATCGTGTGACCTGACATCATTGTTGTCATGATGTCACGTGATTTGACATATTGTGGGGTTGAGTCATGATGTGAGGTCACGTTACACGGTGTCCCATGTCTCCAATACTCGACACTGTGCCACGCGAGTTTACAGTCAAACCCATTTATAACGTTTAGCAGGAAACATTACGATAAGTTTGATACAGCAAGTAATTCGATATAGCAAAAAACATTTACAACGCACTTTCATGCTGCGTTCGTTGTAAGGCAAGAGCTTCTCTTTCTTCCTCATCTCTTCGCTTCCGCATTGTAACAATGCACCTGAAAGTTTTCTTTTTTTTTTAAGCTTATCTCCTCTTCTGAATCGCTTCTCTTCATGGGCAACCGTTTTGGGATGAAGAGTTCCTTTTTTATGCGCGTGCGTGCGTAGTGAAGTTTTTAGCTTTCTCCCCTTTGAATCGCTTGTCTTCGCTCAATTTTGTTTGCAACTTGAGCTTTTGGAATTTTCTTTCTTTCCTACTTTTTTGAGGGGAAGGGACAGGCTAGAAGATGATTGTTGTCGCGTCTTTGGAAGCCTTCTCGGGGGAAAAAAGTTAGATATAGCCAATATGTTGTTCGTTATAAAAAGTAATTTTTACATGCATTGTTATTTAAATTTTCAGTGAGTTCGATATCAACAATAATTCGCTGTACGTGGGTTCATTCTAAACGGGTTTCACTGTAAGTCTCTCACGGCATGGTCAAGTGCCATGACATCATGGGGTCAAGCTGAGGTGTCACGTGACATTAATATGTGTGTATACGCCAACGCAGTTGCCACGTAAAATCAATTGGTGTATGCACACCAATTCAATTTCTATATGAAAGTGATTGGTGTATCGGCATCAATCGGTGTATATACGCACATTCAATTTTGCCCCTACACTTAGCGGGAAAATGCCTCCCACATAACCTGTAACATGTGACGGGCAGATGCACGAATTTCTGGGAGCAGGCATTCCGTGAAGATGAATTCTATGTTTTAATAACAATGTCTATTGCCTGCAGCAAGTGTCTCAGATCGATGGAGACCTCAAGAGCAAGTCGGCTGCTTACAATAACCTCAAGACTCAGCTCCAGTCCATCGAACGCAAATCCACGTGAGTTTGTTTTTCCGTCCGCTTGCCGCCACCGTTTCCTTCTCGGCTTTAGAGGTCCCTTCGTGCCGTAGAAAGCATCCTAGATTTTAGTTTTTTTGTTTTTTTTTTCAGCATCACTTGACAGGCAGCGAAAGCAATGGCTTCAATAGCCCATTCGGAACATTAAAAAGAGCCCCTTGACATTGTACCGTCAGGGTACACTCCTTTCGTGGAGAGCAGTCACATATTTTGCTCCATTGCTCCGATTGGCTCTTGGGGACTGTAGGTTTTGTTCTTTGCCGAAGAAGTGGACTATAATGCTCCTACTATTTCAAATACTGACTGCTTTGACTGTAGTTTGCCTCACCCATCGAACAGCCAGGGGCCGCGACGTCCAATCACGGTTAAAGTCAGCGAGCAGTGTGAGGAAACTGCAGACGAACACTGGAGACAGGATAGATGCTGAGCTCGCAACTCATCATTTCATCTAGAAGAGAAGAAGGAAGATGATGCAACCAACAGGCACATACTTATGGCTAGAGAACTCTAGGGCGCAGGGCGATGGCTTCAGCACGTCGAAGCGTTTAAAAACGAAACTTCCTTTTCAGATAGTGTAACAGAAGGGTGGCTTAACCAGTGCTCCCTCTGACCTTCTATAGTATACACTTCGTAAATTTCTTTGGAGAGCTTTTTCCTTACGTCGACCAACGATAGCGGCGCTGGCCAGATTTGAATTACATGTGCAGGCTCGACAGTGCAGAGGCAAGTGCCCCCCCACCGTTTACCTCATAGACAGGTTATATTCACGTAGCTTAATACATCTTCCTGTCTGTCCCACGTACGGCCTCACACATGTTAAGGGAATGCTGTATACCACGCACGAGCTAAAGATCACAAACTGTATAGCATGTTTCTGTTTACATTTCACTCAAGGTAGTTTTTCCAAATTTAAGCGCACCTTGGAACAAATCTGCGCTATTTTTTGAGGTCCTGAAGAAACAACTGGAACTTAAAATCTTTGGGTGACTCGTTGCAATTATTTAACACTCAATATAAAAAAAGACAAATATAATATTTCACTCTAATAAAAAAAGAACTAAGTATGATAACTGTAATATTTATAAGAATAATTGTGTTATTGAGCAAGTAAGTACATTCAAATACCTGGGAGTAATATTCGTCAGCTACCTCAACTGGCAACAGCGCATAACTTACGCCTGTCAAAGATTAACATATGCATGTTACATTGTATTGCTAAAGGCTCGGAACTGTTTCGACCCTCACACTTTAAAAATAATTTACTTTTGAATGTTTCAAAGTCACTTCAGATGCAGTACAAAAGCTTGGAGTACGACCTTCGATAGTGACCTCGTGCCAGTGATTAATTTATAGAAAAGAGTAGAATTAGAATAAAAACCACTCACATTACACATCAGAAGTGCACATTTTATGTAATCAACTTTGCATTCTTACATTCCGAGAAATAATAAAACACAAAATTGTTACGATGTTCCACGGAGTTGTAACTGATAACAACCCCCTTCCAATAACAATACTTTTAAAAGGTACACATCTAACTAGAGGTAAATTTATCTGGGCAATCTAATCTTCCATCATGTCATAATATTTATGAGGGGAGGCTAATCAAGTTTTGCGGCACAAAATAATAGAGCACCCTTCCGAATAATCTTCTATGTTCGCCTAATTTTAGTCAAGCTCTAGACCAGTGGTTCTCAACCATTGATGTCTCGCGGATTCTTGGGGATCGGCGGAGATGACGGAGGACCCCGTTTGAGGTGAGGGGAAGGGAACTGTATTGGTTAATTTTGATAATGATCTAATAAATGGATATAACTAAGGGCCGGTGTGAAGTAGGTTTCTCTCATTGACATACACACGAGAAAACTCACCCGAAAATTGGAATGTTTCTTTTCAGTCGGATTAAAGACGACTTTTATTGCCAGACTTGACTGACGAGGCAGGGCTTTCCGAACCCCATTTCAGAACCTCCGCTCCAAAACACTACTCTCTTTCTTAAATAACCTTCCCCCTTGTAACGATCGTCTTGGTTTAATTAAATTTGTATTGCTCCTACGATTATATATGTTTGTTGCATATTTTTGTTTGTAGAATTTCCGTATAGATTCTTACTAACCTGCATTGCTCATCCTGTGCCGTATTATAGTGAACCCAAACTACCTAGCCAATTCGCTATGGGTGTCCGTGTCTTCTCAATAAAAATGTATTTGTATCTCGATGGTAATGAAAACTAATTGAGCTGAATTGAAATGCCTCTATATTAATTAACCCTGGGACTAGGGAGACGAAAATAAGGTACCATGCAACACTCCTAGTCTTGGGGTTTAGACTGTGGTGTTTTCGGACTAGCCTGTCTGCATACTTTCGCTTCTTGAAAGTAAATAGTCTGCTAAAAAATTCCAGGAAGCAAGGCGGTAAATTGGCCTAGTTGGGGATCATTGAAGATTCTGAAAAACGACGCTCAAAGGGACAGGGCAAAAGGAAGGAACGCAGCGTGTGTTTGTCCCGCGTCGCTTCCTTTCTGTCCCATCCCTTTAAGGGCCGTTTTTCGTGAAATTGCGAGTAGAGTTCCAGGTTTGGTGGCAATAGTCTCCGGCGTGACGGTGCTCTCTGCCCTTGCAGGGGGAGCCTGCTGGTCCGTAGCCTCGCCGACCTGGTGCGCAAGGAGCACTTTGTGATCGGGTCGGAGTACCTTACCACCCTCCTTGTCGTGGTGCCAAAGTAAGTGGGGAATTGAGTTGGGGGGCCAGGCGGGCGTCTTCCGCTTTGACCTACTTCAGCCCCCGACATCTTGCAGGATGCTCTACAAGGACTGGTACGCCAAGTACGAGAAGCTGGCAGACATGGTGGTGCCAAAGTCTTCCCAGTGAGTCCTTGCATCTCGTGCGAAGTACTAGTTCGAGTTTATCATCTTCAAAGACATCTGTCGGACGTATTACACGAGGAAAGGAGCGAACGAGTCGACAAAAGATTTCAATAAATATACCGACTAGCAATTTTATGGCAAACAAGTACACAGACCGAATACCACACATCCGAAAACGCTTTGGGCTTGGAGCAGTACGAAAGATGGTTACTATCGATTACTACGAGGGGCGTACCATATTGATTTACAATGAATTTTTTTACCGCAAGTACCGGTCACTCTGAGGTCTGCACATTTCTTGAGATTTTCCCTGGAGCCGAATGCCCTTGCACCACCTGTGTGACAGCCGCTTGGACAGTTACTTCCGTCTCATCAATGACTGAAAATGGCGTCCTCGCGGGTTTTTTTTTTCATGCCACCCAACAGATGATGACCACTGGGGGACCGGTCGGGCCATACGCACGCCCGACCAAGCTTTGGCTGGGTTCTGTCGGGTGCGCCGCTTAATCACGGTGTCGTGCGCATTCACGTGATGCAGTGATTGCCGGTGTCTGATTGGGTTCGGTCGGTGGGATGTTTGGTTGCGCGTTGGGTATGTCCCGGCCGGGCCCCCAGTGGTCATCACCTGTTGGGTGGCGCAAAAAAATACCTGCAAAGGCGTTGTTTTGTGGTCATTAATACGCCGGAAGCAGTTGTCCTGGTGTGGGTGTCAGGCGCTCCCAAAAAATGGTTTCGTCTGGGCTTGGAGAGGCCACCACACAGGTGGTGTGAGGGCGTTTGGCTCCAGGGCTGCCGTGAAGGTGAACATGTGCGCCGGCTTATAAGTGACCGGTATCTGCAGAAGAAAACTGAATTGTAAATGAATATACTAGTATGCCCCTCACAGAAATATCAGTTGACAAATTCCATTCACTGATGCTTAGCGAGAGGGGGAAGTTTGTGTCGATAAGTTTGCGATTGTAGTAGTTCAATTTTGAGGGGTTAATTGAAAGGATATCGTAAAGTGGCGCATCTCTCAAGAAAATTGCTTGAAGTCTTACAGAGACTAGAGAACCAGCAATGAGCACTGCGACGCAAAGAGACTTGGAAAGCCGGTGTAGTCTTGTCCATGCGTTCAAATTATCGTTGTCTACCCATTTCTGCGTTCCACCTTTGGTCAAATTTATGTTTCGTGGATTCTATTTTATTGTCAGCTAAGATGCGCCACAGGTGCCTCGTTTCACTGCACACAACCGAAAAAGAGTGTTAGGGAAGCCCCGAGACTTTTTTTGTGCAAGAAAAAAGCCGTGTTTTTTTTTTTTGCAAAATTATTTTTTGTTGGTGGATTTTTATGGGTTATGTTTGCGTAAAAATGAAGGCAGCCATCAATATCTTGTGGGTTTCCCTTGCTGGTACGGGGAGCTGAACCAAAGCAAGTCGCGATCGCATTTGCGCAGGCTGGTGTACGAAGATCAGGAGCACGGCCTGTTCACCGTAACCCTCTTCTTCAAGGTGGTGGAGGAGTTCAGGCTGCACTGCCGGGAGAACAAGTGAGTGCCCCAAGATGCGTGCGGGCGTCCGACACTTGTCAGTTGTTACCTCAGCCATGCGGGGCCTTGGCGCTACCTAAGGCACTTTAGACGGGCTAGTTGAAGAAATTCTACATCCACAGTGCTTTCAAGTGCCAGTCCCAAGAGCTAGGCTTTTGTTTGCATTTGGGTCCGTAGCATACCTTGACATCACCTTGTTAATTGGACACGGTGCGACTGTAGACTTTAACCCTTTCTTGTCGAATGTTGCCTACAGGCAACAAACTGCATAATTCTTTTTTGTTTAATGGTTTCGGTTTTATTACGCTTTTTTTTTTAATCTAGTAGTCTGGCAACCTTTTTAGAAATTGAAACTAGAGCGCCATCTAGTGAAAAAAATAGGCAAATAGTTGAGGAAACAAAAGAAGTTTGGCGCGCAAAGGCTTGGCGACCGAGAATGGCAGAAAATGTGGATAAGTGTTTTTCTCTGACCACTAATATTTTACGACAGGTGAACATCTTCCTTGAGGCTATCGTATGTGGAGATCTTATTAACATTTAATCGTGATCCATGTAGAGGTTGTGCAAGGAAGCCACTTTCGGACTTTTGCCTGGTGTTGCCCACAGGCAACAGAGCTGTAGCTTGCAAATTTACCGTACAATTTTTTTTTTACTTCAGCTCTGTTCTTTTGTTAAATTTTGTTAGACATTACTATCTTAAAAAATTAATGTTTCAAACAATTTTTGTATATCTCGTCAATAAAGGGTTAATCTATTTTGTCACAAAGGATGGTTACTTTGTGTGACTTTACTGAAAGGGCTGTCTCTAATCACTGGGGGTCTCATTTTCACAAACCAGTGACAAGCTGCTAAGGCCCATTGACTCTCCTGTAAAGAGACTGAGTTATAGCACCAGAAAAGGTTTCATAGGTCACAAATGGCATCTCCCAGGATAAGCACAAATGTTGTTGCAGTCTTGCCAGTTTGGTATCCAGCCTTTTAGCAGGAAAGTCGGGGGGGTCCGTTATCAAAGACTCGAGATGCGCGGGCCGTCCATCTAAAAAATCGAGGGTTATCGTTTGATTTTGCACATATGCCAGGGTTGAACGGCGGACTCTTTGCAGGTTTGTGGTACGGGAATTTGTGTACGACGAGTCGGCGCTTTTGGCGGGCAAGAACGAAATTGCCAAGCTGGAGAGCGACAAGAAGAAGCAACATGTAAGTGGATCGCTATGGCACAAGCTTGGGGCTGCGGGAGTTTACTGTCACACCCGAGATTGAGGCAGAGGCTTGATCTGGTAATGGGAGCTTTCTAGGGAGCCTATTTGTATTGCCAAGTGTGTTGTTGCTGGAAGGGTACAATCATACTTCCATGGGAACAACAATTTCCACAATCCGTGCCATAAAAAGCAGTTTCACTTTCAACAAATGAATAGCATTACTAGAACTGTAATTCATTAAGCACCATCAGCTTCGCACATCGATAGCAGAATTGGTTCTTTGATCACTTTGTAATTCTTTCTCGGTTTGTTTGCTTTGATGTTGTGATCATTAGAACTGACAAGTACACAGTGGCGACCCGCAAGCCCCCTAGAATCTATTTCTTCCGCCATCAAAGGCTCTAGAGCCAAACCTGTGCCGAGAGATTGATCGGAGTACATTGAGAAAGAAATCCTTACGCACTTGTGTCTACTGGCGTCTTGAACATGCAAGCCTCCTCCATCCTCCGCTCCATGGTATCTTCAATTTCCTCCTTCGTAGGCCCAAAGAAGGCTGCCATTAGTTTGGCACAGATGCCATGCGCTGAGATGATGATTGTCGTGTTAGAATATTCGAATAGTAGTTTCGAATAATACACTATTGGACATTCGTTTTGATGTGAACTGCGATATTTCCACTTTTCAAAATGTTGATTGTGGCAAGTTTGCCCCGTGTCGCGCGCTTTTTGCCGCCGAGCACCCGAGCACTGCGGGGAAGCAATGCACGCGGAGCTCCCAGGTATTGCTTCCCCGCAGCGCACTCCATGGGTCGAACTGCCGCGATTATGCGAGAGTATGTTAAAGGGAAGCTAAAGCGGTTCTGCATTTGAGTCAAAACACTTAAATCGTGTCCAGTTGGCTTCCAAGATCACCAATATTGAGATTATTTTTCAGTTTGGTGCACAAAGGTTGCAGAAATTTATTTTCCAGGTACCACTGAAGCCTCTTTATTTTGGAGCGTCATAAAAGGAGTTGTCGGAATCTCCGCCCATTGCGGATCTTCAGCGCCTATCAAAGCTACGCACACACACGCTCGCTATTTTTTAAAGGCAGGTCAGAAACAGATGTTGTGATATGGTGCCAGCGGGGGGGAATATACCTGGCAAGCTTGTGATTGCTTGCGCTGCCTACACTCTGGACGGCTCTTGGCGGCCCAAAGATCCTTTTTAAGAACCTCTTCAGCTTCCCTTTAAGCAGCGATGTCTCGACAGCCCACATTCATCATTCATGCTTGTTTTTTCTCATTTTGTCAAATTTTAAATAGAAAAAAATATTTGTATATAGCGAGCAGGTTTATAAATCCCCCAATTAGGAAATCTGGACAAATGTCATTTACATGCCACAGTTCGTATAGTTATGTTAAAATTAACAGCTTCGAAGTGGACAAGTGCAAGGTTGGGAACAACCTTCTCAAATTCGGCTGAATTTTCATTTAACCACGGGTAGTGAAAGACTAAGAAACTGTATGATATTCGATTTGAAAATATTCGGCCAAAACCACTATTCCCTTCAAACTCAAAATCCACTGTTCGCATGTGCCTAAAGGATAGTGATCAGATTTGTGGGACTGAATTTTGAAAAGGGTCTATTGTAGTGCGATTGGGACACTCACTTTTCTGGCAACACTGACAGTGCCGAGACCTAGCAGCAGTATAGACTAGGGAGTCTTCATGTGCGCTTTGCTAGGGCGATGCCACCCTTTGCAATACCACTCGCCAACAAACCAGCAGCCATTTTGGTTCTCGGCGATAATTATGGGGCTTATAACCCTCCCGTAAACAAGCACCTTATCTCACAAGTTCGGAGCAGCGTTGTGGAACCCACGGAGGGAGGATTAGCATTTTCTCCCTCGGATGGGAGGACCGATGGACACAAAGGCCACTTTCCGGCGCACGGGGAAACAATGAGAGGAAGAAAATGGCGGCGGAAGAAGGTGTGGGAAAGGGAAACAGGCAGTTGGCATCACTCTATGCGAAGCGCACATGAAGGCATCTGAGTATAGACTATTGGTAACAGATGGGTATTGTAGCGTCGCAACAACAGCCGTGTAGTGGTGCGACATGTTGCCGAGAGTCTGTGTGGGTTTGTGCTGAGCTTCCTCTCGTTCGAACAGGGTCAGTTAATCCGCTGGCTGAAAGTGAACTTCAGCGAAGCGTTCACTGCCTGGATTCACGTCAAGGCGCTGCGGCTTTTCGTCGAGTCTGTCCTCAGGTCAGTTCCAAGTTGCGTCAAACGCGATTGGCGCTTGCGCCGCAATCTTTTCGTGAAACACAATGACGCCATTTTTATGGAACAAGTTTGTTATATTGATGCAACTTATGCTGCTTTGTACAAGGAGGCAGACGACACTCTCGTGCGGCAGCGAGTGCGACAATAGGTATTGAAGAGCGTTGGGAACACACGACACACTCTCGGGAAGAGCGTACATTCGTTCAAAGCAGACGTGAAGAAAGTACAGGCCCCACTCAGTGTAGGCTTTGTCACGTGGTGGGTGTGGCGGGTGTCTCGCAAAACTGTGGAAGGCAGAGTGACATAACTAGGATGCGAAGATGACGCAGAGAGCACTCGGTGCTCGACACGCCGAATAAAAGATGGAGGAGACTAAGAAAGTCCCTCTGTAGGTACGGGCTGCCAGTGAACTTCCAAGGCATGCTACTGCAGCCGCAGAAGAAGACCGCCAAGCGGCTCAGGGAGGTGCTCAACCAGCTGTACAGCCACCTGGACACCAGCATTGCCGCCGGACCCATCGACGTGAGTGGCCGCAAAACCTTGCGAGTCCTTACTTCTTTATTTTTGCGCGGATGGTTTGTGGCTCCTGGTATCTAGGGGAACGGAGCGGCTAGGGAACTGCAGTTATGGTGCCGCAAAAAGACCGAGATACATGCAGGGAGTCTTCTAGCCCTATTCGGGCGTGGACAAATACCAGCAAACCGACTGCAGTGAAACTTGTCACAAAGGCGCCTTGAGGTAGTGAACTTGTCATATCCAAATTTCAGCTGTGTGTGCTTATGAACAATAATTTAGGGCTAAGAAAACCTCTACTTTTCCACGCACAGGGAGTAAAACGGTAAAAACCGTCTGGTTTTGATGCTGCCACCCGCAAACGACAGGACGTACGGCAAAAGCGCGAACACTTCTTTGCGACGAACACCCAAAAGCAAACAAGAGCGTGTTTGCCACCATGTGCGTCTAGCTCCCTCAACCGGATGATTTTTACCGTTTTTCCTCCTAAAATTTACTCATGAAGGTTGACTGTAATAGATGCACTGCCTAGCTAAATAAACCGTTGTGAAAAGTTTAATTATACAATTCTTTTTTCATATTTTATGTAGAATGAATCTATATGGGAAGTGTGCTAGCCGCGTCGAGTTAAGATCTCTGCTCGAGTCTGCCGAAAAGGACATCTCCATCTTGTTTGTGCAGGACATTCCTGGTCTGAACCTGGGCCAGCAGGAGTACTACCCGTACGTCTACTTCAAGATCTGCACCGACATGGCAGACACGCACACGCGCGTCTGAGGGGGCCTTTTCTCTTCGACACACGCGTGTCTAGTCAGGAGTTGCCCGGTGACGCGCACCAGGGCCTCGTTGTCTGTGCGGAGACATTCCAGATGTTTTATTTCAAGTTGTACAGGATAGCTCGTCTGATCGTGGAAACCGCCCGCAATAAATAGGTGGGCTCCAACTTGTGCGTTGTCCGGACCAGGCTTGCTCACTCCATCACAGACTCTTTGGCAGTTTCCTGGGGAGAAAAAAGTAACTGTAACACCCTCCCTTCAGAGAGTGCAACTGTAGCACCCTGCGCTAAAAGAGTATAACTGTGACATCCCATCTTAGAAGGGTGCAACAGTGGCACTCAATCTTAAGAGTGCAACTGTAACACTACCCTAGAAGGGTGCAACTCTAACATTCTACCCTGAAAGAGAGCTACTGTAACACACTATTTTGGGAAGTTGGAAGATGGGCATAATATAATCTTCTTTGGGAAGCAAGAGTAATAATACAAACACCTTTCAAGGGAAAAAGATGCGAGGGACACAACAGTCATCAACATCAGTCATACTTGGCAGCAGATGACATTAGGATGCCAGCAACAGTAAACATAGTACTGTAAGTAACTTATATTTCGTAACCTATATTTAAAAGTTGCAAATAAATGGAACATTGTGTAAATACTATTCGCAACTCCAGCCTGCTGCTCGCCCTCTCGTGGACGAACAAAGAACCAAAGACTGTTTGTTGAGCTTGGTGCCTCGGTGTTGCTATTATTGCATGGTTCTGGTCGGCGTGTTTGCGCGTGACGCAGTTTTAACGTAAAAAATGAACACGTTTAAAGGGATACTTCAACGAAATTTGAAATAATATAATAATAATAATATAAATAATAGGTTGAATATGATCCACAATATCCATAAATGACAATCGCACATTTGTATTTTGAGCCTGCTGGCTGTATTTTTCGTTATAAACGGCCCACTCTGGCAAGCGCTCGGAGAAGGCCCAGCTTAGAGCACGTGACATCCAACGCAATCGTGACGTAGGTCGTCTCAAGACGAGCAAAGCTACGGCGAGGCTGACGTCGAGAGGATGGCCTTGTCGTTCCAGCCACCGAAGCGGCTGCTTTTGTACAAATTTTGGGTGACGGGTTAATCTCCTCTAATCTTGTAGGGGGACAATAACGCCTTCTGCGACACACAAGAGGCATTCTCGGGAAAGGGGAGTTCCTCCTGCCCCTCTTCTCTCGTCGTGGCCGGAGACGACAACCTCCGTCACTAGCTGTCAAGGTTCCTAGACGGGCATTACAAGCGAGGCGTTAGCGACATACACCAGGTGCTCTTTGCTGATTGTTTAATTCGTTTTAAAATTCCTTTTCGTGACTTTTTTTAACAAGATATTGGTATGTTCGATGTGATGCTGCTCCTTTGAACACATATAGACCAAAAAAAGAGCGCCGAAATTTCGTTGTTGTATCCCTTTAAAATATGAATTCTCACGTTCCGCCTCGCAGCAGCATTGCACGAAGGGAGAGGTTTAATTTCATCAGGGACTTCACGTATGTCCCATATGCTGCAAATTTCTGGTCTTGTGGTCGCCAGCCCAATCTGTGCTCAAAGTGACGGCAAACACTCCCGCTATGTTGAACAATAGGCAATGGGAATGGGTTTGCGTTTTAAGGCCGTTTTGGGGAACATGACCATTTGCTCCAAGCACTTTCAAACAACAGAATATGCATGCTTGGTTTCAGGTTATTACAAAGGCAAATAAAGAAATGCTTGGAGCTTTTACGCGCGTCCGTGTTAGCCAACCGTTTGCGACGCGAGCTTAGAACGGGCAGTTTTGGCGAGGCGGGCCACAACGTTGCATATATCGTGGTAGACAATTGTGCGGTATAGCGAGAGATTCCGTTACGATGGATCAATAAATAAAACCCCTAAGCATGCCAATGATGGTAATACATAGGCAGTTTTAGCGTAGCGTTACCGCAGGCTACCTTTGGCTACCGGCAACTCACCTGGCGCGCGTTGAAAATTATGCTTCTAAGGTACAGCGCAAGCTTCTGGTTGCGATGCTGCACCGCATGGTAGTCTGCTGTCAGTGCAGTTTCATCGCTCGTTGCAATACTAAAACCTCGGCTATGAGCATGAGTTGTGAGCCTGTGACACAAGACATCAGTACTGTGAAGGCTGCTCTTCCGAAGCTTGACGGTCACCGTGCACGGCTCACTTTTTGGAGCACGAACAAAGTGCAAACACCACAATATCATCGCCCTCAAATATATTTTGCCACAAACAGCGACATGGCCGGTGCCCTGAATGCACTCGCCCTCCACAAAGCTTCCCAAATTGAAGTTTCTGCAACTTTTAAATATCAACACGCTCGTTTTCCAAGCGCACATCATCATCTCCGTCACGTGTAACTTAGCATTCGTAGATAAATAATTTTTAGCGCAGTGACCAGCGTCAACGAGCAGGTGCACGGGAAATCCTGGAGAATCTATCCCAGTCTCTTCTGCCATCTTGGAACTACCGCCTCGCCATCTATAGGGCATCGGAGTTGCGAATATTAGTAACCATATATGGGGCCCAATAAACAATTCATGGTCCCGATTATGAAATTCTTTTACCATAGGTATTTCTGAGTGCAACATTCTGAAGAAAACTTGAGAAATATTAAACCTGCACATTCGGCGCTGTTTACAGTACGCCCACATTTTTTACTCTCTGCATTACGGTTTGCAGCGACAGCCGCTTAGATTTCCTTATTCCGAGTGCAGTTCTAATCAAAATCTAAAAAAGTGAAAGCCGTTTAAAACTCCCTGTAATCCCGAATTAGAGTGCAGCTCTTGAGGAGGAGGGAAGGGTATTGGAGGGGTCTCACGTGACGATGACAATGCCAATGATGTCATCAGTGACGATGACAATGTGGATACCGATGACATCATTAGTGACATCACTGATGACGTCATCAGTGATGATGCGGATGCCGGTGATGTCATCAGTGACAATGACGTCATCAGTGATGATGCGGATGCCGTTGATGTCATCAGTGACAATGACATCATCGGGGGGGGGTCATGTGACCCCAAAGGGGGCTCGCGCGGCGCATTATGGGACATTTCATATAATGCACCGCGCAATTACGCTGATGCCGACGCCGCTCAAGCCGGAAACGGGCGCCCAAGAGCTGCGCTCTAAAATGCTGCGTGGAGGTGACGGAGACGAGCAATGCCACTAAAGAGATGCGGCTTGCCTGGGCGGCGTGGATGGCCGCCGTCCAGTCTTCGGCCGCGATCCTCGGGATGGCCGCCCGCAGAATGCGCAGCGCTCGCTCGCTGTTCTCCTTCATCGTCTCGAGCACCTGCTTCACGTCCACCTGAAAAAGGGCGCGCAAGCGGCAATGTGCGGAGACGACTGCGGAGGTCGAGGCGGAACCCACGTGTGCCAAGTCGGTCCGCCAACTGTCGTAGTCTGTCGGCAGGGCAATGGCAGCGTACAGCAGGCCGGCCTCCTTCGCGAGCACCACCTGCATGCCGCAACGACCGTTTGCGATATTTGTATGCCGCTTTTTGATGCGGAAGCTAACTCAGATTTGGCGTTCGAGTTGCGCGCGGCAGAGTCTGCCTCCTACCGAACTGATTGCTTGCACGGACTGCGTCATCGGGGTGTCTGGAATAGCCCTGTGCAGCACTTCCTCACCGCGGTCCGTGCGTTCTCGGAGTCGTTGCGAGAAAAAGTTGTAGAGGGTGAAGAGGTGGATGCTTACTTCCCTAGTCGAGCAGATCTACATTTAATACGGCAGCATACGATTGTCGAGCGTGCGTGCGCGTAACCCGGCATCAGAAATGTGCAGCGGCTGGTGATTAATGTCCACGAGCGAAAGCTCCATCCTGGCACTTGTACCCTTCAACGGACACTACTATCTGCGCTGCCTATTAAAGTTGCGCGCACTAGCAGCTCCATTCTTTTGGGAATTGATATAAAAAACTTTCAGCCTTTCCACTCTGGTGAAAACCAGAGTGGAAAGGCTAAAAAGGTTGCCGCCATATATGAGCGAGGCCAGCAAGCCGGTTGTCTGGTTGCCGCCGTCGCTCATGGGTGGCGGTAACTATCCAGAGTTTTGTGTCGACCTTTCTTTGCGAGGGACACAATCCTGGGGAAAGTAGCCCTTAACAGCTCCACTGTAAAAATAAACTTTTGTCGGTCGTTAAAATTTTTTTTTTTGCGACACCTTGGTTCTTAATTGCGACCGGGTTCGCTGAGGTGCACCAAGGTGTTCCCAGACGACGCGGCCCGAGGAGACTTGCCTCCGGTACGGTGGTCATGTTGATGACGTGGCAGCCCCAGGACCTGAACATGATGCTCTCGGCCGCGCTGGAGAACCGGGGCCCCTCGATGGTCACCACCGTCCCCTTCTCGTGGTGCACCAGGTGCAGTTCTCGTGCCACCTGGATCAACAACTGCGGCACCCCCGTCGATTCGATTACTCCTTAGAGTCGTAGTGGCCATTTCTTGCTTCTGCCGGCAACCGAGAGCGGTCCCCCAATACCGTCCGCAAGCCGGCAGCAGTACCACAGCCCGGTTAATTCTATGCAAATCCCGTTTTAAATAAAATAGTATGGCCGAAAATAAAAAAATATATATATATTTATAGGCGAAGAGGCGGTCGTGTTTCCATTTATGGGCGACCTACTCCCACTTGGAGTATTAACGCTTCGTTCCCCAATTTTCTTGTGGCGGTCGCCATTTTGGTGCTTCGTGCAGAGCAGGCGCAATTTGTAATCGTTTGGTCCGGACGTATAGGGAAGCTCCGGCAATATCGGTTCACTCTGCCACAAACAGTTCTAGCATTTCCGAAGGACAAGAACCGCTTTCTGCGATTTCCGACGAAGGCTCGATAATTACTTTCTCTACTCCGAAACATAGCATAGTGACTGGCTCTAGGCGAATTGACACCTCTTTCGACCATTTTCGTCGGCATCGTCGTTTCTTCTAACCCCGGAGTCCAAGGTTACAGATCGTGCCGCGCTCTGTAGACTTGCGTCGGGAACCGTTCTCGCCCGCGCGATCGTCTCGTTTCCCCTTTCTAGCCCGCCGTGCCCGTGCAGAAACTTCTCCGTAACAGCATGCGCTACCTTTCGAAGCTCGGGATGGAACGGGGAAGCCATGGAAAGGTGGCAGACGCCCTTCGGAGATCCCGGCTTGCCGTCGTGAAAGGTGCTTTCTCTCTTCGTCGTCCTGCAACACGAGTTGGCATTCTTTAACGAGATTGGACGGTTCCTAATAATAGTCCTGAACACATACATAATAGCGTTGCGTTCTGACACAAAGTGCGTTAGTATACGGCTGGCACCCAATCGCGTCCGGTCGGGTGCCGGCGACATAAGTCGACGGGCAGACTGCCAACGGAACACCGATGCAGCACCAGCGTGCTCGCCGATTAGACCGAGCCTCTTCCTCGAGTGCCTCCGTGTCACTCCCCGGGGGAAGAAACGCGGCATGTTCAGACGTGCGACGACGCTCTCGATGAACCGAGCGCACTCAGTGCTTCCTTAGAGGAAGAGCCCCAAACCTACGGGGGATACGAAATGTAGTTTCTCTACACTACCCGTCGCATTCTTGTTACCACTGCCTCTGCCGCGCGAGTATGGCAAATGGGAAACTTTTTTTATTTCAACACTGGGAAGCTCGTTGGCCCCAGTGGGCGTCCGGTATCTCCACTGTAGTCGAGAAATTTAGCTAGTGTGGTACCGCCGCCACAAACACATTCAAACGGGAATCCTGTGGCAACGCAACTCCAACACAAATCTTGCGGCGGTCCACTTCTGTTCGTTTTCTTTGCCGGGGGAAAGCCCGCTCCGTCGAATTTCGCCCGTGTCCTCCGCGGGGGCCTTAGGCGTGCTCGTAGCGTGGGTCCAGGCAGCCACTTGCCAGCTCTGTTGGCCGTTGGTCAATCGCTTAAGGCCTTCACTTCTTTTCAGGTCCCGAAAGGGAAGGGCTGTGTTCGAAGCTTACCCAAATAGATGCAAGCTACTCCGGCGGGTCGCGACACGCAATAATGCGGATAGAGCAACGCTGGACGTGGGTAGGTCTTCGAACGCAAAGCTACAGAACCCTTGCCCTGGAGTAAGGTAGAGTAAATTTCGGAACAAGTCGAGTCTGACGAGCACCGAGATCACCAAGAGCGGAGGAAGCGAGGAGGAAAGTCGCGATCTTGGCTCGGTGCTGTTCCAACAGACATGAAACTGCCGGATGCCTCGACTTAAAATTTTTGCTGGAGTCGTGCCGCCTCACCATTCTTGTTCGCACAGGCCTTACCCCGGGTGTCTTTAACGTGCGTCGCGTAGTAGTGATACAAGACCGCACGCCGGTACAATGCTCGTTCAGATTGAAACGGGCATGTCTGTCGGGATATAGCTGAGGATTCCTCGGTTTAGCGGCGCAAGCTGTCGCCACACACTCGGAGCTGCAGTCTGCCAAACCCCCCTGACACATGCCTGACATTGTTTACATTACCGGTTTCAATCTTCCCGGGTTTCAGCAGGTGTTTCAACAAGCTGCGACCCCTTTACCAGTCTCAAAATGAAGTTTGAATGGCTTTATAAAACATATGCTTTGTCCGGTTGCCATGGGATGTCGTTGCGACCGTACAGCACGATTGTTGCAATTTATATACTGCAAGGTGGAGCCACCGTGGCTTTCCCTCGATAAATATAGAGAGCTTTCCAGTCGTAAAACAGAGGTGATTACATTTCACGTCCACATACTGCTGCCCCGATCAACTGAGGCTGCCACCCACATATGCTTCGACCAACTGCACGGCCGCAATTCAAGTATCGAGTCTGACCACCAGCATGGCTGCTACCCGTTTCCGAGGGGATCGTGTTTGACCCATATGGCCGCAGCATAATTTCGTGGTGCTGTGGACAATCGACTGGCAAGCATTTGTTGCAATCCGCCATAAAATACTGAGCAAGTGCCCACCCACAATTCGGAGACAATCTTGAAAAATGCGTGGAGATAATTTCAATTAGCTAGTTGGGCTGAGAGACGGTGGTGGTGGTAATTATGTAGGTATTTAATGGCACAAAATGCAACCTAAGACACATTGCACTGGAGAAAATTTGCACTTGGAGGTCTAGGACGTGCTCGGAGAGGCAGTGTTCTTTCTGTATGGTGTGTGGGCGCACCTACTGCAGCCCGTGTGCAAGCTGGGTACTTTACGGTAGCCGAATTTCGGTACGACAGTTGTGGCACGGGCGCCTTGCCTGTCAATAAACTGGTCCGGGAAGACCACGTGACCCGGTGCGAAGTCCTCGTGCAGCGAGCCACAGGCTGTGGTGGCGAGGACATGGGTGCAGCCCATCTCCCGCAGCGCCCATATGTTTGCCCGGTAGTTGACGTTGGTGGGCATGATGCCGTGGTTGCGCCCGTGTCTGCGCAGAACAAAGTTGGTCGGGTGACTGCTACCGCTGGCGCAGTTCTGAAGAGCGATAAGCCGTTTAAATACGATATCAGCCCAGTGTGGCCTTCCCAGTGAGCCAACTTAATTTGTAGTTCTGATAGCCTAACATCTGTGTGCTAACCTGCTTTTGTTTTGGGAAATATATATTACTATATGCTAATTGTGCAATTGTGGCTGGTGCTCTAGTGTTCACTGGCCGCCATAAGTTATGCCTGCTCTTGACAGCACATGCTCGGAGCATGATAACTGCTGATCGCCACGCGACAAGGTCTCAGTAATTGTTTTTTTTTTTTTCGCATTTTACTTTATCTTTCTGTTATAAGCCGCCCTCCCCCCTCATGTAATGTCACTGAATGAGCTTTTGGGATTACAATAAATAAATATTGCGCCAACCAAAATAGACTGTCTCACAAACATACGTGAGACATTCATGGAGCATATATTGTGTCTGCAGAGCCATGTTTACTGCCAGGAGATGGTGTGAAGTGCATGTCGAGGGTGCAGCGGTGTTACAGAACCGAGCATCTCCCCGTCTTAATCTCGAGAAGTGCAGCTTAATAGCGTGAAATGATCAGCGCGCCATTCCAATCAATTGTGCGTACAGCTGCAACGGAAAAAGAGTAGCACAAGTGACCGACGACCAGAGCGGCAAAATCGCGACACGCGCCGATAGCGAGAGTGCAAGTCACGTTCCATGTCTCAACGCAGGGGCGGCCGGCAGAAGGCAGCCCATCCCAAAGCCCGCATTTTAACAGCTATCTTATCCCTCAATTTTCTGCCGGTCACCCCCGCATTTAGACATGCAACATGACTGGCACTCTCGCTATCGGCGTGCTCGGGAACAATAGCGCCGCTTGTCGCGATTTTGCCGCTCCGGTCATCGGTCACTTGTGCTACTTTTTTTTCGTTGCAACTGTACATTGTTCAGAGAGGGAACTATGGCTGCTCACCTTGCCAAAAGCACGCAGTCCACATGGCCGATTTGTCCCGAGACGAGCACATCGGAGGGCTGTCGATCGAAGAACACCTCAGTGATCACCAGAGAGTGAAACCCGGCGGCAGCGACCACTCACCTCTCCAAACGGCGTGGTCACCTTGTGCTCTTTCCGATGCTCCAGGATGTCTGGGTCGTCCAAACCGCTGCCCCCGATGATGCCGACCTGCAGACCGTACGCGGGGTTAGAACCATGGCGGTGGTGGTGGTGTGCCGGCTTTGCGGCCAATGCACGTGTTTTTCCTTGGCCAAGGCCTCGAAAGCTAGTATCGAGTCTCCGCTCGGGTAGCTAAAGCTTCCTTTAGCCTATTGGGACATCCGGTCACGGGCCAAGGCGTACGATCTCGCGCAAAATGGGCGCTTTTAGTCACGCGATTGTACGTCGCGTGCGGCTCGCGAGCACGGGACCCTTGGCGCGTAGCGGTTGAATTTCCTTGATACCTTGACTTTCTCGCTCATTGTGGAGATTGGCGCTCGTAGACAAGGGAGTCGCTGTCTTGTGCGCACTGTACGAGTACCGGTCGGGTTTTAATCCCGAGATCACAGACGGCGAAGGGGCGTGTCACTTTTTGAAGCAGGTGCGGTTTGTTGAAAGAACTGTACAATGTAAATACTGTGAAGACACTACGGGTCATAATTCGTGAATTCACGCCAACCCTCACCGCTGCGCAGCGCAGCGATCGGATCGCGCACAAAAGGGAGACAAGGGCTGTGTTCCAAAATTTACTCGATCCGACTCCGGAGTAAAGGTTTCGTACCGTGGCGTTCCAAAACTTACTCGAGCTCACTCGATGACGTCAAAACTCCCGTTCCAGAAGCGGGTTGTTTACTCCGGAGTAATTACTCACGCTACCCTCCTCGATCGGGGGGTAACGTCGGATCAAAGCGAGTAAATACGTCACGTGATCTGTTCGTCGTCTGCTTTCTGCGCCGACAGCCGTCAAAGCTCGCTTGCTCCGTTGGTTTTGGTGGCTGACGTTCGAAATGACAAAGAATGAGGTGCAGCATGTGTGGTTATTGCGATTTGCTGTTTTCAACGCACGAATTGACTGCATTACATCCAGACCGTGCACCTTCCCCGGGAAGGTATACTTGTTATTAGACAGTTTTAGTATAGCGTTGCTGGACCTTACGTACGCAATACGCAATAGTATAGCGTACGCTAAAAATGACCTGCTCGGACCGAATTTAGTTGTGCGTTACGGTTTCGAGTGAACACCGCGCATGATCTTGGTTAAATTTGCTAGAGCCGTAGAATTCCGCGTGCTTATAGCGCAACCATGCTCCCGGAAAGAAATATTGAAAAAGAAGAAGTGTCCAATCAATTTATTTCAGATTAAACCACGCCACAGCTGCCTCGTCAAGCGCGCTTTTCTGCGGGGTACAGGGGCTACGAGTACGAGTGCGTAGCCAAATTCGATCACGGAGCCTCCGTCACTCGTCCCGTGGAAACGGTACCTTTTATCAATGCTATCACGGAATGAAATTCATGACCCTGATGTCCAGTGCATAGCGAGAACTTCGGCGATTTCTTTTTGGAGTCGTTCGTCCGTCGGCGGTGAACTGTGGGAATAGGCTTAGCGTTGAGCAGATCGCAGCGTCGACGCCCATTCCGAGCGCCGAACATTTTCACTGTGCACTCGTTCAGCTGCACGGCGATCTGATTCGACCGCGGTAGGTCCCAGAAAGAATCGCCGAGCTGAACACCATGCAATTTCACGTAACACAGAACTCCGAAAACACCACGTCGCCCTTGCTGCGCCAGTCGAGGCAACCACCATCTTGAAACTGGCGCTCTCGTTGGGTCCGAGATCTCTCGAGAGCGCCCCGCAAGGCCCGCTAGCCAGCAACGCAAAATCCCCAGCGTTGCGTGCGTACGCAATACGCTAGCCATTTTATTGCGTTCTGCGCATGCGCACTCACGACCCGCAATTTCCTTGCGTACGCAAAGGTATAGCGTACGGTCCACTAAAACTGTCTATTATCAGAGTGCGAGCGTAAACAGGAGCTTCTCCGCATTCTCGTCCTCGGCGTTGGAGGGAATGTCGTATTCTCACGTTCAAGGCTGAAAATATTTGAACGCAGTAAATGATAAGGTAGTATTTTTTTGTTTTCTCTAGAGTGTGTGTAGTGAGAGGATAACGCTCGCAAAGCAGTGAAGGCTTCAAAGATTTTATCGTAATCATATTCGCGTCAAAGTTTTATATCATTCTTGAGAAAGCACCCTCGCGCTGCACCACTACACCGTGTGGAATCAATTTCTGCAAAACATGATCAATGCAAATTACAATGCGCGGAATATATGCGTTTAGGGCAATCGCGCAGACTAATAAAACACTTTTTTAATGTCTAACTGTAAGGAGTAGGTAATTTTTATTTCAATATACAGCTCAAAAAGAAGGCGAGTAAAAGGAGCTGGTGAATCCGCCTCAAAAACACCGCGTCGTCATAATTATTATCGTCTCTTCGAGTGCTTTCCTGATGATCAAAAAGATCGTCTGCTATTTTCTGCCATCGCTGCTGTGGTTTCTTTTTGTCGTAGCCCAAGACAAAGCCAATCCGCATAGTATCCAGGTGATTAACCCGGCCGTTCCAAAATCGAGTCGCGGATCGTTTACTCGCGATGTCACGTGGTATTACCCGCTGACGTAGGAGGCAGGTTACTCGGGTAAGATTTGGAACATAGCCAAGGTGGGCGAGTTGGTAGTGGTTGCGGGATTCAAAAATAGCCCACAAAAAGACGAGGACAAGCGCTAACTCACAACTGAAATGTATTGAATGTATTGTAGTACGTGGGAAAAAAAAAAAAAAAAAAAAAAAAAAAAAGAAAGAGGCAGGAGCATACGGCATGTACGGCATGAAGTCGTTGCCACCCAAACAGGATATAAAGTACGCTCCAAACATTTCTCCAGAGCAGGTTGCACAGTGGATCAGTTTAATGAATTCGGGTTGTTAATTAGACCAAGTAGCGCTTTATTTGTACTAAACTCAAACGATGTGATCGTCTACCCACTCAAAGGCGACGCTTGCTTTATGTGTTCTTCTTCATGAACTTGAGGTACTTGTTGCCGTCGAAGTTGTCTTCTATCTCTTCCTGGACGACCAATTTTTCGGGGGGCTTCCTTTTGACCAGCACAATCTGTTGCTGCTCGGGTGTGAGCTCTTCGAACTTCAGGGGGAGCTGTGCGGAGAATACACATCGTCAGCCTTGACCGACGGTCGGCAGTGGTCGCAAGCGTTAACGGCTTACCCGAATTAACTGTCGCGGTTCGTGGTACCTCACGTTTATCGTCGATCCATCTGGCTGTACAAGGACTGTGGGATACAATCGCACGTAGGTGGCTCGCTTGATGCGGCTGATGCTTGCGGTGTTGGAGTTGTTCCGGCACTGCGTCCCGAGCGCCGACCGGCAGCCGTGCACGCTCGGTGACCTGAAAAAACATGATAACTGCCTATCAGGGGCTGCCGAGATGCCACAAGTAGTAGGGGATTACCGTAAAACGGTGAAGACAGCTGACCACATCTGTGAGCCGTTTTCTTCGAGCGGTTTGACTCAGCACTCAGCACTCAGCCATCGTAGCTCCCGCGAAATGAGAGATAAAGACAGTAAAGGATTTAGCTGATTTAGCGTGCCGACGGAACTGATGCGGAAGAAATCCGCTCTGTATTTGCAGCGCTCAAAACAAACGCGACAAAATAAAGCATGAGTCTATGAAGTACTTTTATTAAACTTATCTTAGTATATTTACGTTTTCAAAACAAAAATCCAAGTTAATTATATTCCTCTGACAGCGAACTAGGGCGCTTTGCGACGACATCGACGACATCATCATTCCCGTTCATGACGTCATAAGTCGGGGTTTCTCCTGGATGCGCGGGAAAACGTTGTGCAGTCAAACATCAACGTTAAATGAAAAGTCCTATCAGCTCCCATCAGTTGTGACAACGTTAGAATCTCTTGTATTTACGTGCAAAGATACCCGGCTGAATCTTTGGACTGTTGAACCGGTGACTCGGGCTGGAGTGTCGTGTCGACTGGGCCGCCTTCAGTTTCACTTCGTGGCTTTGTCGTACGGGAGGCCGGAAACAATGTTGCGCAGTGCCCGCCTCAGGAAAGAACTGGAAATGCTGAACACGCAGCTTCCCCCCGGAATCGTCTGCAACGCAGCGAATGAGAGCATGGACCAGATAGAAGCAGGTAACGGACAGCTCACCCAATGGTGTCGGCATCTTTTATACCTTCCCTCTCTTGTTCTCCTCTGCAGTCATTTTTGGTACCAGTGGCACACCGTACGAGGGTGGCAAGTTCAAGATAAGTATTCAAATTCCCGAAAGGTGCGTTTCTAGGCGTATGATGCGAAGTGGAACTTTCCTGACGCGCTGTCTTGCTTGATGTCTAGGTATCCGTTTGACGCACCGAGAGTCAAGTTCCAGACGCCAGTGTACCACCCCAACATCGACTCTGCTGGCAGGATCTGCCTCGATGTCCTCCAGATGCCTCCCAAGGTATCTTTCTTTTTCTAACTACTTGGTTATCTGTTGCGCTGCTCGTGTAAACATTAGTTCTGCATCTCTGGCACGTAATTGGCTGGAGCCTCGGGCGTGCTACCTTATTCTGACATGATCCTCGCAAGTATCTGCTAGCTGCAATGCTCACATTGCAAATGTCAAGAGATAGCTCGTACTACTGTATATCAATTTCCCAAAGACAAGTCTCGTTTAAGAAGTTTTCTCGCATTTGCTAGCTATACCAGTTTTTACCTCGAGAACCATAGTAAACCACGTCTGGCTCCTTGCGGAGAATTACTAATTTTCCCCCTTTATGTGGAGAATTAAGATATATGTAGGTAAATTTTAGATGAGATATATGTTACCTTATCATGCCGTACACATTCCAAACGCCAAAAGCTTTGTGTCTTCCTCCGACAACCAAATCCCGTAAGGGCTACTTTACGCCGCTTATGAACAATGCGCAAAACTTGCTTTTTTCTTTCTGTCGAAAGCGGGTACACAAGGTTTCCAGGCCTCCGATTCAAAGGAGAGCTTTGGCACGTGTAGTCGACATAACGTTAATGTCTACGCACTGGAACTTGCCTGCAGGGTCGCTGGAAGCCGTCCCTGAACCTGAAGGCAGTCCTGCTCTCGCTCCAGGCGTTGTTGGCACAGCCCAACCCGGATGATCCTCTCGTACCTCATGTGGTGAGTACATGGACGGCGCCAGGCTTTTCGTAGTGAGGGGGCTGTGGGGAGGCATGAGCTTTCAATCCCAAAAAAGAACAAATATTCAGGGACGATGACTTAACGCTTCGGGAGTTTTTGATAGAAATGAGCTGTTTATTTCATTATTTTACAACCTATCTACAACTCTGGTTAATGTAGCATTTCACGTGCAAAATATTCAGGCATGTTTACTTTCCGCAATACTGAATAAGCACGCTCGAGCGTGCTTACAAGCGTGATCATGCTTGTCGTGACTCGTCATCTGCTCTTTAGGCAGTCCCCTGCACTGCGGAAAACCTAAGTACATTAGCGATCATGTAAATGTAGTGACGATTCTCCCTTTGCTGAATGCGCCTGGCCGAGGCACACGGCGACTGATTTAGCCGCGCCACTTTTCTTCATCTGCTTGAAGGAAGCCGATGGTGTTTGGGACATCTTGTGTGCCGCACTGTTGGAGTGGCGTCGTAGTCTGCTTTCCTTTTGAAGAGCTTTCTTCCAGTTTCGATAGCCCTCTGTCAAAATACAGTACTTCCACTTTTTTACTCCCCCCCCCAATTCACAAACACTTTCAGCTTTCCTCCAACCTCCTAGTATAGTTCCTCAAAGGGACTCCGTGCCCCAGGGTAACTAATGATGGGAGCATAGCAGTTCTCGAATCGCCAGACTCCGACCTGTACCCATGGGCGTACCAACCGGGGGGGCAAGGGGGGCACTTTCCCCCCCAGTTCTCAGAGTGGGGGGGCAAGGCATGTGTTTTGCCCCCCCTGAAACGGCCGCCACTGGGCAGAGCAGACACAGGCCGGCGGCGCCCAAGGAATACCAAGGGCACTGCCCCCCGACCCGCGCGGGCATATTTGTAACGCGCAGGCGATACAAACCCTAGCAACGGTGCTCACGCACGCCGGATTGCCTGGTTCGTAAAGACTTGCTCCACGAACAAGGCCACACGGTAACCTTACGGAATCCATCCGCGAGACATGGGCCGGACGGGCCGTCCAGACCAGGACGTAGGTTCTTACACAAAATAAAGTTTTGCTTGCTTGCTTGGAGATAGGCGCTGCCGCCGTCAACATAGGCAGCGGATGCAATGCGAGTTTCCGAAGAGGTAGCGTAACTTAGTGGTGAGATGTCTGCCTCATACGTGTCAGACCCGGGTTCTATTTATGGTGTGGGCCGGCTTACTTCTTTTTATTTTTTTTCTCAAACATTTTGTTTTGTCGAGGCATTTGGCGATATTTACATTTCTTTTTTATCATTAACACTAAAAAAACGAATGTTGTTGACGAAACATCGCTAAACTAAATCGTATCGACTCTATTTACGGAAGTGCATGGGGGGCAGCGGGGCTTGGGTTGCCGACCGGACGCCGCAAAGCGGCGTGTACGGGGGGTGGAAGGGCTAGGTGGGTTAATAGATTTGTAATTAGCAGCCGCACACCGTCACCGCGAAGCGGCGTGAACGCAGGCGCGGGGGTGGGTTAACGCGCTTCGAGTGATACACGAGCAGCCCATCCGGCGTGAGCGTCGTTGTTAGGGGTTCTATCGCCTGCACCGTAAAAGGAGCAGTGTGTGCACCTCCTGTAGTGGGCAAGAATTCCTACATTGGAGAGAAGCGGGGACAAGCCCTTTCTTCAAATGCGTCAAGTCTCCTTGAACCTCGGAATACAAAGAAACGCCACTATTCGGAGCTAATCCCACAGTTACTCGACCTCTCTTGCGTCGTGTCTGTTCGCTCCCCACGCCTCGTAGCAGTGTTGTTGCAGTGGGGGGGGCTCGTTAAAATTTTGAGGTTTTTTGGACTATCTAAATCACTTTCTTCCTTCCCATCCCCCCCTTTTCTACTCCGCATGCTTCCACCTCTGCAAATGTCAGCTGACCTTCCGACCTCTGTTCTCTGTTGATAGGCAAAACAACCACTATAATTAGAAAGTAATTGGTAATTTGAGTGGAAGTCACTCGGAAAAGTAGTTAAAGTAAACTACTGATTACTAGAGTAGAAATGTAATTAAAAGTTACTAAACTACCCAGAAAAGTAGTTAGACTACAGTAACTTGAGTAAAGTAGTTGAACTACGTACAAGTCTGGCCTGGCAAGCGCTCTGCGTAAGTGTTTTCACTGACCTGCCTAGCCCCGCACACCATCACATGGGCCAAGAAAGGTGTAGCTTTACTGCAGAGGAGAAATCAGCAGGGTCCAAGATGGTGACAATGGAGGATGGGGGACTGTTCCAGTGGCTGATGCCTTGAGAAAGGAATGACCAATTGAAAGCGTTCGTAGAGCCAGAAGTGTGTTTGATGGTGCAGACGTTGTTGAGGCGAGAAGATGTTCGGTCGAGGTGTAATAACAAAGTGGTTTTGAGGTCGGGAATGTGGTAGTAGATTTTGTGAATAAGGCACAGCTGAGAGACTTTCCTGCGAAGCTGCAAAGAGGACATGGTTAGTTCAGTTTTTAGCGCCGAGACACTGAAAGAAAAGTCATAAGTGGATGAAATGAAGCGAGCAGCTCTGTTCTGAACTGCCTCTACAGCGTATTGATGAGGTACAGTCGATGGGTATTCCAGATGGTTGAAGCATATTCTATTTTTGGTGTGACGTACGTGTTAAAGGTTAGCTTAGGGACAAAGGGTGGAGCGATTTTTTAAGTTACGTCTGCTTAGTCCAAGAGTTCCAGATGAATTGGCGGTAATGACTTCAATATGGTTATTCCAGGGAAGGTCAGATGTTAGTCTTACACCAAGGTATTTATACACAGTAGCGGTCTCAATCAGATCGGAGTCCAAGAAGTAATTAAATGACAGAGTGTTTTTTTTCTTGGTGAAGTGGATTAGTTCGCGTTTATACTTGTTTGGTGACATAATCCACTCTTTGCACCAATTGTTAATTTTATCTAGATCTTCCTGAAGCTGGTTATTATTTTGCACACAAGTTACTTTGTTATGGATGACGCAGTCGTCGGCGAAAAAGCGTTTTTTTGAAGAAATCCCAATGGGAATGTCATTAATAAATATTAAAAAGAGTAAGGGCCCAAGTACGAACCCCAGGGGAACACCAGGAGATACATTTATTAAGAAGATTCATGATCATCATGGACGTGACCTGTACACGGGAAAAAAGAAAGTCACGAATCCATGCAAAGGGTTATTGGTCGAGGCAAAAAGATGATAGCTTAGAAAGAAGGCGTTGATGGAGGACACAACCAAACGCTTTGGAAAAAAAAAAAAAAAACTGCGTCAGTTTGGACGTGACATTCAAGGTTAGTGTGCAAGTCATGGATGAAGTCGCAGAGTTGCGTTTCGCAGGAAAGTATCTTTTGAAAACCGTGCTGCTGTTTAAAGAAAAGAAATGGGATGATAGGTGCCTCATGATATTGGAGTAGAGGATATGCTCAAGTAGTTTGCAAGAAATTGAAGTCAATGAATTAGGGCGATAATTAGATGCGGAAGAGCGGCTGCCCTGTTTAAAGACTGGGAATTACCCTTCCCACCTTTTGGTCAGATGGAAGGCAGCTTTGAGATGAGGACTGAATGAAGATGAGTTTCAACTACTCACTAGAAATAACACGGGTGTTTCTTTTAAATTTTAGGGTTGATGTTATCGTTTCCAGCGGACGAAGTAAGTTTTAGTTTATCAATCAATGTTTTAATACCAGCGGAGTTAACGTTAATAGGATGCATGCGCTCGTAAAGCTCTTCAGGGAGAGTGGGGACGAAGTCCAAGCACTCGTTAGTAAACACTGATGAAAAGTATTCGTTAAACACAGAACTATCATGCTCGACGTTGCACATCCGACATTCCTAACTCGCCCCATCTTCCTAAACGTCCGTGTGTGTCCTAACACCAGAAACCGAAATTTTAAAGGTTAAAAACGGCACGTTGCGAATATGGAACGCGCACTTTCATGCAAAGCTGACGTCAAGTGACTCAAATCGAAAAACATGCATATTTACAGTATTGTTATCTCTTCTGGTGAAGGCTAAACAACCGTTGCATCCGTTTTCGCGCACGAAACGGTGACTCCCAGAGAAAGTAAGAACGCAGTGATTGTCTTTATTTTAACAATGTAAACACACTTGCAGGCGTGCGCTGATGAAGCCTCAAAATCAAAACTCTCGTAGTGTGATTCGTGACTGCTCCGGCTACTACCCAACCTCGTTGTCACGCCACTTTCTGCAAGCAAACACTAAAATTGCCAGTAAACGCACAAAAGCGACATCGATACAATTGTCTTGTAGAATATCACCTTATTTAATCATAACTGTTTCAATAAGCACTACAAGTTGTATTTATTTTAAGAAGAAGAAGCGAAATTTTTTTCGTGAGAAAAAACAAAATATCAATGTTAAGTCTGGTAACGTTGTAATTTTGCCGAATCATTGCCACATCTTTAGAAAACTTCGACAAAAGTTGCGCCGAATTTTCGATTAAGGGGGGGGGGGGAAGAGGGTCGGGTTTGCCCCCCCACTCAAAAACAAGTTGGTACGCCACTGCCTGTACCCTTTCCCGAGCACACACAGTCGTCGTCACCAAAGTTCCTTCAAGGACCCCATAGAGACTTGAAATACGCAGGATGACCTGAACACATCAAAGCCGCCCATTGGGAACTCGCCAGTCGGCCCGAGCGTCTCAAGTCCTTGTGAGATTTCCTCGGTCAGAACATGAACAGTGCCCTTGAGTTCCTTTGTCTGGCAGGTACGAAGCGACGGCGCAGAGCAGATGGGATTCCAAGTCTCTCTGAGTAACCACTTGGGTGAAGCTACTTTGAGGAAGTCTTTTATGGTTGACGACAGAGGAATTGAGTGTAGACGACGCTCCTTAGCTTCGGCAAACTGTACCGATATTCATGCATCGTTCTTCACGGGGTACGTAAAGAAAATAAAGCGGACGGCACGAAAAAGTTGAAAACGTCCGGTATGAGGCCTCTTTAGGCTGGCTATCCTTCAAGCCAATGCCTTTTCGATGAGACGAAGAAATTAGAAAAATGATGAGCCATGTGGCGTATGCGGGTCTGCGCGCGAAAATTAGGGTGAAGGGGGGGGGGGGGGGTGTAAAGGCTGGCATATTTTTGGGGTCGCAGGACAAATTTTAGGGGAGGCGCCCCTCCACCCCTCGCCTCCCTTTGGCGCCGTCCCTGGGTGAGTAACCTCTTTGCTGCCATAGAGGACCACGGAACGATGGTTTCACAGTAGCAGTAATAATAATAATAATAAATTATTGTTTTGTTTATTTTTACTACAAATCATCGGGCCCATCGAGGCCTTTAAAGGGCAACTCCGCTCAATTCCGAAGATTTCGGGATAATGAGTGATTTCGAATTAAAAAGCCCTAGTAAAAGACACTACGTCTTTTGCTTCGCGAAAAATGGGATATATATTTTTAAATCTAATTTTAAACACGAGCAGAAATCGAAACCGAAACTTCGGCTCCGTCCGGCAACATTGGCCTCGGGCCGCCAAGTACATGGCTATCACGTGGTGCGAGAGGTCACGTGATTCTCGGCACAACGACGGGCAGGATGGGGGCGGGCGAGCGTGCGGCAGGCGCGAGTGTCGTCTGCACCGCACTCTTCGCCACGTTTTGGTGTCTACGGCATTCGACGACGTCTGCACAACTGCGGCATAAGTCTGGGACTCTGCGCACGTGGTGTCCTTAATGTGGACGAAACTCCGAGAGGCAATAATCACAAACGGTGAGACGACGACGGTGGTTGTGGCGCGGAAGACGGCGGTAACGGCGGGACCGCGGCGGGCGGTTGGTCTGCTTCCAAGAAGCGCGCTGCGCAGGCGCGTACGTCGATCACGTGGACACCGCTGAGCGCCAAGAGGCAACGTTGCTGACGTCACGCGCTTCGCTCGATCGGAAGAGTAAAAACAAGCAAAAGGGGGCCATGTAGATGGCGTTTAGCTCAATGTTGGCTCCGCCCATGCCGTAGCCTTGACTGCGCTGTTGGTTGCGCCTGAATTCGCCCGCTCAAGTCAGCCGATTTCGGCAACTTGGCGAGTTGCAAAGTTTGCCGGACCGTTTAAGAAACATTTAGACAGAACTGCGTCGTAATATTTGACGTGTGGTCTTCCTAGGCGATACTGAAGAGGACTGCATTGTTTTTTCAAAACCAAAAATGAAGCGGAGTTGCCCTTTAAGGCTCGTATTGTAACAGTACGTTGTACAAACCTTCGAGAACATATCGCCGTCAACCGACGTTTTTGTCCTTTCAGGCTGAACAGTTCAAGTTGAGCAGAGAGTTGTTCAACAGTCAGGCGGCCAAACACACGCGTCGCCACGCTACGTGAGATGGAGCCGCCCACCACGTCGGAAAGAGTCTCGGTTCTCTACTACGAGAAGACTAGCCCTGATCTCAAGGTGAAAACGGGTGCCAGTCATGTATACATGTATCATAAAGCTTGCACGTGTCCTTCTAGTTGCTTCGTTTGAGTCGTGTCTGTGAGCGGCGCTGGTTCGCACTCGTGCATTTGCCGCGCTTTGCTTATGTTGGCCCTGGCTCTGGGGCAAGGCGGATGAGACGGATGCTCTCCTTTGGCCCAATCGGGACATTGCAAATGTTTCTTCGCTAAATGATAGATTCCTTGGCGGGGCCTCTGCAAACGGTGTGCACATATCGTGTTTGGGGCACATTGTTTTTCATTGATTTCTTGGGAAGACAGAAACGCGGCGCCTGTGCAACTTTGCTTCACTTGACCCCCGAACCGAGAGTGCGGTTGGAACTTCACGCTGATTGAACCAGTCAGCTAAGACGGACAGACGACTGGTGCGGTGAAAATGTAGCTTCCGCCACACTGTCAGCCGAGTGGCGAACAGGGTATTCTGGTGTATACGTCTTCTTGCAAAGGCTTGAGCTATCGAACACTACACACTTTCTCGAGAAAATTTACCCGAGTCGTGTATTAAACTGTATTTGAGCCAACTCTTTGGTTTTTGAGCGAGGTATGGAGGATCGCTTGTCCCGACCACAGTTGGCGTCCCTCAGTAAACGCATCACCGTGGAGAAACCTGCTGCCAAGTCTCGAATTTTAGTCGAGTTCCACAAACTCGTTGTTCCCGTATTCGGCACAGTGACTGCGGAGGTCGAGTTCTTGGTAGAGTGCCTTGATGGCGGCTGCATCTGGTGCCCCGGAAGCTCCTTTGCCGCTTTCTCCCATGGCCTCGCTCGCTACGGTGCGGCAAGCGAGGAAAATCTGGAGAGTTCCTGTTTAAAGCTATCGTGGACACTTTGGGGTCGGCGCCGCAAGGACTCTGATTGGTTCGATCGTGCGTCGTCTACTTGCCACGCTGCTATGCGTCGTCTGCTGTTTCAAGCTGTATGGTACTTGCGATCGTCGCGGTAAACAGTACCGCTGCCTCCGCATCGCTGGGCCAAAGAGACGCTGAACCTGAGGTAGCTTCGTAGCTCGCTTTTTGGCGGCACACGGCGTTGGATGCCTCAACTTGGACAGGAGTGCTGACCTCGAGAGTTTAAACTGGCAAGTGTCGCTGAACTCACCTCCCTTCCTCGGTTGGGCGACTCGTCTTGCGATATGCCTGTACCCTGTACTGCCTGTATGCCTCTGCACCGCCGCCATCGTTCCTAGGGGGCATATGTAGGAGCCCTATTCTTAGAGTCATGGCGCCACCCGATAGCGACGCCAATTAACCCTCGCTCAATTGTTTTTTTTACGGCGAAGCTGTTACGCGCTAGGATCTGGGAAAAAATGCGTACGCGGATGTTGATATTGTTGACAGAAAACTCCCCATTGGTCGTGGCAAGTATGAATAAATAAAAATTAAAAAAGGGGCAACCTGCGTGAGTCAGCCTTCCTTGGCATTATTAGATAGCGAGGTGCTGATCTCTTATCATCTCTAGGCATCGTCCTCGAGGTCGTCCTCAAGGTCATCCTAGAAGTTGTTAGAGAGGTCGCCCTTGAGGTTGTCCTAGACGTCGTCCAAGAGGTCGTTGTAGACGTCGTTGTCCTAGACGTCGTCCTTGAGGTTGTCCTCTAGGTTGCCCTTCAGGTCCTAGAAGTTGGAAAGATAACAGCTTGGCTGGTCCTCCATCTTCATGTGAAGTGAAAGGGCTCTACCATCTTTTCTTCTTCTTCTTTTGCTTGAGTTCTATCTAGTGAAGACTCACCTGTTCCCTCAGGCGCAAAGAAGACTATCTCATTGGAGAAATGGCAGTCACACACAAAGCTGGAAAGAGGCGAGGGCGGCTGTTTCGGTGCAGACGTGGGCAACGAATAACACCTGTCACAGTAGAGGGGATGTTGTACATTGTTACCTATGTCAAAGAGTTACTTAGCACCCAAATAAAAAAAATATAAAAAGAAAAGATTTGTTTCATTTAGGTTAGATTTATTTTACTTCGTCGGATTTATTTGATTTAAATCAAACTTAAATCACTTTCTTTTTCTCAATGTATTTTTACTTAAAAAAGTGAAAGACGTTTACAACACTGTAACGCCGAATTAGAGCGCAGCTCTTGAGGAGGAGAAGGAGAGGGTACGAAAAAGACGGTATGCTCCTCCTCCTCATCCATACCCTCTCCTCCCGTCCTCCTCGCTTTTCCTTGGCATCACATTGCGTCATGTGACCCTCGTGAGGTCACGTGCGGCCATCATGGGACATTGCCTCATGTGGTGCATTATGGGACATTTTGCATAATGCACCGTGCAGTTACGTCGACGGCGCCGCCGCTCAAGCCGGAAACGGGCGCCTAAGAGCTGTGCTCTAAAATATTTTTCATTAGATAGGACAGATTAATGATTGGTTGTTTCGAGGAGCTGGAGCCTCCGAGACAAGTGTCCTGGAAAAAGTAATTTATTCTAAATAAGTAGGTAAAACACGTTCGACGAGGAGTAGAAAATCCCCCTGCACTTTTCCAAGAAGGAGAAACCTCATTTGTCTTCTAAAACATCGAGGCTGGTTCCCACACTAGTCTGGCCTCGTGCTCACTCGCAATCTCTTACCACGAGACGAGGCACTGACGCCATTTGTGAGGTAGCCGTGGGACTGCATCTAACTACCCTAACATCCTGGGAGATGCCCCCAAAGATAACCCACTCCTATTTCTGGCAGGATGTGCTATTTTTTCAGAGACACCCAAAGATAGCCCACTTCTTGTAATTGCGGGATGCTGGCTACTGGCGACCTCGGCAGAAATGGTGTTACAGCCAAGACTGGAGATAAGCCAACATTGCGGATTGGGAAGGTCTTCGGTTCATTGCCCGTCCCTGTGATCTCAAGTTTCCCAGGTCACACAATCTTAAACTAGCATTTTCTTTTTTACTTTTCTTTGATTGCACACTGAAAGTAAGCTTACTCGATATTTTAACCTGATTTGCTTTTGCTTTTAGGTGGGCCATCTCTCGGGATGTTGCGGTAGACTAAAAGTTTTGCAGCGTGGACATTGCCACGCGCGTCTCTGAGCAAGCGTGTCCATGGCTGAACGTTATTGTGCTTGGCTCCCACCTAAAGGGTCGAGGTTCAATTCTCCGAAGTGCAAATCCTTTTTGTTATTTTCTAAATGTCGAGAACACCGTTGCTCGCTTGAGGTCCGAATGTCCTAAGTGCCGAATCTTCTACGCCGACGGTTCCAGAAGCCCATGCGTGGACATAAGGGACTCCGCGTGGCGAGCCAGAATCAGTCTCGCCCTGCACTCAATCCCGCAACGCCAGCCTTCTGCTATTTTGTTTTGAGCGTAAGTTCGCCCCATTAGACGTTTAGTTTCCTTCGGTCATTTGTTGCCTCGTCAACTGTCATTCGTGACAATATACTCTCTGTGAGAAGTCGTCGTTTATAACATTGATTAATGTTTTGAGCCCACAAAGAAAAAATTATATGCAAAAAAAAAAAAAAAAGTTATGTCCAAACTGCCAGTGTTTCAATGAATGAGGCCCGTGCCTCGTGGATTGAAAGCAAAGGTGGCATTGCCCTGAAAGGACCGGCCCTTGGAAGCAAATGGTATTTGCTTGTGGCACGCGTCTCGTGCATTCGCGCAACAATCGGCAGTACTGGTAAGAAATGCAAAGCACAAATTTCGTCGAGGGAGCACGACTTTGCGCAACACTCGGTCGCAACCAAACGTGAGCGTGTGGACCGGCCTTCAGTAAATACTCTTCACTAATATGTCAATTTATCGAAATGCGAGCCACTCGAGATAAATCCACAATATTTGTAAAGTGTCGTTTATTAATGCATACCCGAGCCAGCTCGTTAGTTTTGGAACAAGGCGGGAGGTTGCTCGTCTCGGCCAGAGACGGTGTTCCTCGCAGCAGGGGGAGGTCACTTGTCTCGGCCGAAAATGGCGTCCTTCATTACACGGAACAGCGTGGCGAGACCCGGCGGCAGGTTTCGCACTTGGGAGTCGAGCTCCGCGAATGCCGCCTTCTCGTACGCGGCGTAGTGGGCGCGGAGGTCGAGTTCTTCGTAGAGTGCCTTCACGGCCGCTTCTTCCGGTCCCCTGGCAGCTCCCTTGCCGAGATTTGCCTGCGGGAAAGAAGGCCATGTGGGAGGAGACTTTTTTGTTCGGACAGACTGGCCGAATCACTGCCGCAAGCTCTCGTCGGTTGTGCTTTTGCGCATTGAAATGTTTTCATTTTGTGAACGTCGCATGACCTTTACCGTTAGGAGCCCGGAGGGCAGCAAAAGAATGTGCGACTCTACACAATCGTCGGCAACCTCCAGCTTCCCAGGCTAAAATTTCTAGCTGGGACCAGTTGAAATCGTGGCGTGTTTCAACTGGGACCAACTGGACCCAATGCAAATCAAGGAAGATCAATGGCATTCAACTGGGACCGCTTGAGAAGTGAACCAGCCCAGTTGGGAGTCAACTGGTCTGACCACGCTCAGTTGGGGAGCGAGTGAACTTTTAATTTGTGTGAATATATAAGCGGACGTTATAAGAATAAAAATGCCTAATCATACAAAGCCATTTTTGACTAACTGGCATACATAATTACCTTATCATTTAGCTCACCTTCATCTTGCGGATAAGGTTGACATAGATAGCCCTTGTTTAACAGGAACACATTGCACGTATCATTCATACTAGATGTGCTGAAATAACCCTCCCACTTTAATTACCTGGCAATGTTTGTGCCCCAAGGGTAAACAACAAACATCCTACACTTCATCTGCCCGAGTCAACCAGTTTTTTTTCTTAAGACTTTCCAATTGTTTGTTGCCACTTGCGAAGCCAACCACGGCAGCCCTCGGCTTCATGAATGCCACTGGAGTAGGGGCTTGTGCTTCAATAGGTCTTTTTCAAATTCAGTCTCGCAAATTTAATTACTATCATCATCTCAGTGTGTGGCATCTGTGCCAAAATCATAGCGGCCTTCAGGCTGATGAAGGAAGAAGTTGAAGATACTACCAAGCGGAGGATATTTGAGGTCCGTACGTTCGACACGTAGGTGCAACACAACCAACAAATCGGATGCAACGGCTGTGGAAGCATTTATTTCGCAGTGTTATCCAATCGATCCCTCCGCACAAGTTTGGCTCTAAAGCCCTTCGACGGGGTAAAACCGAGGCGCTAACGGGTCACCTCTTTGCGCCGGTCGGTTCTTACATTCTCACCGTTGAAACAGATCGAGAAAGAATAACAAGAGAATTGAAGAACCAATTCTCATCTCCCATTGACGCGCAAAAGTGGCGGTCCTTGACGAAAAGCAGTTTCGTGACCGCAGTTAGTTGGTCGAAAGTGAAACTCCCATACCTGCCAAGTTCGGAGAAATCAAATCCGGGAGAACGGGAATTGGGGGGGGGAAGGGAGGGGGACATTTTTTTTTTTTTTTTAGTTTGACAAGAAATTTTGTAAAGAAGCACTCTGCGCAAATCACACTCAGTGTGATTCGCGCAGAGTGCTTCTTCACGGAATTATGTGCAAGATACGGGCTCAACAAAGCCCGTATCTTGCACATAATATGTCACTACGATAGGATACAGCTGGGACTCGCTATCATTACTGCCGTCTGTTGCGACGGCGACGTCAGAACGCCGAGCCCCGATTGGCTGATCGCGACCTCCTATCTCAGCGTCGTCTGCTCCTTTGCAACGTCGTCTGCTCGCAACATCGTCTGAGTCTTTCTTACCTTTCCTGCCACTTTCGGAAGTGCAGGTCATTACGAGCGAGCTCGACTTCGCCTTTCAGACAGGGCAAGCAAAATAACTCGAGCGGTACATTGTTTTTGTCTAACAACTAGCAGACGCGCATCAAGGAGGGAAGTCAAAGGACTCACTGGCGAGGTGTCCCGAGGCGCCGAGGTTTGTTTGCTAAGAACCGAGAGTAAGCGTGTTAGTGCCCGCAAGTTCCCTCCCAAATACTTTTTCCCTCCTTTCGTGTGAGGCGAGACCCCTCATTCTTTAACGGTGTCGGTGAGTTGGCGCAGTTAACGTCGTCTGCTTTACGTCTGCTAGTCAAAGCGATGGCTGCTTTACCTTTCCTGCGTCTGTCGGAGATTCACCGCTTTTTCATTGGCGAGAGTCACCGTTGCCTCGGAAAACAAGGAGATAACAAGAGGAAGAAATTGACCTCTTAATCTAAAATTGAGGTCAGCGATCAAAGTATAATACGGGAAGGGTTCACAAGGGTCGCGCGGGCATATTCCATTCAGCACGCCAGCCGGTCGAGGGCAGACGGTCGCCGAGTCGCGGAGTGCCGGCTAGGCCTAACTGCCGTACTCGCTTGGTCGTGTTCGGTGGAATCGTGACCGTTGGAACTTTTCCCGGGTGTTTGTGGATCCAGCGTTCTTGTTCGTCGTGGTCTGTTTCAAGTACTTTTTACTTTTTTCTTGCTGCTTGAAGTCGGGACGCGTGAGAAGCGCACATAGAAAAATAAACGTCCGTGGATTGTCGCGACCGCGACGCTGTCGGCCATGCTGATTTGATTGTAAGAAATGTGTAAGACAGCTTCGGAGCTGTCGTAGGATTTCGTCGTAACCTGCGCAAAACGTACGAAAATTTCGTTTCGTGAATACGAATTTCTTTTTAAGTTTTGTCTTACGCACATTTCTGGCGTAAGATCGTTTCGTAAATCTGGCCTCTGCACTTCCGAAAGTGGCAGGAAAGGTAAGACAGACGCAGACGACGTTGCAAGCAGATGACGTTGCAAAGGAGCAGACGACGCTGAGATAGGGGGTCGCGATCAGCCAATCAGGGCTTGGCGTTCTGACGTCACCGCTACCCCCTGCGCAAGAAGCAGACGAACTTGCCCTCCGCATTGATTTCTTTGAGACTATTCGGCTCACCTCCAAGACGGATCTCTGAGCAGGCGAGGCGCGTTGCGCTGCCTGGACGGCCAGCCAGCTGCACTTGCCGTCCACGATGTCTGTGCCCACTTTGCCCGTGACCTCGGGGTCGCCGAAGCAGTCTATGTAGTCGTCTTGGACTTGAAACACTCGGCCAAGCTGGAGGGCCGCCTGCTGCGCCTGCGCGTGCAGGCCCGGATCCTCCACCCCCGCCTGCGTCCATCGACACGTCGGCCATCGGGGCGCTCAAAATCAGTGTTGCCAGTTACCCGAGGCTTTATCTGACACTGCAGGAAACAAATTTCCGTCCTCCAGAAACGTTGAAACAGCCCGCGACGGAGCAAAGCAATATTGCTCGAGCTTTCCGACATTCTATCCGAGGCTTGGGAAGCCTCGTTTTCCAATTGCAACAATTGCAATTGCGCATGCTTCGCACTAAGTATGAGCTGGCGGCACCCGCAAGAAAATGGGATAATGGGGCTCCGATCGCAGGACTCTCAACTATCGCTCTGAAGGGCATCTCCAGTGTTTTCCATTGGCGGATATTGCGCAAAACATTGCCGAAATCGGGTGGACGTACAAAAAGAATGTCATCGCTTTGCGGCAAGCTTTCTTAGACGTGCATCTAGGAAGGACCGATTTCCAAGCCTGCTACTACATCTGCCATCATACGGTCGAGAACTTTATGAATGTTGGCGGACGTTTGAAAGGGTGGATCATAATTTATTTTGTCCCACTGGCTGCCGTCGTCGTCAGTGATTTTATATACTTCGTTTCAACTTACGAGAGACTGCAGCGAATGCTACGGGTCATCCTAGACGAGCCGGCGCTGCAAACGTGTCGCGTGATCGTGCATCGCTGCGCCCCTTCTGAAGGTCACGTAGAACTTGCGTGGCATTGGATTGACTTCTATGCTTTATGGTGTTTTGTGTGGTTTGTCGTAAGATGAAACAAAGTATAGGTCCCCCTCCACGGTATTCTTTGGAAGTTGTAACACCCCTTGGGGGGGGCAATGGGTAGAAACAGGGAGAGGAAGAGACGAGAGCGTACAGGGACATTGGAGCACCGAGCTCTGGTTAGAACGATTAGAGGGTAGACGCAACGCCAGCTGGCTTTGCCTCTACTCGCTGTTCGAAATGGAATGCTGAATTTCGCACTCGAACCGTGGGTTGCTTCCCTTTCCAAGGCCTCCTTTTTGGTGCAGTGGTAGAGTGTCGGGCTCATAATCATGCAGTCAGGGGTCCGATCCCCGTCGAGGTGCGTTACGAGTTTTGTTCTTCTCAATTGATTACTGTCTATTCTCAACTATGTGTTCTTTTGTTCCGGTTGTCCTGTGAAGTATCTGTTGGACATTTCGTAACGGTTTCTGTAGTGTTCCATCATTCTTTCTTAGGAGATCCCAGACCTTGGACGCATTCTTTGTTAATATTCCGGTAACGAAAGGGAACAATTAATTATGGCAGACAAAGTTGGTAGACGACTCGGCTTTTCTTACGTACCAGCAGCATGCCTGCCCTCACGGGCAGGACGAAGGAATAGAAGGCGGTTTTGTAGGTAACGATGGCCCAGTAGCGGTCGGCCCTGAGTGCGTCGAGCGTGCTCTTCTGCGACAGCATGTCCAAGCCCTGTCCCAGCACGGTGCGCAAGTCGCTTTCCTGGAACAGTTCTGAGAGCGGCAGGTAGCAGCGCAGGTGTCCCAGGCGGCGACGGACGACCCAGAGCACCGCCTTCTCCAGGAAGAGCGCGTCGTTGATGGCGCGCAGCCCGACGCCGGGCACGGTGTACCAAGATGGCTGCCCCCGGCGGACCGGCGAGCCGTCCATGATGTCGTCGAGTATCAGGAAGTAGGACTGCAGCTGTGGCGTGAAAGAGACACGCGCTTGTGGTTGCTTCTAACCTGAGGGAATAATCTGGCATAATTATGCTCTCTGTAAAGCGGGTTACGCAGATTTGTAAAGGTGGTTGAAGTGAAATAGGTTTTGCAATGGTCAATCCTATGTACTATAAGAAGCTTTATAACAGAGTTTGATTCAGTGATTGTTGTTCTGGTCACCGACAGAATGAGGATGACGGTGTGTCTCGGTTGTGCATACGCACTCAAAGTCCATGAAATGGGGAAGTGTCCTTGACTGAGGCTACTTTCTGTCGTTTTCATCTCATCAGGAACTTCAGAGAGCTGCACACGATGCGATTAGCTGGGAAGGATACAAAACCCAGTGACCGGTCACATGCTGCCATGTCGAAGCCGGTGGAATTGAAATGGCACAAGGTGTCAAACACTAGTCCAAAACTATTTTTTTTTTCTGCTTTTTTTATTTTACATAAAATGTTTGTAGGTTCTCAAGGGTCGAGCAGCTTTCTGAATGGACAACGATGAACTGTCAAGCTCAACTGTTAAATGGCAACCAAAAAAACAGGTTAAAACTAGGGAGCTTGCATTTGTATATAAAGCATATACCATCGTGGGAATGTTATGACCATTAAAAATAATGTGCTAAAAGTGCTCGCATGTTTTCAGAATTTAGGTCTCGGTACAGGTGGCATTGCCAGGAAGACAAGTTCTGAAATTGAACTTGCAACATACACGTGTACAAACCAAGAGTGCACTATACCAGACATTCTGCGATTACTCGTACCTCGATTACAGTCCAAACAATGCAAACTCTTGGCTCGTTAATAAAAAAAGGTAAAACAAGAACCTGTTATGAATCACCACGACCCTTAGAGTGCGAACGAGTGTTGCTTACCATCTCCACACACCAGCCAAGCACACAGGCGAGCTCCAAATGCGGCGCACTCTCCTCCGCCAGCAGTTCGTAAGCGTGCACCACTGCCAAAAGGCGGTTACGCTTCCCTCCCGGTAAGTTGTACTCGGCGGCCTCGCGGAATGCTTCGAAGACTTCCCGCAATGCCGGCTCGTGCGGGTCCATGTCTGTGGCTACCCTCAGCACCTCCTGGTGGGCTCGCACCACTAGGGGGTCGCTCGCGGTCCTCACTCGGAGAGACCTGGTGCTGGAAAACGGCCACGCCCCGAGTTTGAAGGGTTGCGCTCGGGGTAAAGGCTAGTTCACATGCTTGCGACTGTTTACTACCAAGTGCGCTGTGCAGCCTCGAGATCTCGCACGACGATAGACCACGCTCACGCAATCTGCGAGCTGGCCCTGGAAGTGCATTTCAATAGAGCAAAGGTACTGCAGTATTTGCGGGATTGATCTGTAAGACGTTGTCGTTTATAACACTATCAAAATATTTTCGAGCAGAAAAAGAGTACGCAGAATGCCCCGAAATTGTGTTACTACGCGAAACATTCTTGATTTAGTGCTAGTAGCCTCCAGGCATTTTTTCTCGAGCCTCCAGGTCTCTCCTTTCCCCCCATCGACTTTCCCCATTGGGTCGGCCTGTGTCCACAGGGTACGGAGAATGACGGATAGCGAGGAAATTGAATTTATCTCTAGGTCACGCTGCACAAAGCCCTGTAACGTCATTTTTCTCGCTAAATTTAGCGAGAAAATTTCTGGTCATGCTTATAAACGTCAACATGACCTATAAACGTTTCACGTTAAAAGAAAGAAAAGAAAATCGGAAATGTGCGGAAAGTGTTCCACAGCTCCCCGAAGGATGGTGCCAGTGTTCTCGTTGTAAAAGACTGCAAGAGGTTGTTACGTAGTCGGTCTTGAGCAGTCGCAAACGTGAGAACCAGCCTTTATGGGGTCTTGGACGTGCATCCCTGCTTACCGGTTGCTGCTCCAATGTCCAAGTCCCATCAAGACAACAAATGACCGACACCGACAAACCTTGAGCAGATGCAGCGTGCTTTTGGCAGGCTCGCAACCCCTGTGCATTCGCAAAGTCAATACGAGCCTGCCAGAGCTGCACGTGCTCGAGGTTGGTCGGCGTCGGTCATTTCTGTTTGCCGCTCTAGTGGCATTCGGGTATTAGAGAAACTGCTAAGCAGTGATGCATGTTGAGTAACCTACAGGCTAGCGGTTGCGCTGTACTGGCCACTAAGTCACCCATCTATAATGGAGAAGCCGGAAACCAACCAAAATGAGACGCTTTTGGGACTTGCCATGCCCCGAATTTTTTAAGTTGTCGGCGAATATGATCAATATTAAACAGCGCACAAAAAGTCCGCCGATTTTTTGTGCGCTGTTTAATATTAGTGATGTACCAACTAGCTCAAATTACCACTTTACTACGGCGAATATGACTTCGCTGTCTGAACCGTTGTACAAAAAAACTTTTCTGTCGAGAGAAGTCTGGGGCTGCAAACTGGTATTTACCGAGTCTCGAGCCATTGGATCACTTGGGCGGCGCAAGCTTGCACCATACTGATCAGAGGCAAACCAGGTGGCGGATAAATTGCACAGATAACTTCAAACTGAAATATGCCCTTAAAATGACCGCCACCTGAACGCGCACAAGTTGCATATATTGCGGTGACAACAAATTTGGATGGAGCACGCTTGCAAACTGGTATTTACCGAGTCTCGAGCCATTGGATCACTTGGGCGGCGCAAGCTTGCACCATACTGATCAGAGGCAAACCAGGTGGCGGATAAATTGCACAGATAACTTCAAACTGAAATATGCCCTTAAAATAACCGCCACCTGAACGCGCACAAGTTGCATATATTGCGGTGACAACAAATTTGGATGGAGCACGCTTATCTGGGAGTTTTTCTTCGACTAGTTTTATGTTTGTCACCGATAGATATATTCTTTATTGTAAATGGGGAATGTCGGTGGCTTATTTATACTGGCAACTGTGACTTCATGAAGGAAGTACATAGAGGTCTCGGCTCGGCAAAGCAATGAATGTGCACCCTTTTCGAAGAGGAGGAAACGCTGGAACCAGGAAAACCCGGGGGAATTTGCACTGAGCATTTACGGGGCAACCAGCTGGGAAATAAATGCCTGGCGCTATAATTCTAGGGTAATGCATGCCTACCTGCAATGTGCTTGGAATAATTTTGGTCAAGGCAACATGTATATAATTTTTGTGTGTCTAGAGTGGTTTCTGCATCTGCATCATAGACCCTAATTTATTTGGTTAATTTAAAATGAAGCAAGATTTGTCTAATAAAGAAAGAATTCACTTCGTTTCTGTGATGTTTCTAAATGTTTTGTTAATTTTTTTTTTTTTTTTTAAATGAACTTTGTCTTTTTGCAGTGGTAGGGAAAGTGTCAGACCGTTATCCGATTAAAACGTCATAAGCAAATTTTCAATTCAATTCAATGTTTATGTTGATAAAATCTTCGATGGGAAAACGGGGGGCCAGGTTCCCATAGCCGACGCTGTTCATCTCCATGTTTTGCGCGGCTTCGCTGACTGCCGTTTTTGCACTGTTCCCCCCTCCTTCCCTCCCCTCCCCCCCCCACCTCCCCCCCCCTTCCCCAGAGTCCGAAATTCCTCATAACTTCTGATTCGGATAACGGTAAGTTCTGAAACTGATTTTGGCGGAGAGAGGGCTCACTGATGCGTAGAATTTGTTCTTGCAGCGAGAAATAATACTGCGTCAACATCTGAGCAAACAAAAACAAAAACTACCGAGTAGTTTGTTATCGAAAGAGGAATAGTCGTTAGAGCTTGCATGCTAGCATAGGATGATCACGAGAACGTGGTAACATGATGGTATATACTCGCCTGGAATCCCGAACTTGCTGCATCGTATGCTCCTCGTGACTTGCCGTCGAATGCAGGCTGCGCGAAGAAGTTTGAGCGCCGAGCGTTGTCGTTTTTTGGCTTTCGAACTTGTAGACGCCTTGACAACCGATAAATCTTCGGGCGCTGTTTTCCTGTTCGTGGCGTCCCCCACATTGACAGTGGTTTCGGGCTTCGTTTCCGTCTTTATGATTTGACGGGCCATGGCTCGTAAAGGGGACTTGCACGAGTCCCCCCGTATTTGCTTTACCGTGTTCCAGACACTTGAGGGTCGCCGCCGCGAGGACTCGGACGGTTTTTATCGCACATCGTCTGCTTGTAAACATGCCGATATGCGTCGTCTGCTGTCTCGAGCTGTGTGGTGCTCGCGATCGTGGCGCTAAACCCTAGTGCTGCCTTCGCCTCGCTGACCCGCAGAACTTAGGGGCTTAGGGTATCTCCACAGCTTCCCGGCTTAGCGGCACATAGCGTACGATGCCTCAACTTGGACAGGAATGCTGACCTCCAACTGCAAGTGGCGTTGACCTGACCGCGAAGCTTGCGAATGACGCGAAGAAAGAATGACCCGAACGATGTTCATGATACTTCTGTACTTTCAAAGAAGTTCGTAAATTCCAGGTTTTATCTTGGCGAAAATTCCTCCGGTGGGGTAAGTTGAGCATTCATCAAACAGTAATATTTTCTCATGCAAAAGGCTCGATGCAAATCTTTCCCGATGCTGTAAAAAGAAGATTGGATTCTTTCGCGTGCGTGCGACAGTGTCTGGCAACGTCTTAAATTTTTGTTCCAATAACACTTTCTAGGTGGCGCGAAGATCAAATGCTGCTTTGGTAGCGCGAGATTTGAAATTGCATAATGTAACAATTATTTAAAGGGGTCATGAAACGATTTTCCTACTTCTTCCTCCTTAGTTTTAATCCTCAACTCAAATGCGAACTGCGAAATCACGTGGTCGTGACATTCCTTCGGCACCGGCATAAAGATCGGGCACCGGTGAGATGATTCCTAGGTTCCACCGTGCTTTTTATGCACACCATAGAACTTGTCATTTCCCAGTGACAATAAGTTCCGTCAGGGCACTTATTGGCCGCGAACGCGAATCCAAATATTCGTCAACGGATTGATTGTTGACGAGCGCATACGTTCGAGTGACGCAGTTCTCGTGTCCAATGCGTGAGCTGGGCTCTGCTGACGTCAGTTTGGCGCCGGTGACGCGCTTTTGGAACCGCGGATGTATCGAAAAGGCGGAGAGGTTTCGAAGGCAAGAAGGTACGAAATAGTCCGCTATATTTTCAAATGTTCGTACCGAAAAGCTGGCTTTCGACTTTCTAGCCTCTTTCTTTTGGCCAACTAAACGATATGCGATTAGTAAAGTCCCAATTTAAAATCATTCATCCCAACCCAAAATTCGTTTCATGGCCCCTTTAATCTCGCGTCCAGTCTTGTGCAATGTATGTGATACGTCCATTTCGGTCACCCCATCTTTGACAAAGGTGTTTAAAACGAGGATCATTCCAAGAGAGTTAGTGTAACAACACCAGAGGCACCGTGACCAGGGTGTTCCTTTTGCTGCACAGGTTTGGGTTACAGGTCTTGTCAAACTGTTGTGAATCGGAACAGTACTTATCCCGACTTTCACCATGGTAAAGACATAAGTGAGCTAATCGATTGATTATCAGACTTAGGTTGCCGATAAACAGTATTCGCACGAATACAAAATGTATAGTTTGATAGCAATATGTCAGATACAGGAAAGAGCCGCTTCTCTCTCTTTTCTCAACGTATGCGCTAAAACCGTTTAGATGTCTAAATACCAACTAGCCCAATTATCAACCATTTTACTCTCACGTCTTATTGCTCGGTGGACTAAATCAACCCTTCATCCCAGCTGAAAACCCCTCTCCGAAGTTTCTGGAGTTGGTTATCTGGTAGCTTTCCTGGAGTGAGTGAACGAACCAGTTCATCAGGATGTCCCTGGACGGGTGGAAACTATCGGCGCTTCAGCGTCCACTTGCGGACAAACTCCTCCCAACCAAACAGTCTATTTTCTGCTCCGTGATTGCATCCTCGTAACGGTTCTCTTTCTCGCCGATCTGCTTCGCCCATTTCTTCGGCGAAGAATCCGCGTGCCGTTCCGGTAGGCCGTCGCGTCGCGGGCCGCTGACCCCTCGGACGGGCAGCCGAAGAGAAGTTTGCGTGCTCGTCATCCCGTAACGATGCAGTGACGTGATGAGACGTCATCGTCTCGGTCACCTGACTTGTTACCCTTCTGCTACCCTCAAAAACGCCGAGATGACTGAACCAGTACCACGAAGACCTGACGCGTTGGGAGAATCGGAACTCACTTGTCTAACGGGACGTACAAATACAAATCTAAAAATATATATATTTTTTTTTTTTTTATGTCACGACATATTATTTATTTAAGTTTCTGAGGATAACTTAATACAGGAGTGCAATGGTGACGGGCCGTGCGCGAAGTTCAGTCTTGGAAATCTTCTATTGGCAAAATATCCTCGCTTTGTTTCGGACACTCGAACATCTATATTTAATATATTTCCAGCGTGAAAACCCTTTCCCCGTAATCCTGCAAGCAAATATGGGGATATTGAACACCTGGAACGTCTGAAGACTGAACGAAATGTAGAACTATACAGTGCTACTTATCCCAAAGCGCGCTAAGACTTTTTTGGTGCGTGTTTGGTAATTATTATTATTATTATATTAACATATTTCCTGTATTCCATGTTAAATTTCTTTTTCTTGGCTTTGAAATTGAACGTTTTGCTGTTCTGTGGAGCACGCCCCCACCAGCTGGCCATCTTTTGGGAGTAGTCTGCTTTGTTCTAGTATGATGTTGCTGTCAAAGTAAAGACTGTCTTCAGTGTAGACCAGAGTCGCAGGCACACTGCTTCGTACAAAAGACTGCTGCAGACATGATATGGCAGATATGGCTGCAGACAGTTTTGTGAACGATGTACGAAGACCAATGTACGGTGACGTCTCGAAGGAATCGAGGCTAGAGCCCAGCTAGGGTCAACGCAGGGACATTTCAGACTCGCGCGACACGCTTCCCTCTGACGACCCTCAGAGCAGTCGCGCCCTGCCCCACGCCCTCTTCAACCACGCACGCAAACTAGTAAAAGCGGGAGGGACTCTCGCCATCGGTGACGTGACGGACACTCGTCCACACCCTCCGGGCGGTCGGTGAGCGGCTCCTCTGGCCGTCAACGCGCCAGAAGAGCTGCGGGCGAGGGCCGCGGGAGAGCGATCAGTAGCGGCGCCCTGACCCGAAACAGCGAGCAGCCGCCGACGAGCTCGCCTCCTTCGAAGATGGAGAGCAAGCCCCTCTTTCCCGGGCGGTGTGCTGGCCGCTGAGGCAGGTCCGCTCCAGTCTCGATGCACCTCCATGCCGGCGCACCACCGGATCTGCTGCGTCTGGATCCTCGTGTCGCTCTTGACCGTCGGTGAGTGTCGGGGGTGGGTTAGGATCGCGGGTCCGACATTGACCCAGTTCGTCCTGGCCGCTCTCGAAGAAACCTGCCGATCGTAACGGTGTATAGTCGGCGGTCGCGCAAACCGGTTTGACGCTCGCGGGGCGAATGTCCGCTCGGTCCTGCATCGTGGACGGTTGCTGCGTCCGTGTTTGCAAACAATCCGCGGCGGCGTGGGATGGATCTCGGCAGAGTAAATAAGACGTTGTTGCAACATTGCCGGGACGTTGGGAACGGGCGTTCTTCTGCCGGTGTTTTCCTGGTCCTGTCGTTGACGATGCTGGTTTCGTTTAAACTAGGGTCTACAAACCCCGCCCCGCGGCTGACCGCGGTCCTTCCAATGAAACCCGGCCCGCTTCCAGTAGACTTGCTGGCACAAAAAGTGCGTGCAATGAAATATCGCAGCGACGCGCTTCGAAGGGGCAAACGAAGAATGCATCTATTTTGAATTCAACATTGTCATCACCAGCCACCGTTCTTAGTCACCTGCTTCATGACTGTGGAACTGTGTCAAAATTCCCTCGCGTTCGCATGTATACATTGTGTCCTTCGCCACAAATATTGCATATTGCCAGCATTCGTTTGTCCTTCTCATTTGTCTTTTGCATTGAGTGAATGTGCCGAATTTCTCATGCGCTTTGATTTATGTCTGGTGAATTTTCTTGGTCACGATTTTGTCTAAGGTCATAATTAGCTAAATATTAAACTTCAATTTGAAGAATTGAAGTACATTCATCCACCTTAGGTTTTTAATACTATAGCAATCATCTTTGCGTTGAAATGCTTATCTATGATTGTTTATATAGTTTTTCCTTTTATATATTGCTCTTTTTCTCCCCCCCCCCCCCCCCCCCCCCCCTAGATTGCGGCAAATCCCTAACCCAACCCCTTCACAAAAAAAGAAAAAAAAAAGTTTGAAGACCTTTGGAAGCAAATCGTAATTACGCTGCCGTAGAATTGACCTCAGGAACGTTAATATACATTGTCGCAACATTGCTGCGACGTTGGGAAGACGACAGCCAAACAATCCGCGGTATATGATTGACCGCGGGAGCGTGAATGTACGTTGCCGCAATATTGCTCGGACGTTGGAAACTGAAGTTCTAGGGCCTACGTCCGCTCGGTCCCCGCGTCGTGGCAATCGTAAAAGACACGGGCTTTGTGAATTCGAACAAACCCGAATTACAACGGCGCGGGGTGACCTCGGGTGCGTAAATAGACGTCGCCGCAACATTGCTGGGACGTTGTGAACTGACGTTGTTGCTTGTGTGTATGTCCTCTTCGCGGCGGGTACGGAGTCCATACAAAGGAACCGCGATTACGGCGGCGTGAGATGACCTTGAAAGCGTAAATAGACGTTGCCTCAACAAACGTCGGGGGCTAACGTTCTCGTAGCTACTTTAGGTCTCGAGAAGAGCCTTTGGTACCAGCTGGGCTCGTGGATGTAAACAAACTATTCACTCTGGTATCGTCTTTGCAAGAAACGTTGTTGGAAAGTTTCCGCAACGTTTCGAGCTAACGTTTTTATGAAACTCCCTCCAATGGCGTCGTGGAGCTGCTTTTTTTATGCTGCTTGGAAACGGAAGGGGCTACACTGGCAAGGCACTACATCGAGCTAGCAAAATGTTACCACGATTTTTATGAAATGGTCTGCGATTGTTGTGCAGATGTGTGTTTGGGTCGTACAATTAGTGTCGTTGGCTGTGCTGGGTATACGTTATACCGGCCAAAACGAGTGGTTGTTCCGCCGCAGTGTGCTAGAACAATCCCGGTAGTACCGAAGGCTGTCATATTTGAATATCGTTGATATCGGGCAAATTTGTTTATATTACAGCAACATTGGCCAGAACGTTGCAGTAAAGTTATGGGATGTTGTTACGTGAAATGATAAATTGGTTTATTTGAGAAAGTATTGTTGCTGTAGACGATGCGTGGATCGATAATGATTCCCCCCCCCCCCCCCCCCCCCCCCATGATAGGTATTTCATCATAAGGCTGGCTGCCGGCAAACTGCACTCATCCCATTCACCCAGGTCATAGATTGTTTGGTTATTCCGTAACCTTGTACCTATCACGTATAAAATGTACATTACAAGATTCCCCAAATATCTTAATTATTTCTCGCGCTTCTTTTTGCGACTTATTTGCATCTCATACTGGTCCTATACCTGACCACTTTCGTATGCTGGATTTCTCATGCGATTATTTATGTAAGTGAGGGCAGCTAACAAGTGGTGAGATACTGTATTGATTCTTCTTCGTCTCGAATGTGTGCTCACATGGATGGTTGCTAACGGCGGCCCTTTATAACAGACGGCTTGCGCCACCTAGACTGGAAACCAAAACTACTCTGATGATTTCTCCCCTCGGCTTTCTAAGCAGATTCCCTTTGCATTTTTGTAACTATCAGCACGCGGGCCTTTGAGGCATCGGGCACGAAAACTAGAACCCCCCGCCCCTTCCCCCCGGCGAGAACCTGGTCGGCGTGACCCCAACACCGGGCCCACTGGGAGTCAGGGTGGAAACCTTGGGCCCGAGCCACGCGAAGGAGTTTCTTCTGTCTCGCTTGTACCCAGCTGAGCAAGTTAGCTGTATTGATGGATAGTAATGGCTATACCCTTTGTAACGGGTGGCAGCTTACGCCACCTAGCCTAACATTAGTTGGATGATCCACCCCATGGTTGCCCTCATTGACTTTCAGCGGTTAATTTGAGGATGCTTGAGGCATGAGGTTATTCCCTCTACGGGCACAGTCACATTTCGTTTATTTATTTCTTAAAGAATGACTCAGCGTATATTGGGACGCCTTCGTGAATATGATGGATAGATGAAGCAGATTGAGGCGCGGCTGGTATCTAGGTTTCTCGCACACGCGATCGGAGGGTGGACGTGCGGAATATGGATCAAGTCAGGGGCACGGCGTGGGAGGAGGACGTGTCGGCTTGACGAGGGAGGTCGTCGTCGCGGAGGGAGACGGGTTCGGTGGACGGGGTAGCGGTCACCCGGAAAGGCGCTCGTTGCAGGGACGGCCCCGAGGGCTTGCTCGGCATTGCTCGCCATTGCTCGGAGACTCGGGTAATGGAGCCGATGGAAAGGGGAGCGCGCAGTGCCTTTGCGGATCTTGCGTTGGCTCGCAGAGGAAAAGAAACACGTGAGGGGCTTCAGGATCGCTTGCGGCGCGTCCACGTGGAAGCTCCTTGTGTTGCCGGCGAACGTTCGCCGGATTCTTTCCGCACCGTCAACAGGTGAACCCGAACAGCAGCCTTAGCCAGGATTTCTTTTTCTTTTTTTTTAATTTACTTGGGGGAAGGGGGTGTCCGAACACTGTCACCCTCGGGCCTCTGCTGTAACTATACCTGGGCACCGAGGGACGGAACAGTTCAACTGAACCGGCATTCCGTTGAAGACGACAAAAGGGAATTTTCATAGACCGCGTTTCCCCTTCCGCTAAGCCCTCTACAACGAAGAAGTTGCTACTGCGCCTGCGCGTCGATAGCCTTGACTGTAGAGTTCCGGGTGTGATAGCGGATTGCGGAGGGCGTTGCGAGACGGCGAAAACCATCTACAAAAACTCCCTAAAGGCAGACAAGCGCGCACGCTTCACACAACGACACCGTCAGCAGAATGACCTAGACCAGGAGCCGGCAACTGGCGGCCCGCAGGCAAGCTCCCGGCAGGCTTCCCGTCCCAACACACACATACTTACATACCCTCTCTCTCCGGGACTAATTGTGCAAGAAATATGATCGGTTGCAAGCCTGGAGTAATCGACGTCTCTGAAACGGCCATGCCCGGGGGTTAGTTTCATATTCACAACCACCCTATTATTCGACGCCAATCGGTGTGCATCAAATTGATGCATTGGGAATCAACGAATAAGGTCGCCGGCCTCATAAATTTTATACGGAATCACGGAGTGTGTCATTGGCAATCTCAAGAGCTTTTACCACACACAGGAGCTTAGTACCTGTCTGAGTGACTGGTGAGAATTTTAGGGAAAACCTCGTTGTCCACACCACATCGAGCAGTTGTACGGTAACCCCCAGTGATTTATAGTTTGTCTGGTGTCAGGATCTGGATGTCAAGAGCCTCGCCAAATACAGTGTGCGGCACTTGGAATAACGGTTCAGGTGCGTCGTGTCTGTTCTTTTGCTTCACCAATCAAACTCCCTCCCCAATTTCCTACCCGGCTCGCTTCGTCCCCGATATGAGTCAGTTTGGCCCGCAGGAGCAATAGGTTGCCGATCGCTAAACGAAACAGCCGATACAAATTAAAAAAAATAAAAAAAAGCTCGAGGTACATCTAAGCATTTTACTTCTTATGAGTTGTGAATCCGAAAGCATGCACGCCGCACGTCCGGTCCCTTTTTCGTCTGCTGCGTATTTTTCGTTTCCGGTCAGCACGTGGTGCTCCCCTGGTGACCTTGGACGCGCGCGCTGTTGGACACGCAGCGCCATCGGTTGAGCGGTCGTGGAAACTGACGAGCGCAGCGGCTAATGGAATCGATGGCGAAATTGCGGAAACTATCTGCCGTTTTCGAGCTTCGAACTGATGACGTCAGCTCGCTCCATGGGACAGTTAATGCTTTCGCATTAAAAAAGAACTTGCGGTACTTTTTATTGGATGTTGAACGCCGACGCAGGCGCAATCAGCACCCCGACGGTAGAGTGCCTCAATGTTGCTTGCCGGCTGCGCCAGCCAACAACATTGAGGCACTCTACCCGACGGTGCCCAGGCGCCGACAAGTCACGGCATGGCGCGACCCTCTCTGGGGGAAAGAGCTTTGCGTTGAAGCCGACGTCTCGGGTGATTTGAGCTTTCAGCCGTGAGCTCTGACGTAGTATTGACGTCGCCTCTCCGAGCGCTTTGTATTCTGTCGGCCGGAGCCCGTTGCAATCTCGTGACTGGCTCGCTTATCAGCGCAAGCTTTGGCGGCTGCTCCCTGTGCCGCTTCCTCGCAATGCTCCTTCGTGTAGGGTGAAGCAGCCTTTACAGGCCGGTCGTCGTTTGTCCACGAGGCCGGTCCGCTGCAACTATCTATCCCACAAAGCCAGTCGGGCGGCGCCAAAATCGTCGTGGCACCCGTCGTATTCTCACTATCATGTCGGCGCACTCACTGTGGCTGATGAATGGCGCAGATTGTATCCGAGATTTCGAAGCAAACGACAGGTTGCTTCATCCTCGGCTGATGGGGACACGTGTTTCCCGAGGCTGTCCACAGCTCTTAAAGGGGGACCAGCAGAAATATTCTTCCGCCTGGCGGAAAGTCCTCCTCGCCCTCTTTCGATGTACGATATACCAGGCGCGGGCAACTTCTAGAAGGTCTCTGTTTTCTAGCAGCCGCTGTGCTACACAGTCCCGTGCCTCGGTCGGCACGCTGGGAGCACGTGCCGCGATCCGGACATTGTATACAGTTCGCGATGACGATATCGATCACTAGCCGACTCGAGCGCAAACCGACCGACAGGACGCGTGCTGATGTTTCATCGTGAACCGCATTCGGCCGTGTCGCACCCGGCGCGGTTTGGACCCGGGCGGATCACGATAAAGCCCAAGTGCTTTTGTAAAAGGGAGGGAAAAAAATAGATTGCCCTTATGTTATTCGTTTAGTCACCGCAAGTCACACTTCTCATGCCCCAGTTCTCTGCCGATAAGCGATATGCAAATAATACTTTGTTTTAGCTTAACTCCGAACGCAGCCGAAGCTGCGAGCTCATTGACGCGTTAAAAACACCTTGCTAGCAACTGTTGTCCTTCCTATTGGCCAGTTCCACGCAGTAAACGAAGGATGCTTCGTTACTTTAGCTTCGTCGTTAATAACCTGTTTTTGCTTTGTTTGTTTCTTACGGTTAAGTTTTACCATTGGCTACAAAAAATAGCAGGCTTGTTCTTTGAATCGAGCGGTACGGATGTCCCTTGGACGTCGTCATTCGTGGAACGTTACCCGGGCGTCTCCAGAACCATCCTCTGTGCTGCCCAAGCTTCAGATGCAGATCGCCAAAAAGTGGTTGTTGCGATATCGGCGGACAAAGGGTTGAGTTCGATGCACGCTATAAGTTGGGCGGTTTGGAGATGGCCCCGAACCTGGGAAATAATTTGTATTTTTCATTGGCCAAATCCTGAACTGACACAGGCTCCGCCAAATCTCTTGCGCTTGCTCGGAGAGCGTCATATGTCCCCGTCTTTCACATGTCAAGCTGACGGCCGAAAGCACACGCGCATTGTCGCTACATCGTTGAAAAATCACGATTTTATTGCTTGCTCCCATTCAACGATGCACACTTGGTAAACGAAGGAAACGTGACGCGAACGTGCGTGACAAACGGGTCACGAGCGGCGTTCCGACGAAACAACGTCTTCTGATATAACTCAGTTGGGTGCTGCAACGAGCTGGTATAAACTGGGCGGGCATTCAACGTTCTGGAGACGAGCCGTCGCCCTATATCGCGCTGTCTTCTTTCCGCCGTGTTCACACTCAAGATGAAATGACACCCTCGAGGGTGTAAAAAATGGTGTTGCAGAGAGGGTGTCCGGATTGGACACGTGTGTTGCGTCAGTGTTCAGCGTGAACTCGGAACTCACGGCGTTGTGGCCAAGAACTTGGCGTCCGCCATTGTTGCTAGATGAGGTTCTGATAAGGGTCTAAAAGACTTATTACGAAATTACCCAGGCATTAAGGAGGATATGCTGGCGACGTTGACGAACGCGCGTGCAAGATGCCGTTTGTTTTGGGCTTTTGCTTCAGTCCCTGCTCTGCAGACGCCAGCACGTGCGGCGCATAGACCGACATTTCCAGCATTCTCCTTGATGCTCGGGTAACCTATGGTCTGTCTGCTTCGGCGGAGCCAAGTAACGGCTCGGTCGGCGTGCGCAGCACAGGCCACCGACACTGCTGAGGCCGTCGCGTGGGACGACGAGCCGAGTCCCTTCCGGGTCTGGGCCGCCGTGACTTCGTCGCTGGCTCGCTGGGCTTCGGCGGGCGGCCGCAGGCGTCGGAGCTCGGGCCAGACGCCGCCGGAGTCCAGGGCTGTCTGCTACGGAGCCCTGGGCTGTTACCGGGACGAGCAGGGCCAGCTGAACGCGCTGCCCGAAGACCCGGGCTCCATCGGGACCCGCTTCTACCTCACCACTCGCAGGAGCAGGGAACCCAGGTGTGCTTGAGTTGCGATCGGTCCCATCCAAGCCGGATGGTGGGCACCGGGAGCCGCAGCGACTTCCGCTAGCCGCACTCAGAGTTTAGGAATTTTAGAAACTGAAGGTTGTGCGCTTTGTTCTGTTACGTGAGATGCGTCACAGCAAACGGTCTATGCTGACGAAGCACTCCGGATGGCACCGAGGGAAATAGTTTTTCTGACTGTTTATGCGCCGTCATTCCTGTTGCGTTCGGTCTCAACGTGGAAGTGTGTTATAACTTATAGGTTGGAACGACTAAATATAAAAAAAGTAGCTTAGCTTTCCATTGGAAAGCCGCTTCGCCAGCTCGTTGGAACTTGGCACAGCAAAGCCCCACCCAACTATCGTTTTTTCCGCGCGCTGGCCAATGCTACGGTGATGTAACGGGGGATTGGTCGCACGCGTTGTGTGGCACAGTGGGGGGTACCTGACTTGGCCAGATGCCAAAAGCTTTCGGAAGCTACAAAGAGAAGGCTACGGGCGCAGGAAAGCCTGAACTTGAATCCAGTGTGCGCGAATAAACGCTTTTCAGTCAGGGCTGAATTTTGTGCAGGTTACTGGCGGACGCGGCTCCGTCGGGCTTTGACGCGACCAAGCCGGTCAAGCTCGTCATCCACGGCTTCGGCAGCAGCGGAAAGAGGTCCTGGGTTCGACGCATGGTGGATGCACTGCTGGCAGCCGTGAGTCTGACACGCCTCATGGCGACTCTGCCCAACTCTGTATACCCATAGATTTCTCGTCGTGCAGACAATATGAGCTGAAACACCGGTTGCCTAGCTGATGGGGCGTTGAAAAGGGTCTGCTGTAATCAACGCTCATCGCTAGCTCCCTCGAAACTGAGTGGGACATATAGAAGTCGCAATAATTTTATATATATTCTAAAGGCGGTATCTCAAGAAAACCAAATTTGGTGGTCCCCTGCAATGCCCGTTTTTTTTTTTTTTTTTTTTTTATTACTTTCAGTTTAAAGTTGCCTCTGGTTGCAGGATTTTGACCACTTGCTGTTGATTTGCTGCTTCGTTGAACTGGAACCTACCAGATAGAGCTCAAACCCTCCAAAGATTTGTTAAAAAAAAAAAAAAAAAAAAAAAAAAGCCGTGAAAACAACATTTGTGCGATTTTTGCGGGTGAGCTATACGGCCAGGAGAACATCGTGTAGGGAGGTAACCGTAATGATCAATCGGCTAAAGTAACAATAGTTAATTAGCTTTCTAATTATATGGTTTCAATTAGGAACTTGCTTAGCGTCACCAAAACTATTAAACAGTGGTGTCATTAAACAGTGGACCTTCAACTAATGATGATAAATTCTGATAAATCGAATCAGTGTCACCACTTTAAAATATAAATATTAAGATAAATTCAGTTACAAACGTTACAAGCTGAAAGAGCAATTATCACGAGAAAACTTGCACGCACAATGCGAGCGTACCCCAGGTTCATCGACGGTACAGTGTTCCGTGCGCGCTCCATTCACACAAGGTTCCAAGAACAGTCGAAAGGATGGCGTTGGGAAAAGTCTTTACGGACGCAACCCATTGCAGCCGGAGATCGGGGTCATGTGGAAAGAGATGGTACATTGCAGCCGCACTTTCCGGATTCCGTGCAAGCTACGTATGTCCTCAGACATTGTTTGACGCTTTGTGTTGTTATTCGTGCACCATAAGCGAGCAATGGTGCCCCGATGACCGGGGGACTGTCGTTATCCAAGCCTGTGGGAGTTTAAAACAGAGAAGAGAGCGCGAACGAAGCTCGGGCAAGGCATACACCGGCGGCCTCTCACTGTTTTTAACGCACCAGCAAGGGGGAAAGTGCCGCTAGCCCTTTCCTCTCTTCTCTCTCGCTCTCAATATGGCGCTACCCACAATAAAACGGCCTATACAACGTTGGTCTATGCAATGTTCCCATGGCCTCACCTGCTCAAAGCGCAAAAGCGTAGCTTATTTCACGGCTTTCTTTTAAACAAATCTGTTAAACATAAGCAGACCTCTTACTTTGTTCACGCGCCCTCACTTCTTTTTACCTGTATGACTCGTGCTTGAGTCTGGCGGCACGGACAGCACATAGAAGACAAGGCCTCCGAATGACGTCATGGCCTCCCCGAACCACTCCAAGCGGCAAGCAGGCTGAAGCGCCAGGCAGACGCGGGTGTCTCGTTGTGAGACGCTACAAGACGCAATGCTGGGGGGGAGGCACTGATGATGTCTTTGCACGCAGGGTGACTTCAACGTGCTGGTGGTGGACTGGGAAAAGGGGGCCACGCTGCCCAACTACGTGCAGGCGGCGGCCAACGCCAGGCTGGTGGGCCGACAGGTGGCGCAGGCCATCCGGGGCCTCATGCGCCTCGGTGCCAGACCCAAGGACTTCCACCTGGTGGGCTTCTCGCTCGGAGCCCACGTGGCCGGCTTCGCCGGTTCCGAACTCGCCAACATCTCCCGCATCACCGGTACGTTCACAGGAAAGGGTCTTTACGGTCCACTAGGTCCTACCTCTCGGCGGATTATCAGAATTTAGCGAATGACTGTTGCTAGAGTCGGCCAACTTTTTTCCCGCAATCAAGTCAAAGGTATCCGCCTGGAGCGCCGGTCGAGGCTGTGCACGCGCGTCTTCACATCTCCTAAAATGTAAGGAAAGGTTGTGCCCTAGTAGAACATCGTTCATCAAACAGCACTCTTTGGGTGACGGCTGATGTTTTACGAGTTTAAGGTGACTCAGCTGCATTCGGTCTCAACTTAAATTTGGGTAAAGATATAGCCTCAAAAGGACACTGAAATCAAGTTTACATTTTAATGTTCAGGAATAATTCTGTGACCTAATTAGAATGTTCTTAGAAAGTCCTTAGGATGTCCGTAGAATGTCCTAAAGTTCTGGTGATGTCCTATGAGTGTCCAAAAAACATCTCCAGAACGTGAGGGCATCATCCTAAAGACATTTACAGAACTAAGTACTCTACTAGGATGGCGCTCCATGTGCGAAATAGCGAAAAAAAAAAAAAAAAAAAACTAACAAACGTGGAAGCCATTCTGCGCATATGTTGCATCCGTTCAAGGCGACAGTGACACGCCATATTTTGTAAGAAAATGTTTGTTTGAAAATTCCAAGACTATACTAGTAACTATAAGGTATAGAGTTTCTTTTTTTTTTTCTTTTAAAGCTTGGCAGTTTTGTTTACAAAAGCTAATGCTGTTTGTGCAGGTGAGTCATACGGTCAGGGGGACATCATATAGGAGGCTAATCGTCATAACATGTCCAATCATTAATGAAAATATGCTAATTAACGTCTTAATTAGAAACTTGCTGAGCATTATGGAAAATCACTAAATCAGATTAGAAAGACTTTGAGCACGTGGACGACTCCAGGAAATCGACGCCGCGTAGCGGCAGCGCCGAGAAGCTCAGGAGAGGAGGTCGTTTCGGTTCTGTCGTCTGCTATCGCTGCTTGGTTCCCGTAAGCAGCATAGAAACAAACATCGTTTCCAGTAATTAGTTTTATTCGTCCGCCGAGTCATTCCTACGCACTGACTAGAAGAAGGTTTCTCCCGTCCAAAAATCGCTTTGCTTTCACATACAACACCAATTTTACACTGCAGTGCCAGCAATTTATGCTGATCCGATCGCTGACCGACGAAAACGACCTCCTTTCGTCCGCCCTTTTGCCTGGCGCATCGCAACTCCAGCAAAACGGACGCCGCCAAGCGGGAAAACCGGGAACCAGCCGGTCCAGGTCGCTCCGCGCCCCTCCGCGTCTCTGGTGGCTTTCGCGGAGACGTGTTGTCGGCGCGGTGGCGAACGATGTAATTTGACGAAGGTCCGAATATTTCTTAAGTTTGTGAGTGATCATTAGTGTGGTGAAGCCTCAGTAGATTGTTTTCTTCTATTACGTGTTTGAAAGCCCGTTTACTTCACAGCACACGGTCACGCGCTTTCGATTTCTTGGATGGGGAGGAATCACGGAAAAACGTTTTGATTTCTTGTCTGTCTCGAATCACATTCAAAGTTACGACTGCTTGGTAACTGATACTGGAGGGAACATCAATGTTGCAGTCAAGTGAATGGGAAGGTTCGATAGCTGCTTGAGTTTGGTTGTGTTCGGTTAGCTTCAAGTTTGAGCCACCCACGCCGGTCGGTGCGTTGGATATTCATCTTGGCTGCTTTTCGCCGAAAAAGCCTCTGGACCACACTGAAGGAGTTGGGCTGATTTCGCAATTACTTGATTCAGGAAAACCTGCTCGGTGCAAATGATGAATGAGGGAAATTATCTGTTTTTAAAAGGTGGAAGACAAGTCTCGCAATGTTAGATGCTGTCACGGCATTTTGACCTATCACGCCTCCAATATTTATATTGCGAGGACGTCGAGGCCAGCAGTAATATACGTCTACATTGGTCAGGTTGACCGGCCACAAAAAAGTACTAATTTTCTCCGTTCAGGATTCGAAGCAAAGTTCAATGCAGAGAGGTTCTGCGTGGATCTTCAATGAAGACCCTCTTCAGTTTGTCTCCGTGCTGCCGGCTATAGAACCATTTGGCTAAGTTTAAGTAGTATGTCTCCGTCTGTCAAATATACTTTTATTCAGCAGCTCACCTAATAGCTAGTCAACTGAGCTCATATTTCAACCCGAAGGATATACTAATATCGCTTTAGTGGGACCCCCCCCCCCCCCCCCCCCCAATAGTACGTAATATAATACATAACCTGCTCGTCAAAATGACTTCTCGATTGCTACTAAAACCTGAATTGAAATACGAGTATCAGCTGCTTAGTGGGGCGCCGGCGGGTTAACATGGTCCTTGGCTCAAGAAGCGGTTGCTTAATTTTCGTAATGTTCCTGCAGCCTGTGTTGTTGGCCGAGCAGACGACTGGAGCTATTTCGTAAGCGCGGATACGCACAAAAGCTTGATTTCGCGGACAAATAAGTCGCATGATCGAGGCATGCGAGTTAGCTGAAAAGTTACTCTCTGTGGAACAATTCTATAGTCATCGCCGCTTTCCTTAGATGATCAAAACTGATTAGTATATTACCGTCTCTCCGGAGCCCATAGTTTCGGTTTTGAACGAAATCGGCGAAACGAAAGTTTGAAAAAAGAACAAAAAAACACTGGCAAAACAAAACTATGCTTTGCAAGTTTATATGCACCGGCTACACTTAACCGTCTCAGTTCAAATACCTATAAAATTGGGCATTAAACAAAAGAAAATCTGTTAAATTGAACGCGCCACCTATTCAGACGGCCCGGCCGAGCCGCCGCGACCTGGACTCAGCCGCCATGTTTGTTTGGTGGTGGCGCCCCCTATAGGTCGCTGGAGTCGCGAATAGTTCGCTGGAGACGCAAGTAGTGCGCTAAAGTTCCCACTTGTACGGCAAGCACAAGGCTGGGGTAAGACCGCGGTGGGTAAGACAGAAAGAGCGTGCGGCCGGGCGCCTTATCGCACCGGCAGCCGTGCTCCCGCTGTACCAGTGGGATCTTTAGCGCTCCTGCTCCAAGTCTTTCTAACATTGACTGATTTAGTGGTTTTCCATGAGCAAATTTTTCGTTAGGACCATATGCACAGAATGCTATAAGGCACAAACGAGCTGGTGATCATTAAACATGGTGAACCCTGAGACTAAATACGACGATGAAGGAGAGGGGAGTTTTGTTCTTTCTCCCTATAGGGTTACAGTTAATCGTGTAGAACCCTGTTTATTTTCAATAATTACAAAAAAAAAGTTAATCGACACATTTTAGTTAATTAGCCGAATGATCGTTACGGTTAGCCACGTATATTATGTCCCCCTGGCCGTATAACTCACCTGCACAAACCGCTTTGTTTTCGGGTAAAACCCAATATTACCAGATTTTTTCACACCGAACAGCTTTTATGAAAACTGGGTTAAACCCGATTTTTCCCAGGATAGCGGTCTTGAAATCAGCTGAATTTATGGAAAATAAGAACAATTCTGGATCTGTCTTAGAACTGCTCCCTCGGCTACTCGTTTGATGGTAACAAATTTCTTCGATTTCCGTTACCTCCGTATATATTTGCTTCAGAATGAGTCGGAAGGCGGAAATATACTGGAAGACCGAGCAGCATTGCTATATCATATACTTTGTTGACTTTTGTTCGTGTAAATAACCCATTTCAGGTACTTGCCCTTCGTAAATAAGACCCAAGAAAACCCGATATCCTAATGGGCGCGTTCAGTAGCGCCTCCCTTGCCTCCGAACGGAGTGCCTCGAGTTGGAGTCATCGGAGCGCCTACTGAACGGCAAAAAAACCCGCGGCTCCAAACCTGCTTCTACGCAACTTCCGCTTCCTCCCCTGCGCCAGACGGTCTCCGAATAAACTGGAAGCAGACGATGGCGAGCACGATCGCTTTTATTTGACCCCGGTATTGAAGAAGTCTTTACAAGGTCGTTGAAGAACAAGCGGGTGATTGTACACATCAGCGCTGCTGTTCGAAGCGATGCAACGCGATCGAGCCCTTCGCTTGGCGGTGCAAAGGCAGCTACTGTTATAAAAGCCGACAAAAAACGTCGTCAGCACACGCAAAATACAGAGCTCAGCGAATCTACCCCGCCGGTTGCGATACTTTTATACGGCCATAAGTTTTCTGCCCTTCGTAACGAACTTCCTATAAAATGTATTCGTATACACACGGGAAGTTCGGCCGCGCTCGGCGATCAAGGTTTTGTCGGCCGAAGCGAGCCTCAGCCAACGTGCACCCCGATTTAGCTACGCAAACAAAACATTAATCGGTATCATGCTCTGCGTGAGTGTCCAACCGGCTTCCAAAGTCGCGTTCATACCCTGTTTTGCTCTGTTGAGCACGGACAGGACTATCGTCAATTACCGAGTTTCCGTGCAACGGTGATCAAGACACAGCGTCAAATGAACGTTTGCGTTGTTTATTAGCATATTCAAACCAAACAAAATACTGTCCAACGCATTTTCCAAAAGAGCCTTACCTGAAAAAGATATTCGAACGCGTTATTCGTCTTACCTAGAGCACTTTTCATTAACAAAAGCGAGCAAACCGCGCACCCGCGACAGAACCGAAGCAGTTTATCCCGCCATATTGTTTGTTTTTTCCTCTTTTAGCGCCGGAAATCGTCGCCAGTCAGGAAATTACGTCATTTTAGCTCCTTTGACTCTACGTGCACCGTCTCCGGACTCGGTGCTTCGGAGCTTGACTCCGAAGCCCCGGAGTTACGTGCACCGGAAGTGACTTTTGGCCGTCCAGTGGAAGGAGTCAGTGACTCCTTGACTCCGGGGCCGCTACTGAACGCGCCCATTGCTTCAGAGAGACCCATGTCTCCTCGACTATCAGCCCGATAAATAGCGCCCGATCTTTACCCCCCGATTTTTGAAAAAATATAAAACCCGGAACAGCGAAGAACCCTATGTGTAATACACAACTTCTGAAAGATAAAAAGGAAGATATATTAGAAGTTAAAAAGCTCGCTTGTGCAGATTCATCAGACAGCAGGTATGCATCCAGAGGGCACTTTTCTCCTGGGCGATAAGTGGACGAGTTATCCCAACGACAAGCCGTCGTTCTCTTTGAGCGCATCCAGCCCCGATGTGTGCAGGGCTGGACCCGGCGGCGCCCTTGTTCGAGGGCTACGAGGCGTCGGCGAGGCTAGACCCTTCGGACGCGCTCCTGGTGGACGTGATCCACTCGAATGGCGACAGCTTCCTCAGGGGAGGTCTCGGGGCCTTCGAGCCCCTGGGACATATCGACTACTACCCCAACGGCGGCAAGGCCCAGCTAGGCTGCAACAGCGTCTTTGTCGGGGCGCTCAGCGACATCTTCTGTGAGCACTTGTTCGTGTCACGCCGCTGCCGTTCACATGGCGTAGGCGCAGAAAAGCTTGCTTGTAAACAGCGCGATAACCTACAAGTTCCTGTACACGTACGTTCGCATGAGACAACAAGGGCGGGTTTACTAATGCGAATGCATTAACCGTCCCATAGAGCGAGCCGACGTTATCGGTTTTAAAGCCGCGCCAAACGGCACCTGAACTCCTTTCTCCAAGTGAAGCCGCGATTGATGGCTCCCAGCTTTGAAGCCGCGCGAGAAGCCTAGCCAAATGGCACCTATGTTTCCCGCTCCCAATGGAGCGCAGTGAAGCCGAAATCGGCTTTGGTTCCATTGGCTGGCGCGCTTTCAAGGAATGAGGCTCCCATTGGCCGCTTCGCGTCAGTTTCAACGACCGCCACCCCATGGCGCTATGTGTCCGCGCCGCCGGTAAAACGAAGCGTATGGCCGCCAAGCAAGCTAGCGGCTCTCATTATAATGCAATTAAATGCAAAGGTGCAAGCGAGCTGGACAAGAATGACGAAAATAATCCCTGGAGATCCCTAGCGGCTCTACTGCCGAGGTCAGCGCGGCGAGGCCAGTACGTCGCAGACGAAATAAGGGAGCAGAAACATGACATTCATGCTTATTCACAACTCATAAGAAGCGTTTAAATGTCCCACGAGCATTTTTTTTTTTGTTACGTGTTTTTTAACGGAGTTTAGTCCGCGATAAACTCCTGCAAACAAACTTTTTTTTTTTACGGAGTTTAGTAGCGGGGAATTCTTGTAGATCCTGTCCACTATCCTTTCCGCCGTCCCAGAACACTGCTGACAAGGCCACATGACAACTATGATGATGATGATGATGATGATATTGTCAAAAACAAAAACATAAATTTGATTAAGAAAATTTTAAATTAACGTTTAATGGGGCGAATTTGTGCCGAGAAAAAAAGGTAACAAAGACCGTACATACTTTGACGGCGACGGAAGGACGACTGGCTCAAGCAGCCATGCGAAGCTCCTTTTGTAAGAGGAGATTCTCGAGTAATCTGGAACGTTCCAGTCATGCAAACAGGAGGGAGGTAAAAAGGACAATCTCTGGCGGGGATCAAACTCCAGCCAGCGGCGTCGGGGTCGAGGACGCTGCTGACTCAGCTATTCGTACGCGGCAATATGACTGCGACGCAGTACATTTTGAAAAATCTAAAGTTACGTGCATTTCTTTTAACCTTTTTTTTTTTATCATCTTAAATTATCCATTTTGGAAATATTATCGCTCAGAAAAAGGTCAGACCCCCCCCCCCCCCCCCCCCCGATCAGTTCAAGTAAACCACTCACTTCAGTACTTCTTTCCAGTAAGTGCTCTGGGTTACAAAGTGCCCAACTATTTGTCAAAAGTGGCGAATACTTTGTTTGCATATTTTGGGACATATCCTTTCTTGTTTAAGTTCCCAGTTCAAAAAAAAAAAAAAAAATTTCTGCTTACCCTCCCTCCCTCCCTCCCTCCCCCAAACACACGGACACACGCAGACACGGAGTTCCTCGGACTGTTACGGGACGGAGGAAACGATCTATGAAGATTCGCTGCTGTCGGCATCTTGGAAAGGCGGTGCCCCAGGAAGGGCTGGCAGGACGCTGCTTTCTGCAGTTCATAACATTTGCTGCGCCGTAAAGTGGATGTTTTCTTCCGGCTCCAGTCCACTTAGGTGGACTCAAGCCGGAGGGGTCCGGCCTCCTCTGTTGTCTGTCAGTCTGCCGAAAACAAGAAAGAGGAGGAAAGCCTCGCTGTTTGCGTGGTTGATGTCCTCACTGAAACAACATTTTGTTGTGCATGCCATCTGCTGTGTCCGGCCCTTGACGCCCAGGGGGCCACTGGCAAAGCCTGTGCCACCACCGGCGCGCCCTGCAGCTGTTCATCGAGTCGGCGAGTCCCCGCTGCCCGTTCCCGGCCTTCTCGTGCGAGAGCTACGAGAGCTTCCTGACGGGCGACTGCTTCCCCTGCGAGAGGCCCTCCGAGTGCAGCTACATGGGTTACTTCTCAGACAGGTCCAAGGCCCGCGGCAAGATGTTCCTCATGACGCGTCAGGAACCGCCCTTCTGCGGTACGTCCTCTGCCTCTGCCTGCCATGGCATTCCTTCTTCAGCTCACTTCTTTCTGTCTAGTTTGAAGCTTTTGCTGTCTGCAGCTAGAAAAAATGCTACGATGCAGAAACACGTGCTGCCTTTAGTTTCGGTTTCGTTCTCACACAGCGCACTGCGGCGACGCAGTCATTGCGGTAATTTATGACGATTTTTTTTAACTATTTCGCAGTTTATTGCTTTGGGACAAAATTGACTGACCAAAACATTTTAGTATCAATAATTGCAAGTGGATCAACTTTTGCGATTAATTTGGTTCGGTTTCGTTCTCACAGCGCGCGCAACACGGTCGGTAGTTATTCAATTACAGTAACTGAATTGCAGTAATTGAATTAATGTTCAGATCGTTTATAGAGTTATATAATTTTGACATTTAAATTTTAAACCTCCGTTCAATTTTTTTTGTTATTATTTTTGCTTTGGGCAGAGCTGCTACTGGAGGTCTTTGATACAACAGACTCTCAGTGATGCGGCAACAAGTAATAAACAAAACCGACATGCATCGTACGACATAATTGTTTACCTATCCATGCAGGTAGTGAAACTAAAAGCAAGACTCGAATAATGTAAAACGCTGCGAAAGGAGTTCAATGGGACATGCAGAGAACTGCTGTCAAGTCAGCGCGATGGAAGCCAGGCAGATATTCTGAATATCATTACTTTGTGTAAACGTAATCTGACATTCTGATATACAATAACTGTCGCGGAATTCTGAATTGGTTTTTGGTGACGTCCTTTCAACTCTCTCGCAAGTTTAAGTTTATCCTTGGTGGAGATCGGATGCTTGCAAGTTGCAAGCAAACTTGGAAAAGACAAATACCCTCATATGCCTAAATTTTGAGCGTCTTTTTTTTAGGAAACAAGATTGATGTAGAATTTGTGTCCACCCCAGCCAACCAGTACAAGATCATTGTGAACAGCTCTGCGGGGCTGGATCCTACGTGGGGAAAGCTAGAGCTGGTGCTGTACGCCGAGTCAGGGGCCAACGAGTCTTTCAGCATCACCAGGTGAGGCCTTGCTCAGCTTATTTTATATCCCCTCCGATTGAGATCACGCATATTCGAGGCAACGTGCAATTCTGTTTGTAGGAGACTGCATTTAGTTATAAAAGTTTGAAAGTATGGGTCAAAGCAAGTTCAGGCCTTCAAAAGAGTGATGTTGGTATGTTGGTTGTCCAGTGATGCCCAGGAGCTGCGAGGTGGCCAGGCCTCCAAGGCGCTGGTGGCGGCTCACCCTGCCGTGGTGAACATCACCCGTGCGGTGATCAAGTACACAAAGTATCGAGGCTGGATCTACGAAGGCAAAGACGCCTGGTTCCTCGACAAGGTCTCTGTGCTCGACAGCTTCGGTTATACGTGAGTGGTCCTTTTGCACGCCCCTCGAGAAAAAAATAAATAAATAAAGGAAGCATTACTTTGGATGCCTACTTTTACCTGTGCCTTAGAACGGGACACGTAGACAAAGACCTGCGTTTCCCTTCCCGAAGTGAACGAGCTCGTAATATTTTCGGTGGTCCTTCTGCTCTGCTGACATCCTTAAGGCAAAGAAGATTTAGATTTCTTTTAAAATTAAACTAATCATAAATCTTACGTAGGTATAAAAATGTATACGGTAAACTCTCACTTGAGCGAACTTCGAGGGACCCTAGGAAATAGTTCACTTAACTGAATGTATTGGCTAGAATATGGAACAGCATGGGGCACATCATTCATTGGGTCAAGGGTGTGAAATGCAATTTATGGAGTCATGTACATCGATATATACATAGTACATAACAGTTACCTTGCTGCCTTTCTAATTTTGAAAACAAACCTGTGATTTTCATTAGCACCAGTGCTCTTAATTCAAGTAACAAAGCTGTCCAGAGAGTATGTTTTTCTGCACTTACACTGGCACAACTTGTTACTGTGACAAAGCCCTACCGCAACGGCATCGCCCACTGGCTCGAAATATCCCGTGCAGAGTCGTTTCCTGTTGGGATTGAACGCAGTTTCTCCTTCGAGCTTCGACTTTTGCTTCACTGTCGTTGACAACATCGATGGCGGAATCCCATAGTCCTTCGCAACGTCCACTTGTCTTTGACTGTTGTCCAGATGCCGAAGGATTTTGAGCTGGTCTGATAGAGACAACCGTTTCTGTTTCGTCGTACTAATAACAAAAGTGGGAGCCCAAACTGCCGTCCTTCCGTTGTTACCCAAATCTAAGATGGCCGTACGGAACTGGTGGCAAAGAAAAAACGGGCACGCCACGCGGTTCGTTTTCGTCTACTGTACGGCCGCTTTGCCTCGCTGTAAATGCCAACGATGATACGCCGCAGCTGCTGAGGCGGCGGGCATTGGCTACGCCAGCACTGCAGAGCACAAAACTTTGTTGAACTGATTGCAAAAGTTATTCTGGGTCCACCAATCAAGTTCGTTGAACTGAAACGTTCGCTATTCCATAATTCGTTTAACCGAAACGTTTTTGCGTGGATTGCATAGGGAAACCGCCGGGGATTTTTTCAAAGTTCGTTATTCTGAAATATTGGTTAAACCAACGTTCGCTCAAGTGATTTTACTGTACCCATTCCTTGAGCTTACAGAAATACAAAGCGTCTGTCGCCTGCAAGTGTCTCCGCCTCTGCGCACTCCGCTATCCTTCTCGCCATGCAACAACACGCACAATGTGCGCAGACTGGCGCAGACTGGCGCAATAGGTGTCTACCATTAAATTCCGAGACCATTCCCTGGTTTGAGCAAATACTTTACCAGGGAGAGCATGTTGCAATCCACTCATTTGCATTAGGCATTGCACCTACAGTGCCATATCCATTCCTAGCGATGTGGAATCCTGGGTCCAAGCTAGAATGCATGCGCATCGTGCTGTTTACGCTATTGCACTGAGGTGCGGCACCGAGGGAGAGCAAGCATGTTTTTTGAAACCTGCAGACTGTAGTTTTTAGAACTCTGCTGAGAGAGGCTTGCAGATCATTGTCGTCGTTTGTCAACAGCTAAACAAAATTCCTTAGGGAAGCGGAAGTTGCCGGGTAACTGCATATTCTCCGCTATAGTTGCTCCACTTGATTAGAGTAACTGCATGCTCTGCTGTACAATTACCTATACAGTTCCTCTAGTTCCCATCAGAGCTCCCAATTCAAAGGGCATGTCCAGTCGTTCCAGCTGTGCAAAGCCTTGCCAAGGCCATTGAGTTTTTGTGGATAGGGTGTATTCCTCTTGTCGTAAGTTATCTCGCAACTTGGTGATACAGCCTCCAAGAAACAGGGACAGAGATGGCCAGCAGTGGTATAGCCACAGAAATTCTTTTCAGGAAGGGGGGTTGTAGTGGCTGGGATGTACATGACTTGGAGTGCAGAGGGGGGGGGGGGGGGGGAGAGGGGTCAAAATGCATGTCTATATTATAGGGTCGGCTGGATTTCGAGGGGGGGCATGAGCCTCCCCCCCCCCCCCCCCCCCCCCCCCCCTTCCGGCGACGAAACTGAGGGGCAGCAGCCGAGTGCTGAATTTGGTGCATGTCTTGTCTCCTGCCCATCTCTGTACTTGGTTTAAGTTGTTCCCTGTCCTAGGCTCTCGAGAGTTGCAAATGCACGGCGCCGTTCGTCCGCTAAACGTGGGTGCTCCGAAATGTTCTTCCCTCCCGACTGTAGGGTGTCCTTCTGCGGGCTCCGCACTCGGCTGCCGGACGGCCGGCCAGTCAAGCTGCGGGTCCAACCGGAGGACTGCCAGCCGGAGCCCCTGACCCAGCGGGTGGCCCGCCTCGTCTGGCAGGTGGTGGGCCAACCGGTGCTCGGAACTCGGCCCCGCCCACCACGACTCGTCTGGACGCTCCAACTGGACAACGCCGGGCGGCCCACCGCCCAGCTATTGGCCCACTGATGCTCTCGGGAGGTGGCGCTTCAACTTACGCAGTAGTCACCACGACCTTCTCAAGGTCGTGGCCATCGACCCGGTTACACAGGGCAGACGCCGTTGTCGGCCTCAGGGTCAAACTCTTCCGTTTGTGGCCAGTACAGTGCATCCTGTCCGCCAGAGATCCACAGCTTTGGGAAGGGGAGGTAACGGAGTAGGGTAGGAGGGTATGTCACCTATGCACTTTTACGGCGCTTATCATTCGCGTGACTCAGAAAAAATGCTGAGTCATGCGAATCTTGAGTTGGCAGTGAGTGTGGGCGTTTCTATTGGCGCTTTTCAACCAGGAGAACTCTCAAAGAGCTCACCGACCTTATCCGCCTCTCTGTTTTCTCGGACCGTTTAAAAAAACACAACTTTCCACCGGAAACAAAACAAAAAATGAAAGACGTTTACACATCTCTGTAATGCGAAATTAGAGAGCAGCTCTCGAGAAGGAGAAGGGGAGGGTATGCCCTTCCTCCTCCCGCTGAATTCGTCCATGGGTGACGTGACATGAAGTCAGGTGACGTCATTTTCCCTGCTAAATTTAGTGGGGAAAGTGAATTGGTGTTGAGGTCACCTGAGGTCAACTTCCCAGCTAAATTTAGTGGGGAAATTTTTCTGCTAATTTTTGGCGGAAAAATTATCCCGTTAAATTTAGCGGGTCAAGTTTCCCCACTAAATTTAGCGGGGAAATTGACCTCACGTGACCTCAACACCAATGCACTTTCCCCACTAAATTTAGCAGGGAACCTGCGACATCCCATAATCCAATGCCACGGCTACGCTGACGGTGACGCCACTCAATCCAGAAACGGGCGCCTAAGAGCTGCGCTCTAAAACAGATAGGGTATTCAAAGAATCGGTTTGCATAATCTACGAGCTCGGTAACAAATAAATTCCCTACAAGAAAAAAAAAAAACTCAGCCAATAGAGCATACATACAAGCACACTGGATAATGACATGTTTAAAAACAAATGTTAAAAAATTACTTAACGAAATTCGCAAAAACTGAGAGTCGAACACTAAGTCTCATAGCTAGTGCTCTTTGAGGCAAAGACATACTTCTCAGATGCACAGAACTATTTTATCTGAAGCAGCAGTACCGGTGAAAGATGGAACCCCCTGGTGAAGCGCAACCTCCCCATACGCATCAGTGACGGCACTCTAGTCAGCCCCGCTACGGAGGAACCAAGACGGTTCTTTCTCGCCTGGATGCGTAATTTATTTTGACATTGCTCTCCGCATTCCATCGCCCAATAAAAGAAACGACGGAGAAGCGTGACTGTGGAAATGATCCGTTTATTTCTCTGCCAGTTTAGGCCTTCTTGAACTTCTTGAGCAGGTTGCTCTGCTCGATGGCTGCCCTCCTCTTGCGCTGCGAGGGAACCGACAGCCTTGGACGCTCTTAACATTCTCAAGGCATGAACTATCAAGCCCCGTTTATAAAATGACTAATCTTTGAAAAACAAAGTTGTTTGCTTTCCTCTTAGGGAAGCAGACAAGGTTGCACACAAATGCCAAGACCAATCACCCACTCATACTCATTAAACAAAGCACGATCGTACATTCCAAATTTGCCTAACCAGTGCTCGGCATTTACATTCATAAAGCAGTGAATGACCGTCAGCTCTAGGTTTTGGATAAAAAAAATATTCGAAGGGGTTAAACCCCACACGTCCAACACATCGAGCACCACTGAAAAAATATTTCCCAAAACTAGGATTATCCCTTGGCGACGGAAAATCCTGCTTTTGTACAAGTCGGTGTGCCGGCTAAAACTTATACGCTCCGAAGAGATTGCGTCGTACTAGAGAAACTGTCGTACCACTGGCTCCAATGCGTCTGCACAGATTCACTTAATTTCTTTCCTCGTAATGCAGAAACGAGCACCTGGCATGTCTTTCCTACAAATCCTTAGGTTCTCAATGGCATATTTTTCCTGGACTAGGATCTCGTCGTCATTTGTTACGGTGAGGAAGTGAAAAGAATGAAAAATATAAGATCTTCCATTGGTGCCGCCTGGGTAGGCACCACCGATATTAAAGCCAATTCCATAGAAACTAATTGTATTTTCGGATCAAGTGGAAATGTCACAAAAAAAGCCAATTGGGAACGGAACTAAGATAAAACTGGGCCTCACCCAGAGAACAACCCAGGAAGGACCGACAGTCCAACACCAGCCCAACCGTGCAAAGAGGCACGAAAGGGCGGCACCAGTGGGTCAAACTTGGGCAAAGGGCAATAGGCGAGCCCAACAACCACTGCCTACATATTTGCTTTTTCCCTCCTCCCAAGGAAGAACCCCAAAAGAGGGGACCTCGTCATCAGCTCTCTATTGGCTGATTTAAATTACAAAAGGAGAAATTAACGCGACTATTTGCTCCTGCGAAAAGGACTCGTCTCGCTGTCGTACGTGGAAGAAACATTGCATAAAAACATTGTTTCTTCCGTCTTATAGACGCTTTACACACGCGCCAAATTACAGCCGCCATTGCTGACCTTCTCTTGTCTTGCCGAGATCCCGAGCAACTGAAACGGTAGTTGACGATCCTCTACAAGGGCCGATGCTTTAGAAAAGGACACAGTTGAATCTGATATGGCAATAACCTGGCCTGCTATGGTAATGATGAAGTGAAATAAACGGAGTAAGAGGAAACAAAAACTGAAGGTCAGTTATGGCGGCGTCCATGCACAGCTGCTGCAAAGCGTCTATAGTCTGTCGCAAGTCGAGTATAGCAGGATGGCCTCCTCTCACAAAACCCTCCACTCATTCCACTAACACCGGAGAGGAGGAAACCAACAATGGTGTCCTGCAGACAGCCTTGCACAAGGGCCTTCTCATACTTTTCTTACGTGGCAACATACGAGTCATTCGCAGGACGAGAACTCTACTTTTGTCCGCAACTTCCGCATTCGACCGCCAGGGTTCGATATCTGACCTCAAACTTCGGGACCACTTCGGGACGGGACGCTAAACGCATTGGTCGGCGACGCGTTTCCACTGCCCTACTATATAAACAAAACAATGTTTTATCTAAAATAATTGCTGCGGTTGTCCGTACGGACGGGCAGGCTCCGCAGTCCAGACCACTCACGTTGGGCGTGGTCGGCGTCGCTCCGACGTCCAGGAGCTCCGATATCCCGGTGGCGCCGCTGCGCACCGAGGATGCCGGCGTCTCTGCCGCTGCGGGGAACTCGGCTGCCGGCAAACCCGCCGTCGCCACCGGCGTGGCAGCGCTGCCCGCCGCCGGGACGGAGGGCAGGACGGACGCGGTCTTGTCGGGTGCCAACACCTCGTACTGGTGACGGAGCGTTTGGAGTTCGTACTCGCACGTGGCGAGCGCCAGCTTGAGCTCGTACAGGAGCACCATGTCGCTGCGGAGCTCGTTGAAGTGTTGGCAGACATCCTCTCCCGGTGTCGGGTTCAGCTCTGCAAAGGTACAGTACCATAAACGCTTGTGAGCTGCGAGACGTTTCCATCGTTCAATATGGACAACCTGGGGCCGGTTCGCGCACTTGCGTTAGCTTGCGACCATGTGCTTGAAAAACTCTTATGACGAGGAAACAGACTGGCGCCACATATTGGGTAGTTGCAAAACACTTTCACTTTTCCTATATTTTTTTTTTTTTTTTTATTGGCCCGAAAATTTTTTAGCAAGGCGATGGACGACCATTTTTCGGAAGAGATTTAAAAATGTACACGGACGTAAGCAGTTGCGAGTGACCAGCCTATATACTTAGGCTGATCAACAAAATTGCCTTTAGCAGGACTGAATATTTTTTTTATTTGTTTGGAAAAAAAAAGGAACAGTCACCCCCTTTCCCAATGTGGCTCATCCTCCAACCCCAAGGGAGATTTCAGATTTCGCTAGTTCCAGAAAGTTGGTAAAATTACTATCCTCTCAAGTGAAACAATCCCAAAGAAATATTGAAAAACTTCCATCAGGTTGGAGCACGCAAAATATCCAGTTTTCTTCAATATCATTTGCAACGTGGTAACTACAACTGCCAGTTGCAACCAACAGATTGGAAAATCTCTGTATGCGAAGGAAGACGAGATCACTGTTACAGTTTTGCAAAAGGTTTTTTTGCCTTAAGCATGTTATTAGCAGATTACCATTTCCTCGCAGTAACCCTTACTTGAAGGAGAATGGTTTGCGTACAGTATTAAGGTATACTGTAACAGTATGTGCACTGGCTATAAGCTATAAAGCTAGAATGTTATAAGTGGGGCTGCGGCAGCTCGCTTAAGTTACAAATAACATAGATTCTTAACCCGCGCACCTTTGGCTTGGCTCGAAGGTAGTAGTCAGCCAGTCAACAGGTCGGAACCAGGGGTGGTACAAGAAAACTGACCACGGACGAGAAATCCAACTCACCAACACCGAGCTCCTGGAGAAGCTGTTCGATGGCCTTGGTCTTTTTTTGTCCAACTGATGCGGGCAGCTTCATCTGCAGATGCTAACGGTTAGTTTCGTGCTCTTCACTCCAAACGGCGGCAAAATGTGTGCCCCGATGGACCAACACTGCAGCAACGATGCTCTCGTAACAAGCTCCCGACATGACGTGAGCCAGCCTTACCCTGTGGCTACGCAGAGACACGCCGCACGCCTTGAAGTCCGGGAACCGGATTCCAGCAGACTCCACCATCTGTGCAAAGGGTTCATGTCACTTTTTTTCCCCTTCCCACGGCATAGAGCGAAATCTCAATTCAGAAAAGCGTAGCGGTTATGACATTCTAGATGCAGCGCAATCCGGTACCGTGCAGAAAACTTTGCACGTAACCGGTGCCGAGATGCCCTCGCATCGGCTCGCTAATGCAGCAAAGACCGACTGGTTTTGCTCGCATTGTAAGAGACCCTCCTGGGAATTAACTTTAAGTTTGTCACTCCGGGAAGCATGTTCATCCACAAACCTAGAATTGTGTACACAAATAAATTTCAAGGTCTCATTATTATTTGCTAAAATTTATATCATGTTTGTTACTCGCTGACAAAAGTGTCCTCAAAGATTGGTAAGCAATTGTTTCATGGAGAAGTGGACTTCGTTGCGAAATGAGCTAACTATCAGCGTTTCTGACAGCGTAGGAGGCTGACGTACACTTCCTCCTTTTCGCACCCTCTCTCTCATAGATAGCGTAAAAAAGAGGAAGCATATTTTCCTGCAACCTGTCTCGCAGAGAGAAAGAGGGCGTGGGGAAAAGTGTTACCACAAAAGTTCAACGATGCCTCAAATCCAATAACGCCAAAAAAAGATATACTGTAAACAACTTTTTTTTCGAGGGCTGAATATTTTGCGATTTAGGTCAAAGTTGAAGTTTTGGAATAATTAGCGGGTCCTAACTTTTGCGACGCGTTGGGACCTCAATATAGGTTCCAATATGTTCACATTTTACCAGAATTGTTTGCGGGACCTATTTTTTGCAAATTGTAGGCATACATATATTTTTTTGCTGTTGCAAGTTGAAATTTGTGTTGTCTGTATCGTCTTCCATGTCTCTCTTTTGTTTCCGTAAAGTAAACAGAAACGCACTGGACCACCTGCAGCTGGAAACCTACTTCCCCGACCGAACCCCGCAAGTGGTGCGGACGTACTCCGGTCTCGACGCCACTGCGGCTGCTCTTCTGCACGCTCAGCTTCTTCTTGGGGCCCTTGCGTTCGACGCGGCGCGCCTCGGCGCTGTTGTCGGCCGCCGTGATCAGCTTCTGGAGGTCCTGCGTCTTCTTCTCCCGCTCCTTCTTGCGCAACTCGATCTTGCGCAACTCTCCCAGCAGCGTCTGCTCTTCCTCCACCTGCAATGACCTTGCACCGATCAAAGTCCGACCGCAGTCGTTCCTTTCAATGGAACGACAACCGCATTTTCGCGTGTCAGTTCGTCCGCACGCCTGATTGTTTTTACTTCGTTCGAACGGCTCGTCACTCTGCCGGACCACGGGAGTCAACCGCAGTACTATGGGTAGACACAACCAAGTGCTGCACGTGGGCTGCCGAAATTTTGCAATTTGAATTGCCCGCAGAAACACTAAGAAACAACAACAGTACAGAGCTCGTTGCAATTGACAACACTGACCGGCATTTTTGGCAGATGTCTAGGAATGAGGGGCAATCTACGAATGACTTACTATTTGCGAGACACTGAGGCGACACTCTTGGGAGCTGCTCTGGCCCGTTGCTTTATGCACGACTTTACATTCTTATCGAAGACAGAGGAGTGCCCCCTTTCGGCAACACCTCATTCCATCCCAAGTGCGAACGAAGGCTTCGTGCGCTAGCCAAGTGCCCCGAGTGGGGCTGGCATCCGCACGCATTTGTGCGGTGCAAACACCGTTTGAAACAACAGCATTGTGCTAGTAGTTTTAGCTTCGCTCTCACTTAAAGGGAAACTGCGCTTCATTCTTGGTGGCAAGAAAACAAATGCGGCTGTTATTAGTATCATTGCGTGCCAAGAATGTAATACCACTCAAAAGTTCATTAAACCGGCCAACAAAAACTGAGACGCCCCAAGTCACCAAAATCTGCTAAATTAGCGGGCGATGTGCGGCGGAGCCAACGTTTTACTCCCGTCGTGGCTGACCTCTGTTGCATACGCAGTTTTCTGCTCGGTACTTTCTATTCCGGGGAGAGCTGACCAGGCGGCGCTACCGGCACGCAGTGTCTACGTGTCGGCCAACTAGCCGCCTTGGTTGCCGCCTACATTTCCTCCTTCGAAGCCGCTTGCGTTGCCTGTTCGCCCCCCCTCCCCCCCTTCCTTGTGCATCCGCTTCTTTTCTAGGTTACCGCAGGTAGATAGTCTGCTTTGGACTTGCCTGCTCGCTGGTGCGGTCATAAAGCTTGACGAGCTGCTCCTTGCGGCGGCGCTCGTGCTCGGCGTCGAAGGCCCTCAGCTTGAGCTCCTGGCCCGGGGGTGCCCGTGCCCGGGCCAGGGCGTTGCACAGGGCATAATAGCGCTCCTTGAGGTCCTCGAGGGAGCGCAGGGAGAAGCGCGACGTGTCCCAGCGGTCCCGCACCACCAGGAAGCGCAGGTCGTACTGCCGGCACATCTCCAGCAGGTAGTCTGTCTCCGCCCGGCTCCACTTGCCGCACGTCAGGTGCTGCTGGTACTCCGCATCCGAATACGTCGGCACGTGCACTTGCTGCATCCCAAAAACCAGATTGACGACCGTCGCCGTGAAACACCGAGCGAGCGCCCACCCAAAGGTCGCCGATCGTCGCGAAAAAATGGGACCCTTATTAGGTCCGGTGGACCCTTTAGTTTTAAAGCAGTCGAGATGCTCTCCAAGGAGCTTCACCGGTTTGCACTGGCACGAAAAGCTTCGCCATCTGGCACCGGCTTCTCGGGGGAGCAACCGACGTAGAGGAATGCATCGGTGGGCTCGTGAGTTTGATAAGCTGGGTTCACCATATGTCCTTCGCTTATATTTCCAACTTCTCTAAAGTAGGGACTCACTGCCACATGGGCAAACGCTCGGTATCCCGCTCGGAAGGGGCTTTGTGGCGCAAAAGTGCTTCAACTAGATACGACTGTTCCTCCGGGACCCAGAGGGCGCCGTCTCTAACTGCGGTCGAAAGTAGACGCGCCAGCTAGGTGGCGCAAGCTGCCACTCTATCGGGAGAGTGTGGCCACGTCCGTCCACCCGTCAACTGAAAATTCAGATCTACTATCAAGTTGGAAGAATGGTCACCTTGTTGAACTTGGAGAAGGGATATTCCTTGCCCTCGTCCGCAACTCGTCGCCAGTGGCTTAGCATCACACCGTCCTGCAAGCCAGAGAAGAGGTGTGAACCGACGTAGGGCTACGTAGCTAAGATTTGCTATACATCTATTAGGGTGCACCAGATAGAGACTTCGGCGTGCACGCAATTATGAATGGAAGCGGCACATAACAAAGGCAAAGTACTACATTATAACTGGACACCACTTACAAAAGATCAAATAGAGTGCCTTTCTAGGATTACACATAAAAAATAACGACCATCATCCGTAGTCTTGACAGCTTTCACACGCCACCCTTCAGTTAGCGCTAGTGTACAGCTACGAAAATTGCTTGAGTCACACAAACTGCTAAGAGATAGTGCAGCTCGCACTTCTTTTGCGGAGACTTGCCTTGCGGCCGGGATTTGCAAAGGGCATCCAACGCCACGGACGCACTCTCCGGATGCCGAGCTTCGCCTTATTGCGCTTGTAGCCTTGACTCGAGTCCGTAGGCAGCAGTGGCGGGTTGTCCCTGCGAGAACATTCGGGGCACAGTGCTCACAAAACTTGGGCAGAACGTGCGAGCCACGTCTTTTCTTATGGCAGCGCTATCTCCGTGGCAGCAGAGCGGCGGTTTGGTGACAAATCACTGGAGAAAGCATCCTAGAGTGCTTTCTCCAGTGATTTCTCCAACATCAAGAGGCCGTTGTTTAGCTTCCAATGGGACAGCACTGCCATGGAAAAACACGCGGTTCACGTTGTGGCGATGGCTGCCGCCGATTCCACGTTTTCATGGATAGTAGGAAAAGGCTTCAAGAACTGGCCAGCGAAATGTATATGTGTCTTGAAGGGCCGACGCAAGTAGGCACATTTTAGTCAAACACAAATGTTGCACATAACAAAGTTACGAGAAATGCTTTTACAATGAAATTGCACTTTGACTGATCCTATCGAAGATATAGTCGAGAAAAAAACGACATCGGCGTGCCTACGAGCCGTAGTAAAAAAAAAAATTTGAACAGCAATGTAGCGATGGTTCTGCAGATGCGAATCAAGAGGTATGTGGTTCGACAAAACGCCACAAAGGAAACAAAAGCAACTGAACCTCAGTCCTTTAGGTTGGCCAGTGAGAGACTTACATAATCTAGGTTGGTTCAGGTAACTTAAAAGTGCCACCCCTAAGACCGAAGAAAAACAAAGAATCAAGTTGGCCGGTGATGGCCCACACGTCCGCGAGACACTAAAAAAGAAGGTAAACGCTTCTTATTAAAACCAGTGTGTCGAACCGAAAAAAATACGGGTTCGGTTACGGTTCAGGTTCAGGTAAATTTATTTTGTTCCGGTTCAGTTCCGGTTTGATTAATTCAATCCGCGAACCGGTTCGGAAATTATAAATGACAAATTGCAACATCAAAATAAATTACAAATAAAACATCTGAAATCAGCACATACGAAACGGAATACATCGTAGTGTAAGGCTCAGGGATTTCTACCAGGAATGGTTTCTTTATGTGCACTCAAAGGTTACCTCACCGACGTTTACGCGTTCGGACTTCATCTAATTGGGTCCGACGCAGTAGCTGTAAAATCCGCGACCTCCTTACAAACCCACTTACAAGTAGAACTTGCTAACTATCCCGCCACCTCGGCGTGTAAGCAATTGAAGGAACAGTGGGGAGAAAATAGAGCTTTCTTTATTTTAACTAGCCTTCGGCAGCTCAAATTAGACCCTTAAAGAAGTTTTCATTAAACAAGATACGGAATATGAAATAACACTTCACCGAACGCAACGCCAGAAGGACGTAATAGGATAAATATTAAAATAAAAGAGTTCGCTGTCCGTGCAAGCCGCGACCAGCGCAATACTGGTTCCTATGTCAAGATTCATGGATGCAGCGTTTGTCAAGATTCATGGATGCAGCGTTTTTATTCCTAAGACTGAGTGGAGCAGAAAAATATGTAAGCGAGGTGTGTGCCAGTTGACGGCACTTAAAAAACAAATGGCATTAATAGCACATTCATTGTCATCAGCGCGTGGCCGAACCGTTTTGACATGAGCCGGTAACCATTATTTTTTTTCCGGTTCAGTTCCGGTTCGGGTTCAGCGCGATAACAATATAACGGTTCGGGTTCAGTTCCGGAAAAAATACCGGTTCGGTTCCGGTTTTCGATTCGGTTCGGTTCCGGTTCGACACCCTGATTAAAACACAACCATCCATGAAACATTGCAGGCTAGCACATCTTAAGATTCATTCAGACGTTTGTGTTTAAGTGTGAAAGACTGCTTTGCAAGCACTTGTAACCACCGGCGCCATCTATTGATAGCTTTGAAACCATTTTTATTCAGCACACCTTTCACGCATCATTCTTTTACATGTGCTTGAAATATTCCGGACAGTGTTATGAGAGACCATTTCGCCTAGTGCATTGGTTTGATACTGCACACATTACAAAACCTTCAATCTCGCAATAGATTGGAAATGTTCTAGGGCTACCCAATTACTACCTGGCGTCGGAGAACAGAAGGGCGTAGAGTTCTCGGTGCATGCCTTCGGGGCGCTTGAACGTCGCTTCTATCAGCTTGCGCTTTTGCAGCAGCTTGTTCTGCAAAGGAATGGGGTACGTCTTGTTATAAAGACGGCAAGCGCTCGAGTAGATGCTAGGTCTACAACGTTGGGCGCTCTTACTTTCCGAGCGTCGGTGCCCATGATGGACTCCTTGCTGACTTCGGGGGTGTTTGGACGCTCCACGTCCAGAATATCCAGCACGTCGCTCATCCTGGGTGGCTGCCTGCGTGAACCGCGACAGAAGAGTCGCCAACGACTCGTCACATAACGTATAGGTTATCCCAAACCACGGTTGAAGAGAAGGGTGTTCGTACAACGCAAGAAAGGCGATCGAAATAGCACTCGGGCTTCGCGCATCTCCCGGTAGGGGCGCTGTCGGGTTGGGGCTCCTAGGGTGCCTACATGTCTGTCTGTCTCAGGGTGAAGACATCCATTGTTCCCCTGAATGTGCCAGTGCGTGACGCTCTCGCGCACTCGGTGCGTGACTTGGGCGGCGAAATGGCGCCTATGTATTAGCCAAAGCTAGACGCTCGAGCTGAGTGACACCGGATTGCGCGCACTTCAAAATGCATAAAAAAACGAATGGGCGGAAAAATGGCTGAGATGTCACCACTCAAGCAAAAGCGCGCGTGTGTATGAAGGCACTCTAGGGGCTCCGTGCGCAGGCGCGGTCGCGCGGCTCGCCACCTTGAAAACGTGAAGGAATAAGGACGGTTCCTCGAACTCCGGTCAAGCTGCGCTATGTCACGGTGTTTGTCGGAAATAGGAGCGAATCTTCGACAGAGCTGCTCCGCGGTGAAGCGGCGCCGTTCAGACGCCTCTGTCTTCTTGCATCGTGTCCCAAACTGGATCAATTAGTCGGTGCGCGAAGCTGAGTAATTGATCCACAAAAAGAGATCCTTGTACGATCGGGTACAGTAAAACTGACTGCCTATTCGAAATTATGGCAGTATACACACGTCTGCGACAGCTGAGGTAGATAGTTGCTTGAAGCTTCTTGAACGATCATTGAAATAAAGAAGAAGTCGAGCGACTCATGCTCAATCAATGTCCTTTTTAAATAGAGTAAAGCTATACGCACTCCGGAGTGCGCTTCGCGCGGAAATGGCTATACGCACTCCTCCGAGAGATCATGCCGCTCGGGCCACCCTTTTCGAACGGCGCGTGAATCACTGGGGCGCTCGTTAACACAGCCCCCCGCCTGCGTTCACGCCGCTTCGCGGCGACAGTATTGGCTGCTAATTACAAAGCGTAACCAGTGCACGCCGCTTCGCGGCGTCCAGCCGGCAATCCAAGCCCCGCTGTCCCCGGTCGCACCTCCGGAAAGGGAGTCCGATACCATTTAGTTCTGCAAAGTTTCTCGACAACATTCGATTTTTTTTTTAATTTTTTTTACTGTCCATCGCAAAAAAAGGAAATGTCGTAAATATCGCCCGATGCCTCGACAAAACAAAATGTTTGAAAAAAAAAAACAAAAAAACAGTAGGCCCACCGCGGATCGAACCCGCGTCCAGTTGTGTATGAAGCGGACACCCTAACCCCTATGCCATGGCACCGCTTAGGAAATTCGTTGTGTCCACTCTTTTTATACGAGAAAAGCGGAGTGCGTATAGCCATTTCCGTCCGAAGCGCACTCCGGGGTGCGTATAGCTTTACTCTTTTAAATATATATATATATTGTTGGCTTACCTTGCGGTTGATTACTTTGGGGAAGCTAAATGGTAGCTCACAGTGTTCTAGAAACACCCCTGGTTGTGGCTATTGAAAAAGAGAAAAGAACAATGAACCCATTTTAAGAAAGTTTACGCAGCTCATCGCACCGCTTTCGATCAGAAACCAAAATAGAGCGCCATTTTGTATGGCCGTCGCATGTCTCTGGTAGTTTCGTATGTTTTCAAAATTTTGGTAGATGAGAGGCATCTGTAATACTAAAAGAAACGAATCATTTATTGTAATTAAACCTAATTTGTTTCTCGGAATAATTTTTTTTAAACACGATCCTTCCGAAAAGTTTTGTTTAGTGTGTTTAAAACTTACCAAAAGTAACAGCAGAGCTAAGCGTTAACGCCCTGACCGATTTAGAAAGTCACACGTGCCCAAAATGTGACGTCATCAAAGTACAGAGTGCCACAGAGTGCGTGCCGGTAATTATTGCTTAATTTAGTGTAAAACGTTCAGTAAATGAGCTCGAACTATCCTCCTTAATTACGTTGCTTCTAAGATCGACAGCATCAGGCTGGGAAGCAGCAGAACCAGGAGTTGGCATAGTGACGTCACAAGATTTCCTCCCTTTTTCTTCTTTATGAACTTTCTCGAACCTTTTCGGATAACTTCCGACTTCCGGTGCGCCATTTTTATTGGGCAGGAAGAGCAACAAGTCTGAAGAAGCGTTTGCGGACTCTCGAAATTGGAGGTAAAAATCCCATTTTCTGCACTCGTTGTTTAGTATGGATGTCAATTACGACGAACAAAGGTTCCAACTGTAATCTAGGAGAGTTTGTAAGTTACGTGTAACGCGTTTGGACACGCCAAAACGATGATTCTGCACGTATACCTGAAGCAGCCCATCCCTACTGGACATCCGTAGACTTTGTTCTCACTCGGAAGTTCTATTTCGCACAAATATATCCCGGGTATTTCTTTTATCGCGTGCCTTTCGCGCGGCTTCCCATGTGTTTGGAAGATTTTCAGCACTTGGAGTTTCATTCGCTGACCAGCAAGCGCCGTCGTTGGGTTGGCACTCGTGACAGTTTTTGGCGTGATGCTAGTGACTCGATAAGTTTTCGCTACTTCTGCGAATGCTTCTGCATCCCGTGCGAAGTCTCCTGTCCGACTGAGTGATCGGAGTTCGTCAGCGTACGAGCTTTTTACGTCACCTTTCACGCGGTTTGGTGACGCTACGCTGTGAAACGTGCTGGTTCGTCCGCGAACTTCGGTAGCGCGCCTAGTTCGATAAAAGTAACAAACTCTGATTTTTTTTTTTTTTTTTTTTTGCAGCCATTTTACGTTTGTTTTTAGAAATTATTTGCCTCTTTTGTATCCGCGGGCAGCGTTATTTTCTCGGTTTAATTTAGTGCTGATGCAGGTTAGCTAACTTCTGACATTAAAAAGTGCAAACTTTACTCATTGCAGCCATGGAGATTTCTTTTTTCCGCTTCTGTTGTAAAATAATCCATCAAAAATTTGCAATTTTCTTTTTTTTGTTTAATTCAAGAACTTGGATTTTTCATACAAGCAAGGGCCAGGCATAGCTACCAACTTAAAGTTGCATGTGCAGGTTGCGATGATATTTCGTTTGACGCAGCCCGACTTCTCAATGGAACGCAGAGGTGAATTACATTTTCAGATGGCGTGTTCGATGAAGTGCCGACAATGGTGCGTTTCGAGAAGGGCTTCGTAGTGTCCGAAATCCGTGAAGGGGACAGAAAAAGCAAAAAGTCTGGGACGCAGGTAGACGAATGCTACTCGGCCGACATTCAAATTGTGACGACAGAGGAAGGGTTCATAGGGGTTGGACCAGATCAGTGGGTACAGCTATCCCTGCCCGCAGTGTAAAGCGGGGCAGAAGAACATTGTTTGAAAGAGAGAGGAATGTTGCTGAATGTAGGGATCAACACCCATAATCTGAACCACTATCTTGCGCGGCGCCACAGTATTGTGGACAAAACGGAGAAGTAGCAAGTTAGGCTGAAGCTACTGAGCGAACTAGAAAGAAACAAAAGATCCAGCACTCCTGGCAGTCGTTGACAACTTATTGCTCACATACCTTTTGTTACATAGTGCTATTTCTGCCCTCTTAAAACGTCCTTTGAAAGGCTATGTTGAGTGTAGCTCTGAAAAGTATGGTCTGGGACAAAAGTTTCCAGCCGTTCACCTGCCGTTGAGACCGGCGCTTGGGGCCGGCTAGCCTGGCTGGCCACACCTGTGAATTGGCGGGAGAGAAGGATTTGTCAATCTCGCAGGTGTTCACAGCGGAGCGCAACGCTTTTTTGTGGTAACTTTCTGCGCCCGATAACGAACAACATGATGACCGATTATTGCGCAACAATTTTAACCCTTGTGAGAATGTTACCGTGAGGTTCACTCGAAAATAAGACTCGTGCTCATTAAAGGCACCTCGTGCCGAGTGTATTGCGGAATCTTGCAAAATGCCAGGAGCCGAGTCGTTTAAGCTCTCTGATGCAAAATAATTGTTTACTATGGCCTTTTCGAAAAAGCAAGAAGTGGAAATTATACTTAGGAAAGACAAAGTGGTGTGCCGGTTGTTGAAAGCCATTCTTGAGCGCGAAAAACCCTTTGCACGGACGACGCTCCCTGGGTGGCAATAATGCCTCATTCACATTGGCGGTTGAACCGCGTTTGCGAGGCACTTCACGCACATTTGACACCAAAAACGAGCGAACCTGCTTTGCGGTTGCAATTCAAACGCCACTGTGAAAGCAGTATGAAACCCGAGTGGGAGAATCTATCTGCACGACCTAAGCTTGTGGCAACCATCTACGAGTCTGCAGCTACGCGTGGAGCGAGTGATTGCAGTGAACGGTAATTTCACCGGTCATTAGCAAAATTCACTTTCTGAGGTCAGCTAGCAAGAGCATATTCTCCACGAATTTTTTTCCCAACAATCACCCTAAGACAAAGTTTTTCCTCCTCCTCCTTTATGTGAGTAAAGAAATCACAGTCGTGGGGTCGGAATGGGGCGAAGAGAGTTGCCGCAAAAGCAGTGTGCACTGCCGTGTGAGCTCGAAAGATCGGCAAATCCTCCTCTCCCTCTGATTCACAGGCTTGGCCTGCGTTGCCTCTTAAAAGGGCCCTGCAACGGCTTTTTGACAGTTCGTTAATTTGCACCAAACCTGAGCGCACTGAACCTAGTAATTTAGTGAAACTTTTCTTTTTTCGAATTTCACTTTATTTTAAAAGTTGTAGGCAAATTAAAATTACAAAAACCATAACAAAAACAAAAAAAGACTGCATCTCCACGTGGTGATTGATGTTGATTGGGACGAAGCTCTGGTGGTGCTGATGATGCTGATTTTATTCATAGGTAGTGCTGATGGTGCTGATTTTTTTTATTGCTCATAGGTAGTGCTGAGTTCCGAGTTGCGTTGGTATGGAATGTGTGGTATGAAACGTGGTTATATACGCATTTGAGTATTTGACCGCAGCGACCTCTCGTCTATAAACGTTCAGCCAATGCATGCAAAGTTTAACGCGATTATATACGTATTTGACCGCAGCGCCCTCTCCTATATAGACGTCGAGCGGCTACATGCAACGTTTCATTCATGACATCCCCGGCTTGCGCCACTTATATCTTGTATTTTGACTAAAAAGAAGCTTTTAGCGACTCTGACCAGTCGTAAGGCAGGAGCTGGCCAGGATTGACAATGTCACTATGTCGTCACATGCTGCATACGTTTGGTACCACGAGGCACCCCGTAGGTGAAGGAAGCTTCCGCGTTGTCCAGTTGAAACATGATGCCCGAATATTTAGTTACTTTCTCCGTGTCCGCTGGGTTGCCCGAACCACGAGATGTGGAAACCGCAAAAAAGCTAGATGCCAGGGCCCTTTTAGCAGAGGATCCATAAGCAATGAAAAAGGGCGCTGCGCGGCAGTATCCATAGCAACCGGTGCTGGCGTCTACGTCATTTCGTCGCGGTGCCGCAGCGCTCGGATTTGGTTGGTTCAGAAAAGGTCGCGCAGTGCACCTGTGGAGCAGCTGGCAGCGAGCGCCATGCGCCGCTAGGTGTTTTTTAAAGATGTGGTTGAGTCGTCTTTGTCATACATGTTTATTCTTTTTTCAGTCTTGATTAGAAGCAAAATTTGAATCCTCTTTTTCCATTTTTGTTTCTTTCAGATGTCCACCTTGCAACAGCAGAGGAAGGTTGTGGAGCAGCTTCGCAGGGAAGCTGCCCTCAAAAGAATGGAGGTGTCGACTGCCATCGAAGACCTCAAGGTGTGTCTCTAGTTTTGTCGGGAAATGCAGCATCCTCCACGTCTTGCGACTGCGCTCTTGACCCAAGGCCCTTCCATTCGGTGCTCTTCTAAATTTGCACCTGTACTCCGTTTTACTTTAACTGACAAGTCAAAATTGTATTTTTTTTTATTATTATACGAAGTGATTGAAAACAATGCCTGAACATTACCCTCAAAATTCTAAACTTGGAAACTAGATATTTTTGAAGTAAAAAAAGAAAAAAACAATTTTTAAAAGTTGAATATGAAGTTACCGTGCGATCTGCACCAGTGCAGTGATGTCAAAGATTGAGTCGTCCTGCAACTCGAGTTTCTCTCTCGCCTCCGAGACAAAACCATCCCAACCCGAAGTGTCGTCTTCGCCCGCGTCCTGCGGTCGACCGCTCTTCTCCGTGCGGTCTGCTCCTCTGCTCACAGCTATTGTTGTGAGCAGAGGACGCTTCACTTTTAAGTTTGAAGTTCTTTTAGGGCCCTTTCAGCGACCCCAAATTCTTTGACACGGTGTGAAATGGAAGAGAACGTGCAGTGGATGTTTGCGGCCAATGTGAGGGGCCGCGTCGAGCCGGTTCTGCGTGAAAGGCTGCTCCAGCGGAGTCACAACCGAAACTACGGCACACACCACGCAGACACCAAACCAAGTTGTTTTGACCGTCTGACTATTTTCAACTCTGAGAGGTCGTCGAGCGCCTAAGAAAATGAGAACTTCGTCCGATACCCCGACTCGCCGATCATCCTCAGTGCTACATGTGCCGAGCACTGCCATGTTTTCCGAAGGAGGATAAAAAGCTAGGAGGTGACGTCATTACTGTCTCCGATTTTCTGTATTTCAAAAAGAAGTGCCGTAGCGCGTTCGCAGTTGCCTTAGAGAACATGTTTTCTGAATGCCGTTATTAA